TGAATTTTAAATATATTTCCTTTTCATTTCCTAGTATAAAATTCATAGAAAATCGTATTCATTGAGAAAAATTCTGAATAATTACCAGATATTATATTACATCCTTGTAATCGACTTGAAAAATTACCGCTATTTTTGGAAGTTTTATTGAATTATAATTGATATATTTATTCAGAAATACTTCTAAATATCCAAAAATTCGTATTTTCTAGTTTTATAAATTTTATATTTACATGATTTAATATACAACAACTGAGTCACGTCAACAGTACATCAATTTAGTATCATAGTAGTTCAATATTACATGGGGCTTAAATCGATCAATTCAAAATTAGAGAGTTTGAAAAAAGACTTAGAGTAGGTCAAGCATGTCCTCACTACAAAATAAGTGAAATATCTATGGAAGCTGAAGAATAAATAGATGGAGCCTAGACAGCAACTCAAGGCCATCACCTAGTCCTTGAGCAGCTCAACCTATGGTTGAATTCTCCTCTTGATTGAGCCAAATAGGAAAAATAGTATCCTAGCCCATCAACGCATAGAGCCACTAGAGAATTCAATCAAAAACAAAGGGAGGATAGAGTGTTGTGAAGACATCCCGCAACTCAAGAGTCTGTTAAATTGTCATTAACTGTTTGAAAACTTGGGAGCCTATCACCTTTGATCTTCCCCATAAACCTAATAGTGATGGGGGTTGAAACTGATGCTATTCAACAGTAAAGACCCCAAGGGGTGGGTGTTTAGTGCATAATTATATATTTTCACCTACTATATGGTAATGTTATAAATATTGATAAAGGTCATTCTCAACATGGAAGGCCAAGCACTTCATTAGTTCCATTGGTAGAAGAATGGAGACCCTTAGAAGTTGGGTGAAATTGAAGATATAACTCCTATGGTGTTTTAGACCTATGTGTTCCGACATGTTGTACCAACATCTATTGGAACTCATACAAACATGCATTGTCAAAGAATATAGAGGACTTCTAGCTTCTCTCTAGTGTGATGAGTAATGTATCTGAAGATATACTCAAGACTACCTTCCTCAAGAGGCTTTGCAAAGATATTCAAGTAGAAGTCTACTCCCTCAACCCAATTATATTGGAGGAAATCATCTATGATGCATAATAGGTAGAACATAAGATTAGTATGCTGGTGAAACTCAAGACATTCAGATGACCCCAATTGGCCCAACCCACATAGGGGTAGACTATGAATTATAAAGTTAGAAGGACCAAGGCTTTTGAAGTCAGTATCCTCCAAATGAGAGAAGAGGGTGGGCCTCAAAACATAACTTCAGCTGCAGCTCACTCTGAGGTAATAAATAGAAAAAAAAGGTTAAACCTAACAATAGTAAAAATTAAAGTCTGAAGAGGCCAAGGCTTATGTTTAATTGTAATGACTAGTTCTCATTGGGCCATAAATGTAGGAAGAATCTTCTCATTCTCCTCAACCTAGTAGATTTTGATTTCTTATAAGAAACATCAGTCACATAAGAAGATGTAATAAATGAGGACAAAAGAGAAGAGTCAATTCTATGAGTTTATTATCAAATGATTGTTCAACTTGATCTTTAAAACTTCGAGGGTAAGTTGACAGTAGAATAATAACAATCTTGGTTAACACCGAGGCCACCCACAACTTCATCAACAACTGTATGGTGCAAGAGTTAAGTTTGTCGATGTTCAAAACAACTGATTTTTGAGTCATCACATGTCCAAAAGTCATCACTAATTTTTGAGGTGATCGAACCATAGGCATCATTATTGATATGCTAGCAATTATTTTTTTAAGACTTCCTTACCTTGCCCTTGGCCACATTAGATTTGGTCTTAGGACTCTGATGGATGAAAAACCAATAAAAGATTGAATTGGACTTTAAATAATATACGCTCTCTTTCTAAGTCAAAGAAAAATGGATCACTATGTAGTCTGAAGCTCTCAAGGTCGGTAACTCCCTCACTCTTCAATTTAAGGTGGACCATGTTTGATGGAGAGAAATCTACTTTGAATTATACTTTTATCGTCGTCAAAATAGGAGGATGGCCCCTCTCCTCTAGTGGACATTTGGTAGCAATAATTCATTGAATTAATCTAAAAATTAGCAGTCTTCTTTGGGACCTTGATCACAAGATCCTATTGACAGCTAGAGCAAAACCTGTGCACGTTAGTTCAATCAAACATCTATATTATCAAAAAAATGAGCTAGAATAACAAGTGAGAGAGATGTTGGTGATGTGTATAATGAAACATTTTTAAACTCTTCTAAGCCTAGTGGTGCTGATCCAAAAGAATGATGAATTGTGGAGATTCAATATGGACTACTACATGATCACCTAGGTCACCATACTCAACAGATTGTTGATCCCCATCAAAGAGTTGATGGATGAATTGCACAACACTCAAATCTTTTATACGCTCAACATGTGGTCAAGATACCATTAAATTTGGGTCTGCCTCGAGGATGACTAAAAAATAGACACATGAAGGCCATTACAAGTTTTCACTCTCTCCAATGCACCAGCCACCTTTTAGGCGGTGATGAAAAAACTCTTTTACTATCTATTGCATTGGTTTGTTTTAATTTTCGTCGATGATATACTTATTTATAGTAGGAGCACTGTTGAGCATAACGAGTATTCATTCTAAATATTTAATATCCTACGTGAACATCACTTCTATGTTAACCTCAATAAGTGTATCTTTGGGAGATCCAAGATCACATATTTGGGTCACTAAGTTTTCATGGAGTGTATTGCAATGAATTCTTGAGTTTTTTGCTAGGAATCCTCAAAGTGGTGGCTATTTAAAGGTGACCTTCCCTTTCCTACATATGTATGCTCTTGGATTCCTAGGACTCACTAAGTATTACCAACATTTCATTAGGGACCATGGGATAAAAGCTTGGCCCCTCATGTAACAACTTAAAAAAGATGTCTTCGACTCAAATTATGAGGCAAAAGAGCCATTACAAAGTCTAAAGATCATCCTGACATTAGTATTGGTACTTGCTCTTCCTAACTTCTTATCCACCTTCTAACTTGAGGCATGTGTCTCTAATAAGGGAGTTAAAATTGTCCTAATTTAGTGGAGGCCCATTACGTATGTAAGCCAAACATTGGCATTCATCTACAAGTTTAAATCAATTTATGAAAATGAGCTTATGACGATTATGCTCATGATATTTAAATAAAAATATTACTTCGACACAAAATTTTTATTTATAGATCAACAAAGTTCAAAATATATCTTAGATTAATGATAAATCATGCCAAGTATAAAAAATAGATGTTGAAGATCCTCATGCTCACCTTGAGATTGAATTCAAATCTAGTGTAGAAAATAATGTGACCAACTCCAAATACCATTTGGTTCTAACTGTTCAAATTGTCACGACCATGTTAGGTTCAATGTGACTGACGAGAGTTAAATTAGTTTCCTATAATTTCATATGATTTTTGTATTATTCTTTTTTTTTCTATGAGTGTATGTGTCAACACAATCTTCTTATTCTAGGTGTAAGTTCACCTAAGTCAATCTATCTCTCTATGTGGGTTCATTCTTGCCTCTCTCACACTCATCACCATGACAGATGTAGAGGATTTTATATTGATTTACCTCTCATTATGCTAGGTCAAGTTACCGAAAATCCTTCATACAGAGTTCATTATTTTCTTATGAAAATACATTTGATTTCATAGGACCAATAGCCCAACCAATTCAATCTGATTTATGCATAAATCACACCCCTCACAAACAAAGTTTGACTTTTAATGGCACATATCTTAGTCAAATACATCGGTCTCCTCAAATACCACACCCTTCATAGACACTAATAGACTCAATGATATAAATATTTGAATTCATTGTTAGCCATAGGATTATTTAAGTATCATCAATGTATATCTCAAATGTCTTTCAATGACATCAGTCTTATAACATAAGTGTGCATAAAATCAATTTAAGATTCAGTGATTATTCTATAAATATTCTATAAATAATATGTAATAATTTTCTATTTCGAACTGTTGAAACTAAAAGTATTAATAAATCCAAAATGTTGAACTTGGTCGAGATTGACAAAGAAAATCAAAAATATAATTTATTCAAGAAGATTATGACAAATCTCCTCTAGCATCTCAAAAATTGTGACAATACTCCTTGAAATATGAGCATATGTTAAATAGAGGTAAATTGATTTTATCTCAAATGTCTACATTAATTTCGTAGCTGATATGAGAATTTCACGACTCAACTATAGGAGGACATTCTAGTTTCCATTGAACACAGCCAGAAATGTGTGATAGAGAGGTATGAAGAATGGCGTGAGATCCTACTTTGCGGTTTGTCCTATTTACCAACTCAACAAATTATAAGCACTATATTTCAGACTTTCTCCAACCCCTGTCAATTCTCAATCAAATATGAGTGGACTTGACGATGGACTTCATTAAGGAGATCCAAGTCAACTCAACCACTTAGCCCCAGCTAATCAGTCCCGCCAGCTTGGTCCACGCCAGCCACTTCATTTGGTTCGAGTCGCAATCAACCAAGTCATACAGTCAATGGTCAACAACCCGATCAACAGTCAACATAAGGTCAACTATTTCCACAAGTTGATTTCAACTTAAACTCGTACTCTTCCACCACACCGCCGCCCCTTCTTTCCAATTTTGAACATCTTGTTCATTTAATATTTTATCTTACGATATTGCCATTGTTTGATCTATAGATAGATCCATTTATTTTCATAATAAGTGAAAAGTGATAACCCACTTGAATTGCCTCTTATCTACTTATTAACTGAGGAGCACCTTAATCATTGACGATTTTTTAATCAGGTTGATCCTTTTATTTCATAATATTATAAGAATAAAGCACTCGACCTTACCTTAGTTAACCTTCTTAATCTTTAGAACTTTTGCAAGAGTTGAATCTAAATTTCTCGTGTAGGGTAGTTTAGTCACTTTAACCATCTCTTCCGGAATTAACCAGCTCGCTCATCCAGCGGCGGCGGCGGAGGCGGAGGTTTTCGTGGGAGGAAGGGAGATCTCGAGCTCATCGAGGGAGGGGGTTCCACGGATGGTGAGGCTGTGCTCGTTGGCGAGGTGGAGCAGGCAGATGAAGGAGAGGTGTGGGGAGACGTCCTTGGCGTAGGCGCCGGAGCAGTTCTCCGAGAAGCATCCCAGCACCTGCCTGAAGGACACAGCCACGGCGTCCTCCACCCGCTGCTCCTGCATACAAAAAATTAGAGAGTCGTCACCTCTAAAACCGGGAGAGAAGAGAAACAAAGCCCCAAAGAAGTTGGAACATTTCGACTCGAAGGGCAATGCCCTTGTATGGATTCGGCAGGCCAGCCTCAACCCCAATTAAGCATGAATTTCACAAGCATCACCAAGGAAAGTAAAGCATGAATTTCAAGGCAGTCTTTCCAAGAGCTTTTTGCTTAGCAAGGGGATCATTTACAACATGGACCCATTAAGCCCATATAGGCCTTCTGATGTACACCTTCCTATCTCTCTCCCTCTCTCTCTCTCTCTCTCTCTCTCTCTCTTTCTCTCTCTCTCTCTCTAGAGATAGACAGATAGATAGATATATATATATATATATATATATATACATGCAGAAAGAAGGGTTGATTTAACTCACCGTCTCTGCCGGTCTTTTAGAGTCTTTTATAATGCACCACAGTGTATCTTTCAATGCGTGGACATCCACTTGTTTGGAGGACTTGTCGTACCGAACCTCAATTTTGTTCACCTGCAGTCATTCAAAAATGGAACGTGGACACATGGAAAAGTGCCAAAGATAGCCAATACCTAGGCAAGGTTCATCTCATGCGAAGGAAAAGACTAGAAGAACACAGTCATGAGAACGATGAAGAAATTACTCTGATCAACCATGTCGGACCGTCATTTCAAAGCATCCAATTAGCAAATTCATAAGTGGAATGCTTAAACCAAGGGCATGACGTTAACCAAAACGTACGAGGAAAAGATAGGCCAATCAGTGCCATGTAAATTCGAATTCAGAATAATTCTCAAAACTCCGAAACTTGAACCAGAGTCACCCATACCGTCTTCCCAGTATAGTTTCCTTTTCTATACTTGGACGGAAGCTTTGAGTCATCTCGCATGCTCAGGCAAATAAACCAAGATGACTCATAAATATAAGAGAATAATAGGCAAGATCAAAGCAAAGCGATGACAGGGGACAACGCAACCAAACAAACCTGACGTGGCTGAGAAACAAGACTTCCTGGTTCACCAAAATCATTAAGCATATTTTCATCATCATAGTAATCGTTTGCAACACTCTCATTGTCCCAAGATGTTGCTAATTCATAGGGCTGGCTCCGTTGCGACGATTCGTCTAAAAAGAAAAAAAAAAGATAACAACTGGGTTGTCAGACATTCCTCACTAACTGCAGACTAGTTCATGCCTAATAACAGAATTGAAGATAGTTTTAGTTCTGAATATCAGAAAAAAAACACGGAGACAATGAAAAAAATTAATTACCGACAAGAAAGGTTAACATATGTACTAGGCAATGGTTAAAGATTTGATTGACGACTACATCAATTTTCCATAGCAGTAAAGGGAGCAATGTAGATAAGAAACAGAACTCACATGTCGACAGAAGGGGAATAAGGAAAAGTACAGGCAAATGGAAAGGTAAAAAGTGGTTACTACGCTGCCAAAAATTATACATCATGTGAAGTAAGAACGGAAGACGAGGACGTTAAATCAAAATAGAAAAGTCTCAACGCAAATAAACCTAGGATCGACGGGAAATCCACTGGAGTGCTGCTTGCAATATTTTGGAATTAGAAAATTATCGCGAAGGGAAGGTACCAATACTTATCTCTCAGTCCATCAAGGCATAATCAAATCACATCTCTAATCAAATAATGCCTACTTTTCCATTCCTTAACACCAGAAAATACTACAACTAATGTAACTGTATGAATTCATTAAAAAAATCAATGTTAACGTTTTAAAAGTAAAATAAAGATTGTAGAAATCACGTACAGGAGCCTAAAGGAATAGACTGTTTTATGTGACTAAGCGAAGTGGAGGGACACCAAATTTCTTAAGAGGGAAAAAATGACTTCTGATCAGTCTTACATATCATTAAGAAAAGTAAACGAAATGAACCAACATCAGCAGGATTCCATAATAGGTATTATAAATCATAAGTTTTTAAAAAGTAGTCAACTTAACTTACCAGCAGATTTCCTCAGTTTCTTTCCGAGGCACTGCACAGATGAAGACATTCGCTGTCACTCAACACAAAACAGAGGCAGGAATCCAAGAATCAGCGGCATCATGGCTTACCAAAACATCAGGACGAAGTAGCAACCTGACAAGGTTCTGTGCTTGATAATGGCAATCCTCTGGTAATGTAATACTGCACGAACCTCTGTTGGGAGGAAGCAGTATTGACCGTCGACTTTTAGGAGGAGCAAAGATGTCTGAAATCTCCTTATCAAGTGCCTTTGTAAAATCAATATCACACGCTTCTTGTTTTTTTTTTTTTACTTTCCTCTTGATTAAAAATGATTCACCAGCAGAAGCAGGAATCTCATCTGGAACTGCAAAATTAATTCTGAGATGAATGTCTGTATACACCTAACCAGCAAATAGTGAGATTTTTCATGCATAAGTTCAGTTCTACCTTTAATCTTCCGATACTTCCAGTGATCAGGACCAGCCCATGCATTTGTTTTCGGTGCAAATCCTAGACCTAGAGCTAAAAATCCAGCGATACTTTCAAATTTAGGATCAGCATCCTGCTCAAGTAAAGTGCAGCTACTGTTTTCCTGTAGGAAGAAGAGTTTACCTAAAATACATGAATTCATAATAAATAAATAAAAGTAAACCATAGAAAATGACAATGCGGTTGTACCTCTGGATCGCCAGCAAAATGTGCAGTCGTGTAGGATGAACAATCATCGACTACACTACCCTGTTCATCATTATCAAAACCACAAGGCTCACAGTCATCAAATGTGTTACTCTCAAACTCATTTTTATTAATTTCAAACCCATTCTCGTTACTCTCAAACCCCTTTTCGTTACCCTCAACCTCATTTTCGTTACTCTCAAAGTCATGTTTATTACTCTCTCCCATGTCATCTCGCCTGTCCGATCTCTGTGTTGCTACATAAATATCTGTTGGCCTCCGATTATCTTCGTTAAACAGACTTATGATCTCCCTTAAGGTTGGTGAAATATCCCTCTGCATAGCTATCGATGTCATCATCTGTCCAATGCAATCTATGAAAAAGAAATGAAGACACATGAAATCCCAACATAATACTAAACTGGATATAGAAACAAAATTTATACATTAAGAAAAACAATACACACCTCTGGCGAAGGAAAGGTCAATGAAGTCTGACTTGTCAGCCTGTGACTTGGAACACGTAACATTTGTGGGCGACTCCAATGAATCGAAAAGTACTTGACAGTCGCCATAGACCCCAAGGTTATTCAACAAGAGACCTTTAGCTCCACCTTCATCAAACTTTGCAGATGTTTGATGATAAAGAGGATCAACGGTGAAGGCCGCTGGAATTTTAAATGTATCATCAAAAACTTAGCAAAATAGGAGAGCTGCTTCTATACAGAGAGATGGATAAATTACCATCAAATTTCTTCACGTTAAGAACATCAAATGAAGATTCCAGAGTCGACAAAGGTGACACCTGCATGCAATCGCATCTGGCATCGGAACCAAACATTGTACAGAAAAAATGAATAATTCTGAGTGCTCTAAAAAAAAACGCTCACCTTTCTGTCTGTTCCTTTCTTCTGGATACCTTCCTGACTGATCCCCATACTGTCAACTTCTGGTATATTTTCTGAACAGAGCTTTTCTGATATTATCAGTTTCAAAGGTACAAAACATAAAATATTGGGACCAACATAAAAAAAGCCATAAGCTTTTGCATATGGGTAAAACATAAGGAAAAACATAAAACTATTCATGTAAAAAAAATTATAATTATGTACAATATTTTCTTCCCAGAACCTGTGTAATACCTAGACATCAATTCTGTATAAAAAATTATGAAGTATCATTAAGTTTCGTCATTAATGATCAACGAATGCCTACAGGCATGTCTTCTCATAGACAGTTTCAAAATGTAGTTTGAGTCGATGAATATAATCGCCTAAGTTTTCAGAAGGCATAATCGTAAATTGACATCACAGACCCTGTAATATTATCATCTCCTGATTTTTTTTACATTTGAATAATATTAAGTTTACTGAAGCTGACACCTTACATTGGAATCAGCAGTCGCACAAAGCTCTCACCAACCTGATCTAGAATGAAACAGAATCGAGATTATATGGTAATCAGGCTTCATCTTTTCCTTTAAGAACCCTAGTCAACAACTCAATCACTAGAAAAGTAGCCTGCTTCATCCAATCAGAAAGTAGTCCAGACTCCCATTTGGAGACTACCTGTTTTAGCAAAACCAATTGGGTTTCAAGTATGCAATTCTAGTCTACACCATGTAACATCCAAAGAGACCGTGTTCACTTTAAAGTTTTGATTTACAAATCTGATGCAACCAAGGATTTTTTAAAAGCACCAGGATTCTCGCAGCTCTCCTCCAACACAAGGAATGTCAGCGTCATGCCCTCTAATAACCCCAGGAAGCACAAGCGGAACATGGCAATACCTCCACTTCTGCACATTAAAGAGAAACCACAAAAGATTTAAAGTGCCAAAAGCACTTGCAGCAAGCTTTTCAATCTAGTGCCTCCAGTATACACGCACAATTTAAAATCTAGATTTTCAGAAGTATCTACATCAAAATCCAATTCATGAACTAGGAGATGGCTCTGGAAAAGAATGCAACAATGTGCCGCAGAAGCCTACTTTAATTCACATATATGCCCACGAACACCAGGATCTGACCAGCATTTCCCTTTCAGATCAATCAGAACCTTTCCTTGTTCAGAGAAACATCTGAGACATCCAACCCAAACCAAGTCATTAAAGATGACCCGTACATTTAAACATTCCTTAATAATGGAACCCGATTCTTATAATCTCAACGTAATCTATAGAATATCACATTGTCAAAAGAAAGTGAAGGAAAAAGTTGGCTGGTTTATCAAAATTCTTGGATTATCCATTGCCCCCAATATATATTGAACGGTTATTCAAACACATCATGTAAGCAATACAACACATAGTAGCCCGACATAGATCAAATGGGAAGGTATGACCTTTGTCATCATCTCTCCCTGCACGGTTGATACCACCGAGGACTTTATACGCCTCTGAATGCACTGAATCAACCCGCAAGGAGTAGATCTTGACTCCTGCTTCTAACGTGCAGCTTGCCTTCATCAAATGAAAAAATATAAGCCAAAATAAGGAAAGAAATTATAAACCGAAATAAGAATTGAAGAAGCTTTAAAGACTGGAGAACCAGAACCTTTTGAAAGTTGGTCTCTGCATCGTCATCTGATTCAACCTTGATAATTTCGCTCAGGTGGTCAATGAGGTTCAGCTCCCATGTGTTCTTCTGATTTATTTTCTGCACACAGACGAAAAACGAAATGAGAATAAGAACGAACAAAGGACAAAGGGAGAACCCATAAGATCAATGCGTTCGAGAACAGGGGCAGCGTGGGGAGAAACTAAATGCAGAGGCATTAAAGGCGAGGAAATCGTAAGAATTGTCCCGAATCACGGACAAGAATATGGCAGCACAAGCAATGCTCTTTACAGTAAACACGGCAATCAGATTGCCTCATGGCGGCACAAACAGTTGTAGAAGAAAACAGAGTTGATCCATGACCATTTTATCATTGCATTCACTGGTCAGTTGTTGTACTGAAATACAAATACCCTAATAAACCGGTAGGAATATAAAGAAAGAGTAATCCAAATTAAGATTTAATTAAGCACGAACAAAATGGGACAGATTCTATGGATCAAAACTATAGGACTTGAGGATTGATGGAAGGGAATATAGAAAAGAGGGTGAAAGACAAAAAATGTAAATGCCAACCAGTCGTTCTCAAAACCAGAATTCTTTAACCAAAGAGTTGGGCTGAAAAAGTGGGAGAGTTCTCCACTCCTGATTCTCCTCTAGCTGGATTCTCCAGGACCACAAGAATCCTTATAAATTTTGGCTTTCATCAGGGAAGATGAGGGATTACGCACACCCAGATATGGGAGTGGATCCATTAAGATCCCATGATACATAGCATACTCTCAGGTTATGGATAAAATTCAATGTACCTGTTCTGGTATCATATCAAAGTATGGCGTAGTCCAACTCAAAACAAATTTGGATCCCTTCGTTTTTCATGATTACTCATCAAGCGGTGTGATACCCTGTATATGCTGGAGCTAAGCAGCAAGCACATGTACTTAACCACAGCTTCATTTTCTCCCTAAAAATTCGGTACTGTTCTAACGCAGCACCTAACACCAAACGGTTGAGAAAGAAGAACATACCATAAGAGGTTTAAAGGTTGGAGGGAAATTTTGAAAGGTGCATTATCATCGAAGAGCTTGATCTTTTAAGAATAAAAAAACGGCATGTATAAAGACAGAGGCGTCTGGAGGATAAGAGAATTTTTGGACTAGAATCAGGGATAAGGATAATCAGAAAATTTGGAGGCGAAAACACTGAATTCAGTAAGGAATTTCTACTACAGACAAAGGGGGTATGCGAGGGCTGAAGATCAAGCGGCGTTGAAAACACTTGTCTCGTCGGAAAGCGATTCAGACAGAACCGGAACAATAAAACGTAATTACAGACCAGAAGCAAGAAATTAGGGACCATAAAACTGGAAAAATACAAAATAAAAAGAAGACTGGCTACGTTCTCGCTGGCAAGCTTGATACAGTTGTGGAAGAGCTCCGTGATCTGCTCCTTCCCCAGGACGTCCGATCTCGGGTGAGTGTCGATGCCATGGGTAACGGCAACAATAGGTTTCCGCCTTATGGCAGCGGCACGGGCAGCCCGGGCCTGGGCGCGCTCGAGCTGGTCGTCGTTGGACCCGAGGAAGTGAAGTGCGTTCTGCTGCACGGCCGCCGACGCCGATACCGGCGACTTGAGCAGCCGCGCCGCCGCCGCCCTCCTCGGCGACAACAATTGCTCATCCTCCACCTCACCGAACCGCTCCGTCATGGCCTCGTCGTGGCCGAAGTGGGCAGCGTGACGAGTGCAAAGATCTGAGAGTCTTCTCTCTCTCCCGAACCCCAGGGAACCTCTTCGCGCGACGAGTATCTTACCTTCAGTCCCGCCCCTGCTGTCTTTTGAATTTCGCGAGGGAGCTTTTGCAAAAAGCCCCTGAACAAAATATATATGCATGAAACACAGGCCTACTTTCACAAATCCAGTATCTCAAGGGCCAGATTACAAGACTCGGTATCCTCTTGAAAGATCCAGGCCGGCATCCGCTCTAATCGCGAACCCTCACAGCTCTAATGGGCCGGCCCAATTCCCCAGGAAGCACGCGATCACACCCCTCCCATTATCACATATAAATAGCCCATTTATATCCGAATCATATTCCGATAGGAAGCCTCTATTCATTTACTCATTCATTCATTCGTTCATTCCATAATGAAGGAACAGACCCAGAACGACCAAGAAGAAGATCCACGTGGCAGACGACCCCAACCAAAAACAAAAAAAAAGAAAAAAAAAGATAGAGAGGAAGCCCACAAAAATCCAAGCGAGGTGAGTGTTGTTTGCAGGGAGAGGGAGAGAGGGATTTTCTAGGCTGACATCATGACGTTGTCGCAGGCGTGGAGAGCCTGGCTGGCGAAGTACCTCACGTCCACGTCGGGGTCCTCGCTCAGCTCCACCAGGGCGGGTCTCACCGTCTGCTCCACGACCTTCCGATAACCAAATCAGTAGTTAGACCAGCTGCTAAGCATGTGTATACATGTGAGACGAGAGAGAGAGAGAGAGAGAGAGAGAGAGAGAGAGAGAGAGAGAGAGAGAGATTTACTCACAGGTTGCTGAAGTATTGGAATGAGAGACTGCAAGACCTTTGCCACGTTGAACTTAATGTTGGGTACTCTGCAAGAGAGAAAGTCCAGTCCAAGCCAATGAACAGGAAGAAGAAGAAGAAGAAGAAGAAGAAGAAGAACAAGTGTGATTTGCTCGTCTGAGGAGTCACCTATCTTTCGAAGCGGTGACGATCACTGGCAACAGCTTTTGGCTGGTGATTTCCGAGCCCATGACGGGAGCAAGCAAAGAAATGGCGTGCAGGATGGTCATCCGGTGGAGGTAGTGCGGGTTGCTGATCTTCTCCATAATCTGCACAGTTTTCAGAACCCCCAGCACATCCAACAAGAAAAAAAAAAAAGAAAAGGAAGAAGAAGAAGAAGAAGAAGAGACGATTCGCGATCAGAAGCAAAAGAGTGGTTTGTGTGATGTAACATACAATGGAGAGGCAAACAATGACAGATGATCTGCAAGAGTAACAAGTAAGAAAGATCACCTGAGGAATAATATGCTGCAAAGCCCATTCTGGGCCGAATTCCTCAGCGAGACGCTTCAAGTTATTAGCTGCTGCATCACGAATTGAGTAAACCTGTAGTTTTCCAAGAACAACTCATTGGATACCCCAGATGATCACAACAAACCGAAGAGCCTACTTAACGATAGTCTATCACCGCAACAAAAAAATAAAAATAAAAATAAAATAAAATAAATAAATTGAGAAAAGCCTCAGGTTAACGTGGAAACAAAAGTTCCTCAAAAATAAAAATAAAAAGTATTTGAATAAAACGAAAATTGAAATATTAGTTACGTCTCTTTTATCAAACAGAATCCCACTTCAACTGCTGGCATTTTACCAGAGGAGAAGAGGTTTCTCATTGATCAGAATGAAGCGATCGTTTGATCGAACACCGCTTTTCAAAGTAAGTAACGCAGATCGTCAGAAGGCATAATGATGGTAGGATGGAACTCGTGGCTGCATCGGAAGGAAGACATGATAACGGTTTTAAAGAAGCACAGGAGTTGGAACCGACTTCAATACTAGAGACAGTTGCAGTCGCAAACAAAGAGATTATCACGTACCTTATCTTCCAACCACTGCATACAAAGTGTCCCAAGTTCTTCATTGAAAAAGCCCACACCCAGCTGGCTTGCTAACAGTGGGATGTACTCAATTATAGCAAGGCGAACACGCCAATGTCTGTCCTCCGCAAGCTCCACAATGGCCGGCAACAATGACTGGGACAATAGGTCCACACCGATCACCTACAAAAGATATCACGTTTGGTTATAACACTTTAGAAATTAATTACTTTAAAACTGTTCAAGAGTAAAATAAAATTCGAGCCAGAAATATAGGTTATATTCGTTTAAAATAAAATCAATTAGTTATCTTTGTCTAATAGCAAAGACAATGCTGGAGGAAGATAATATCCCAGATAGGCTCGGTCCAAATTTATTCCTGATCAAGACTGTCGACAGATTGGCAAATAAAAAATAAGACACTTTGGGCATGTTATAAAAACCTGTCACAAAAACAGATGAATCTTTAAGATAAAGCCCCCCCCCCCTTCTCCCTTTGATTGTTTCCCTTCCCAAAACAAATACATGGCCATTCTTGGAAGGTTGGGGTGGAAGACGATAAATATCTCGAGAATGTGGGGCACCAAAGAAAGCCGCATGTCAAGGTAGATGAAGCGTTTGTTTTAGTAATTCTCCATTTATGCTTTGCACACTGACACCTCCTTCCCGATTCTTCTTCCATCGACGACTGCAGCTGGAGACCTACTGCTCTAACTCTTCTCCTTCTCTGGCTCTTCCCCCAGCTGCAAAAGTGAAACCCTGCCAGCCTCGAACAAGTTTGCACTCCAAGAAGGAAAAACTAACAGGACAATGCAATTTTTTCCTCCTCTTCCGTTTCAAAGGAAGATCAAGACACCACCATGACATTCGACTAACGGCCACCATTGCCACAAACCAAAGTGCTCTTACCAGGACACCTCTCATTATATGCGCATTGTAATCGAGGTGTTGGTGTGAAATAAAGAATCTATCTCATTAGAAGAAAAGGTGCCCACGATCTGAAAACAATTGCAAGCTAATTCCAATCTTCGTCTCCCTAAAGTACCGGATGTTCACACGTTCCAGTGCAACCAGAACAAACGTTAATACAGACTGTAATAGTAAAACTAGTATCTTCCGCAACAAATTCAGGTAACACGTCTAAATTTAGCCCGCAGTAATCATTTTTCATTTTTCCATTATTAGTTTTCCACTATTTGCCCCTTGGTGGTTTAAGAGTAAATGAAAGAAGCAAAGGCCGAATTGTCGATTTGCTTTCCCATAATTTTGACGGCAAAAGCTGGCAAAATCAGTTAACTTTTGATAAACTAAACAAGCTAACATCCACGGTGTACGTTTGTAGGATATGTCTTGCTCATTCCTGGGAAAAATCTTAAAAAGGATAAATATAATAGACATAAGTATTCTTTGTAGTATATAGATGGTGCTTGATACTAAACACCCATGAAAGAATGGCAATCAATGGCGTCAAGTATGGTGTATGATCTTTACAAGTCGCCAGGGAACTATTTGCAACTACATCCATCCAAGCGACCATCAGATTAGCAACACTTCAGCTTTTTACCTATTTAAAACACAACATTTTAGATTAAAATAAAGTAACAGGTGTTAGAACCCCAAAAACGTGCAGATCCAACGGGATATATTTGAATGCTACCAACATGATCTACAAAATACATATCAGATACCACAACATCCACTCCACTTCCCTAAATAATGTAATATCGATTAAAGAAATAACATCACCAGGAAAAATGTACTCGATTAAATCAATTCCCTTAACCATGAGACCACAATTATATTACCAATAAAAAGAAAGCAATGATGAAATGCATCAAAACAGAAGGCTCCAATTAAACTATCAAAAAAAGTAAAAGATTATGTCCATGGGCAACGGCAATAAACTGTTTCACTTCGAACAAAAAAACACGGGAAAAAAAATTCAAACCTGATTCACTTGGTCGAGTTTGCTAATTATATTCAATCGGACATCAGGAAATTCATCTTTCAAAAGAGAGAGAAATATTGGCAGCAGCTGCTCGATTGTGGCATCCTACAATATACAAACCATTAGTTTCGCCAGTAAAAAAGGTATTTACTACAGGTACATGTATTAAATATTGTGAGAAGACAGAATAGTTTGACTGAGACCAATTTCGTACAATCAGAATTTTTGGTATTCCGTTAATCACTTAAAGACAAAAACAACATTTTAAATATATAAAAAAAAACAATAAGAATATCCACTCTGGTGACTCGTAACCGTATTCCTTACGGATGAAGAGACACTAAAAGTAAGAATCAAATCCACAAAGAAAAACAAAACGGCCAGAAGCAAACAACTGAGCCATGGTTGAAAAACTGTCGCTGCTGAAAGTAAGAATATACAAGAAACCTGTAGTTTATTTAGACGAGATTGGAAAAGAGGAGAAGAAATAGGAGCAACAAAAAGGAAACACATTCATCTCATTGGTATCTCAATTGCTAGAAGACTCGTGACTCAGCTTCACGTACTTCAAAAATGGATTTAGGTTTTTTTTGGCTCAGCTGTGTACCAGTGGTGGTTTCTGCCATCCAACAAGATAATTCATCCACAAATTGATATAAAGAATCGGACTCTTATCATGTTAGCGGGATTGATTTGATAGTTCAAATTCCAAATATAGACTAAGATCACGCAAGTCAGGGCAATATGTTAAGAGAATTCTATGGAAGTCGATCAAGTGGCAGCTGATCACCACAATCAAATTTGGTTCTCGATTACCATACACAATGCTGAGAAACGTGTTTTCTTATCATTCTGAGGACAGTTTGTCGCATTAAATTATGCATTGAATCTGAACTCCGTATGCCCCCCCAAATATCAAATCAGATAAGTTTTACGTCAGTGACGTCTAGAAGATTAAACTGGTAATCAAGACTGTCTTGCATCACTTTTAGGCTTTATGTGATTTTTTGGCCTAATGAAAGGTTTCTCTGTCTAGCTGATCAAGATGAAATTATCACCTGGCGCACATAAGGAACAAAGTAAGTGAGTTGTCCTCTTTCTACATATAGAATCTCATTTATTGAATGTGCAAAAGAAAACACAAATGGCATTAAGAGAAGCAGACTAGTTTTTTCCCATGATAACGTCATATATTCTATAATCCTACATGCAAAATCTTCACCAAAATTCATAAAAATGGAGCATAATAAAGAAATATTAGACAAAAAAACATTAAGGGAACAAATCAAAGAACGATGCATGAGCAACAAACAAAAGAGAAAAAGGTCCGACTTTCACTTCAGATGTAAATCATGAAACACCTTAGAAACTGCAAAGCAAAAGGTCCCACTTTCATTTCAGAAAGTAAATATATGCATATACCTTTCCCAGAACTGGTGCCATTCCCATGATGACTGATGCTAAGGCTGAGCGAACATGTTGTGAAGAGTCAGATGACAATTCCTACAGCCAAAAAGTTCCATACAAAACAGATTAAAATGGAACATATTGGACATGAAATACAAATCATGACTGGAAGCAGACGGGCCGTATTGGAAATAAAAAAGGATACCAAGCAGTTTCACTGTTACATGGTACAAAACTAAGCCACACAAGGACAAGACGTGACGGATTAACTGCCAAAAAAAATTTAACAAGGCCTTTAAATCTGAACCAAAAAATCCTAGTCAGGATCAGGTTTATAAGATAAGCTTCATGAAATTCGTAATGCACGAGGCCTAAAACGACGAAAAAAATATCATCCTACAGGGAGCAAATCACGTGTGAGATACAGCGCATGTATCTTTCCCTTCATAAAATAACATCACATTTCGTTACCTTTCTATTGTTTATAATTATCATGATTTATCATATTGAATGTGTAATCTCTGAATAAATGTAACAGATGATGATAGGCAAGTAACTTGAAACAGCAGTCTAATGAATTAACGCACCATTCACTTTGAAAAAAGAAAGCAACGTTTAACCAATGAAATGCAATTACAGATTCTGTAAGTAGTTTATACGCCTCGTCTTAACTAATGGCCACAAAATAACCTATGGTAAGCAAACACATGAAGAAACATGCATAAAATAAAAGCGGGATGAAACATGAGGGTAGTCACTCATGCAGAAAGGGTAGCCAATCATCCAGAAATATACCACTGGCCTTGCATTTTTCAAAAAAAGATCTATCTCGCAATGGACAGTATCCGTACCTTCACACATGGAAGAATGTGCTGAATAGCAAGTTGAGGTTCCAAGATACGACAGAACTTTGTCACCTTTCCAGCAGCTGCTATCCGCACTTCTGCCTCATTATCTCGAAGAAGCCGAACATATGCAGGCATCAAATCCGTCCTTTAATACAGAGATAAGATAAGAAGCACCAATTAGTCATTGACAAGAATTATATCATTCATATGGTCATTTGGATGATGTTATGCAATTTATTATTGAACAAAAAAAAATCTGCGCAGTAAGAGTGGCCAATCAATAGGTTGCATTGACGAAGCAATGTATATCATGCATAAACATTCAACACAACAGTAGCTGATAAAATATTTCACATATGAAACATACATGTTTGATCTACATTCTTTCCCTCCATTCTTCAAGCAGTACAAGGGAGACAAAACATACATGTTTGATCCACATTTTTCCGCCTTATTCCCCTGTTTTTCAAGCAAAACTAAATAAATGTACCATTAGCATGTGAACTGTATCTTTATGCTCAACATTTTTACTCAAACCATTATATTATGGTCATAACAAATAATTAGGTAATTTAGAGTAGGAAACCTAAAGTCAAATCAAAACTTTGTAAGATGATTCATATCTTACCATGGCATCTAATATGTATTATTGTAAGTATTTTAATAATATCAGATCGGACTACTTTATTACCGTAATATGAAAAGACCAATAAACTCTAAGAAAGATATAAAGAAATAAATATGAAAAAAAACATCTGCCAAAAAATCTTAGTATTGGCTTACTGTGTTAAATGAAAAAACATAGAAATAAATATTTAATAACAAAGTAAAGTTTCCAAAAATTAGCATTGACGTCTAAATATATAGACCCCGTTGTTTTCGAGATTAGTAGAGTATCACATGCATAAATTAGTTTTAAATTGTGAAAAAAAAATAAGAATAAGAGTTAACAACAACAATAGGCACTTGGCATTTAGAGATTTAATCATAATAATATCAGACATTGAAAATAAAATTTACGTGATACCTAGTCAACTCGGGACCAACAGCTTCACAAAGCTCATATAATTGATTAGCCACCATGTAGCGCACTCGCCACGATTTATCCTATTCAATAAGAAAGAAAAAAATGCAATCAAAACAGAAACTAGTGCACATGATGACTGTCATAAACCATGATTTTGATTTTCAGGGTAGATATGATATCGTTGATCGGAGAAGAAACAGAAGCATAAAAAGAGAACATGATTCCCATATTTCTGCTTATAGAAACTAAAAGATGAATGCATGCCAATGAGAGGAGAATCTTTCCACAAACATAATTATTACAACAAGAAGGCTAATGCACACCTGTGAGAAACTAATGATAACAGGAAGAATATGAGTGATACAGTCCTGGGATTCCAACAATTTTCCGAGTGCTGCACATCCTTCAACAGCCAAAAGCCGCACAGAATCTTGATCTAGAACAAACAAAAGTCCATGGAAGATGAAAATCAGTCGCATAAAAAATAAATCTGAAGCATTTTCAATAAAATACAAAATAAAAGAATGAACATAATGCACAGATATTCGCAATAGAAAAAAAATGAGAATCTAATGTAAGAACTAAGCCATCTTCATTTTAAAAGTTAGCCAGAAGATAATTTCAAAAACGGATGACTGATGCAATCTGCTTGAAATGGAAGTAGATCAAACCCAAACAACCAAATAATACATACCATCTCGGGTCAGATCCTCAAACATGGGGATGATATCTGTCTTTAGATGACCTGGTTCAACAGCGGATGCAAACTTTCCTAAATTGGACGCAGCAGATCTTCTAACCATTGGCATATCGTCTTGGCATAGTTGGCCATATATGGACCTCAATTCGGACTTTATAGGATCAGGAGCACTTGGATAAGCAATATGAAACAGTCCACATGAAGAAACTCGAGCAGTAAACCACTCGCCAGCTGCAAGTCTCTACACAAGGAACATACAATAAGGAAAAAATAAACCAAAATGGCAGATGTGCGACAACTAATGTCATACATTTAGAAATGAAGAGCAATCCAGTGATTATATAAAAACAACAAAATAAGTCCTACTTGCTAATTTCCAGGGTTTTCAGGGAAAAAATCATAGATTACTTGTGTTACGAGCTAATTAAACAGGAAAATTTGTCAGATCACAGGGAAAATTTGTTACGAGCTAATTAAAAAAGCTCGCATGACATATAGTTCGCTCCGGGCTTGTAGAAGGTTGTTTTCAAGTTTTGGGAAAATGACTCATGCACCCCGAAAAGTAACAGTACCTCAAGAAAATGACTTCCGGCAAAAAATTCATGATCACAGGGACACAATATTTTAATTTTCTTACCTTGACGAGTGGAACAAACCAGTCCACTAAATCGCTTTCCTTCATTTGGGTCCCAATTCTGCACAATGATTCCACAGCCTTCTCTCTAACACAAGTTTCCTCCACAGTGCATAGTGTCTCCAATGGAGGAAGCAGAACATGAGCATACTCAACACCACCAATGTAGGGAATAAATACTCCTAATTCTTCAGCCATTGCAAGAAGCACCTCATCGTCATCATCATTGTTTTCACTAAGAAAAGGGATCAATTCTTTCCTAGTTCTTTCCTCGCCCAGAGCTCTTGCAATCGTAGAAAGTCTTCGAATGGAGTTCAACCGCAACTGAATATCTTCATTTTTCAGTTCATCTATCAAAATAGCTATAGGATAGAGTGGCTCGTCGATCATAGCCATTAGATTCCTAGATTTATTCAAACTGAAAAAAGAAGGAGCCATATCAGTTTACAGGCATATAGCAGACAAACTGAAATAAATCAAATGAAAAAAAAAGATGAAGAGAAAAATATGCCACTTTTTCCTAATATTTTTAGATGTTAAAACCAGGCTATATTCTAGAATAGGATGCAACTAAGAGGGAGGCGAACTATTAAAAAAAAAATCCCCGAGCATTTCACGTGCATTGGTTAAATATACACCCTATCGTATTAAAAATGTTGAAGATCTCTCTCGTGACTAGATCGATTTTCTTCATGGAACTCGACATAACATGAAACCATCGACCTCTCCATGTCAAATGCAAAGAGATGACTGACACAAACCCGTCCCCTTCAGGTTCATTGGAGCCTATATTTTTGTCTCATCATCCCGTGTTCCTCACGATGCAGAACTGGTTAGCCTTTGAACGGATTCTGAAGCTGGGGTTCTTTTGCTCAAATCGTCTTCCATTTTTTTCCCCTTTACACAGAGAGAAAAAGCGGCATTTCCACATGCAGAAAACAAGTCGACGATGAAGACTATGAAGCGGATGACTCTCCAGATTCGCACTTCGAGGATATAAAGTTGTTCGGCGGTAAAATTGGGGCCTCAAATGGTTGACTGTAATGTTTACACGATGAGTTTTGTCCAGGAAAATGAAGTACAGTGGAGATTCGTAAAAAGGAACACGCGAAAGTTGGTTCCTAGGATACCCGAGAACTGATTCCAGGGGAAAAAGGCAATATGGAGTCGTCCGTCACCAGATCTGCCCTAATAAACCACTCAGAAGACAATAATTGGTCCAATTACGCGCCCCTGAACTCCGCGGAGGAACGCTAACCCAGGGAGCCATCAAGGCAACCCCCGTAGAGCCGAGCTGGACCCAGCATCGGAGAGCGGCACCAAAGAACGGCAGTACCTCGGAGTCTCGTGAAGAACATAGGCCTCCGGTGCAGGAAGAAGGGATAGAGAGAGGGGGAGAGAGAGAGAGAGAGATCTGACCAGCCAAGTGCATGGATCGGGCTCCTGCTGCAGCTGCTGGAAGGCGCAAGGATGTCCGACCACAGCTCCCGCCTTGCCCCTACCGCGAGAGAAGAGGGAAGATGGAGATGGAGAAGGAAGACGGGCGCGAAGAAAATACAGCGATCTATGCGGAGACAGCCCTTCAAGCGCCAAAGCGAAATTAGGAAAGTGGGCCGACTATACCCTTGATTAGTGGGCTCCCCCGTTAAGGCCCACAGGGTGTTGAAGGGGACGGCGAAGAGGCCCACTGGGCCGTGACTGGGTATAGGATGATGGACACTCATTGACATATCATCAGTGGGAGGGGGACTGGCGAACACACGGACGATCACTAATGGGCCGAATATTCTCCACCTTGAAAGGCCCACAGGCCCACAGGCCGACTTGGGCATGCCCACATCCAGCTGAGATTGCGTCGCCATTTTTAGATGATTTCTCTCCAAGTTATGAATATTTGACGCCATTTTTAGGCTTTAGGGAGGTGGGTTTCAGCTAAAGGTTTGGGCTAGGGCATGCCCACATCCAACTGAGACTGCGTTGCCATTTTTAGATCGTGTCTTGTCGAATGTATGAATTTTTTACGCCATTTTTAGGCTTTCTGGAGGTGGGTTTCAGCTCAAGATCCGAACTTGGGCATGCTCACATCGAGCTGAGACTGCATCCCCGTTCCTCCAGTGTTGTTCTACCTGCCAGAGATTACCAATCATGGTGGCCCTGCACGAATCTGAAATAACTTTCGAGTTACCACCAAATGCTATGAAGGTCCAGAACGGAAAGAAACAGAGATCTCCCACAAAGCAAACAAAAATGACGGCCGCCGGCGACGGCGACGGCTACGGCGGGGGCGGGAAAATGAGAGTCTTGTCGTAAGCCAGAGCTCAGCGGCGGCTGGTTTTCCCGATGGACCGCTTCCCGGAGAAGAGATGCTTCGGCTTCATGTTGGGGATTACCCTGTCCGCCTCTCCCCGGCGAGCAGACTTGTTCCTCAGCTTCACCGAGTTCTTAGCGAGCTTGATCGCCTTCACCTTCTGGGCCGAATCTCTGAGCCCTTCTCCGGGCACGACCTCGCCCGGAGGCCGCGACCTGGACCGCGATCGGAGCCGCAGCTTCTTGTTGGGTTGGTCGACGTCCATATTCACTGCTTCATCGTCCCCTCTGGCCTGCGATCTTTCTCTCTTCCGGCCGACCCGGGACTTGCTCCGAGCCCGGTTGATGGCGGCAGAGGGGTCCATCCCCAGAGTTGAAAGCTCTCTCCCCATCCTCTTGGTGGTGAACGATCTGTACCTGTCGAACTTCCTGGGCACAGTGGGACGGCTCTCGGCAGTGCTCTTCTTGATCCTATGCTCCTGGATGAGCATCGCCTTCTTCTTCTTGATCTCCGCCAGCGCCTCTCGCTCCTCTGGTGACAAGTCTCTGGCATCCATGTCCAGGGCATCATCCTCTGCCTCGGCCTCAGCCTCCAGACGAAGGCCCTCCTCTCTCTCCAGCTCCTCCAACCTCTGCAAGATATCTGCATCAACAAAGTCATAAACATTGTGCCCGTCTAAGATTTCCGGCATAATGTCCTCCTTCCACTCCTCGTCAGCCAAGATGTAATGCTTCCTCAGACTGGCAGAGTAGACTCCGGCACCGCCATTCTCGTCTTCCAGGTCCCTCTCGAGCTTCCTCTTCTCCTTCTGCTGAGTCTCCTTGGCTCTGGCCTCCAGAACCGCCTGCGGTATGCACGGAGGCCGCTCCTTATTGTCACGGGGCTTTGGCATTGCAACGTGGAATCTGTTCAGGCAGTCGTTGATCTTCTTCGACTTCATCTTTATCTCCACCCTTTGATTCAGCAACCTCTCACACGCTGCATTCTTCACGGCGATCACGCCATCCTCGGTCAAGGTGCTCATTGTCAGGAGAACCGCCTCGCCGCTCGCCTCCCCACCCTGAGCCACAACCGTCTTCGCAGCTTCGGCCTTCATCTCCGTCACCAGCTTCATGTCCTCCTCAGGGAGCGCGTCCAGGCCCTGCAAGTCAATCTTGTTGCACACTATTATGAGTGGCTTGTTCATAAACAACGACTTTATGCTGTGGAATAGAGCTGCCTGCTGCGCCACGCTGTAGCCACACGAGCCCGACACATCCAGGAAGAATAAGACAGCGGCTCTGAGATGTGCCAGCGCCGTGATGCTGCACATCTCGATGATATTCCTGTCTTCAAACGGGCGATCCAGAATACCCGGTGTGTCGATCACCTGGTATCTCAGGTACTTGTAATCCGTGTGACCGACGAAGAGAGACTTTGTCGTGAATGCATATGGTTGGACGTCCACATCAGCCCTGGTGATCTTATTAATGAAAGAGCTCTTCCCCACGTTAGGATACCCACAGATCAAGATGGTGCGAGTGTTGGGATCTATCGAAGGGAGACGAGCCATATGCTGCCGCACCTGCTCCAAGTAGGCCAAACTGGGGCTGATGCGTTTCATAATCGTGCACATGCGCCCAAGTGCAGCGACCTTCAGAGATTTGCAGCGGTAGAGCGAATCCCCAAACTTGAGCAGCTTGACGTAGTCCTTCGCCACCTTACTGATGAGGTTCCTCGCGGTGTTGATCTGCCCCAGAGCGAGCTTGTAGTGGTCCTTGTTGTAAAGAACGTGAAGGAGATCCCCGTAGAACGGATGGATGTCGTCCAAGCGGGGGAACTCGTCGATGATGGTTGAGAGCTTCTCATGAAAGTTCTGCTGCGTGTACTTCACTTTCCTCATATAGAACTGGCGGAGCCGGGAGATGGCATACCCTTTATGCACCACGGTCGGGGTCTGACGCTGGGTCCGCGAGAGGATGATGTCAATAAAGTCCTTTCCTGTTGGGACCGCAGTCATCTTCTTGAAGTTGTACTGCACCATCTTTGCTGTTGTTTGTGAGACGTCTGCGATGACCTGAAAAAAGTTAAAAGGAAGATGATTAAGTGACAAGAAAGCTTTCTACAACAACAAAATATGCCGTCAAACCCAAGGAAAAGAGAAAAAGGGAAGACTTTATGCCCTTCGAACAGCATCACAGAGTGCCTGATCACAGGGGAGATTGCGGGGTGTGCTTGATTCAAAGCAAGGATGATTCTGGAACGATTTTTTCTTCAAATAATGCCATTAAAGTTGGGATTTTTCGGGTCTCACATTAAAGTTGGCGATTGGCAAAATATGCCACAGAACAATTTATCGACGGTACCAGTTTTCATAATCAAAAAATTTATCTGCATATAAAAACTGTCTGCAGCCGAATCACCATAAAAACGGTCGCATGAGTTTAAATAAAAAGGTATGCAATGCGTTCATGAATAGCATTCGCGAAATTAAGAAGAGTTATTTCTTCTACAATGGAGGCAAATTCTTCGCTGTGAGATGTACGAATACGACTCAAACTGAAGAGAACAAGTACCCACATCAGCTGACAGGCAGACAGCAGAAAAATCGAAGTAGAACAGGCTATGTCACCGAACACAGGATGAAGAGGAAAGCACGCAAATTTTGGGTGCTCAGAACTAGGCTATAGATGCATCTAAAATGTATCTACGGTCCGATTAACCTCCCCCGATCACCCTGCCCACCCCGAGGTGGACCCAGCAGCTCGTCCAGGATCACCTCGGAGCCTCTTGAAGAACAATGGCCACCGGCGGAGGAAGAAATGGGGAAGAGAGAGAGAGAAAGGAAAACCTGGAAGGGGGAACAGAGGAAAGAGATCTTACCAACCAAGTGCACGGGGTAGGGCTCCTGCTGCGGGACGGCGCGAGGACGGATGACCACGGCTCCGGCCTTGCCCTGCCGCGAGGGAAGAGGGAAAAGGGAGATGGAAGAGAATAATCGGCGCAAAGCCGACGTAAAACCCTAGTGCCGCCCAAGGAGAGTCCCTTCACGGGAGCAGCTATTCGGATCCGGTCTCGCAGAGCGGATCAGGCGACGGATCAAGTTTCGGATCAAGCGAACCGGCGGACCGGACGACCGTTGTACCCGGGAAAACCGCTCGACGCACGTGACACGCAGAATTGGCGCCGCCGGCACCGGTAAATGGCGGCTCCGGATCGGAACGAGGTGAGCAGCTCGCGCTTATGTTTCAAATCAGCTGCAAGGTGCAATTTTATCATTAATTTTATCATTCGTAGTATCAAAAGATGAGATCTTTTTCCAAAAACAAAAATAGGGATTAATAGTATGATTTCCTAGCAGTTCCTAGAGAGAGAACCACTTCCTCGCTAATTATCTTGAATGGGGGCATCTCTTCGCTCATCTTTATCCTAGTTTTTCTCTAGGAAAAATCCCAATTTTTACCTATAATTGGTCAAAATAATTAGATTTTCTGATGGTAATCTTCAGTTTCGGTTTGGACAATACATTTGAGGTGCATTTCTATATTTAATGGGATAGACCATGGAGAGGTAGAGAGAGAGAGAGAGAGAGAGAGAGAGACGTTGTTCTGGATAAATCATTTCCCACACCCAGAGAAATGCGCGTGGAGCCACATCACGTAGAAATTGCCCATAAATAGAAAGGTGCGAGGTGTATTTTTTTCTCAAGGAAAAAACCACAAATTTATTACGATGCATGCGTTACTATACATGAAAAAGGTGCAATTAAATGATGTAAGACTAGTTCAATTTGTCAAATAATTAATAAAACCTTATTAAAATTATACTAAAGACTTGCATGATTCTTAATACACTTGTCTTTTTTACATCAGAAAATATACCATCTCCAAGGAAAAAACCTTGCATATGAACGACTTAATCATAACATGCCATTAATATTACCCTCAAACCTTGCAAGGATTATGAATTTTATTTTTATATTCCCACGTCGTCATAATTGGCAGAAAATATACGTATCAATAATCTTGGTTTAGTTTATGAACACAATAATATGCCTTCCTTTTGTCAACGATTCCTTTCATAGATTAATCACATGAGACCCAATTAATCAACGTAGAAATCAACCAACCCAATTAATAATATTCATGGCCATCTAACAAGAACATTTTTCTTCTTTTGCGTGCCATATGGGTGATGATTCTTGTTAGTAAGGCTCGTATCATGCACAATAATCCATTACATCATCTCGCCCCAAGAACATATAAATCACACCTTACCAAAAACCATGGATCATTATCATTATTATTACTATTATCATCATGGTGAGCAAATGGCCATAACTCAGAGGTTGGAGAAGATGGCGTCAAAATCATGCCCTCCCTGCAGTTCAGTTAGAACATGTAAAATACCGAATAAAGAACCTTGTTCGCCGGAATACAACATCTCTGCTGGGCACCTCATGGATTATCTGTGTATCACCACCACCTGTTAGCATCTCGGAAGAGGATCCTCGCGCTGTCATCCTCCCTCCGAGTCATCTCCGCCTGGCTTCGGGGTGTATCCTCCGAAGAGAGTAACCATATAAGAAGAAGGCTGTATAACTCTGTAAACCCACCGGGAGAGGGAGATCAGCTGCTGAGCGAACTAGACCAGCTTTGCTTCAAGCACGAACAACGGAAATGGCGGTAGTAGATCACTGTTGTGATGTTGGAAAGAATAAGGCGGGATTGAATGGGCCGACAGCTCCATCAGTCAGAAGGCGCAATGCAGCACCCTCGCTGAATTTTCTTGCGAACAGGTAGCACGGCACGTGGGCAGCATTGCAGAGGCATTCTTCTGTCCGATATTCTGTCTCAAAGTACAAATGATCGATGCCCTGCAGGATTTTCCATGGCATCTTCCGTTACAATATTCTCGCAGATGATTTGGAAAAAGAAAAAAATTAGAGAACCTGGAATAGAGCTCCCAGGGAGCACAATCAACAGAAAAACTCAACTTGGATGAATCCGATTGCATATATTATCAATGAAAAAAATACCATGTTCCATGTTCCACTCAAGTTGGACTCAGCAAAATTATCCAGAATTTTCTGCATGTTGGCATTCGTTCGATGATAAACCATGTTCTACCAAGCTGGCATGACGAAGGAAACATACGTGTGTATGTATATATACATACACACGTGTGTGTATACGTGTATACTTTTGTATATGCAGAGGGAGAGAGAGAGAGGGAGAGAGAGAGAGAGAGAGAGAGAGAGAGAGAGAGAGAGAGAGAGAGTTCATATTGGAGGTTTTACCTTTTAAGTGATGTTCTCTTTTATTGATAATTACAAAAATCCTTCATACAGCAGAATTGATAAAAACTGACAGACACGAATAATGGCATAATTCGTCGTGGCAGTCTTACCACGTCACATTATGTCTTGATTAATGTCGATCATTTCAACTTGAAAGATATGCATATGCATCAAGTTTGTGTCACATGTATAATATTTCAATAATTCCAAGAAGGATAGAGGAAAAAAAAATCAACTAAATGAGATAAAAAATCCTGCGAGTATTGGCATTTTGCATTAACTGTCTAAGCAATATTTTAATCTATGCCTCAAAGCATAAAACTTACAAAACATTACAAGATACAGAAAAATATTAAATATATCGCCTGGCATATAATTAAAGACAGAAAGGAAAAAACACGAGAGGCATATAGAACTTCGATTTCACCTTTATTTTTTCAATGTGAAGAGGATCTGCATCAGCATATTCAAAAGTGATTGGATGCCAATCTTGCTTTTCTTTTCTTGATGGCGAGTGATTCCAGAATGTATATGTTAATGACCTCCTTTCAGTTTCATCTACAAGTCCACTCATCTGTTAGACACCAGAAAATGGAAAATTGATCAGTGAAGTGAACAAATATGTTGAATTTGACTGTGTTAAAAAAAGATTGTTAATAACTCCTATTTTTCATCCAGTGAAAGAAAGAAATTGTAAATGAGAGTATCCCTTTTCCCGTGTACTACATGTTGAAACTGATCTAATTATGAAATCCTTAATACAATTAAACTGCCTGTAATTGTGAGACAATGAAACAAATACTAAAGAGAATACGTGCAAGACGGCTTCAACTTTGGATAAAACATTAAAATAATCCTACAATTAAGTAGCAGAAAGGCAAATAACAACAAGCTCCTTACTGAGAAAAGTGTCTGTATGTAGTGCTCATCAGGGATACAATTGTGTTTACTCTTGGAGACCACTTGCTGCAGGAAATAATTAATGATTAAATCAATGGGCAATTATGAATCGCAAAAGAAGTCAAGAGTGTCTATGTTATTCCCAAATGAAGCAATTGGATATATGAATCTTCTCTTCAGTCAACAAAACTGTGAAAGAAAAAGAAAAAATGGAGCTATAGTTGATAAAATCATTTTCCCACTTCAACTCAGAGAAGGATGATATTCCACCATAAAAATTATCATTACCACCATGTGGTAATGAAATTTCCAGTATCGATTCATGGTAAGTCAAAGGTCCAGTGCGGATGATCAAACAACCACCTCTGAACACAAACCATATAGCACAGTCTTAACCATCTCTGTACACATAGCTGCAACATATATATGCCCACATATGCTTTGAAACCATTTAAAAGAGGGGAAAAAGTTACGCTCTTTGATCTTCGATTTCGTTGGCCTTGCCACTAAAGCTTATGATGAAAATTGGATAGAAACATTGATTGGGAAGGCCAGCAATTATGGTTTTCCTAGTTCAACCGTCTAGTACAACTTAGTTTTTAAAGCATTGGTGAATAAAGGCGTCCCACAAAGGGGTACACAGTCAAAGAGGGGAACAGCATCAGTCTTTGGCATAAACCAATACTTCTTTTTGGGTGTCCTTTGCATATCAGAAAATAAAGCTTAATGATTGGTTTTCTTCAGAAACTTCGATAAAATGGTACATGTAAATGCTGAAAGGCTATTTTTTATCATGGTTTAACAAAAATCACAACGTCACGAAGAAGAATGAGAACTACATTCATCAGTGTTCTGGCTAATGGCATCTACTGCTAACCCATCTCTTTCAAAAGTTCTATGTTTCATAATGGAAGATGAAAAAAAAGGAACTGAGGCAAAACAGAAAAATGCATGGGCAACAATAGTTGGGGGAGAGCGGGGGGCTGTGGCAGTCAAGAAGGACAAAGGGGAAGTCGAGATGCAGCCAGATGAGGTGGCAATGGAAAATGTTTTTTCTTCTCCTCTCAGTTCTTTTCTTCTATAACTGCATAGGTGAAGCAGTGGATGTGGAGGCAGGAGAGAACAGAGGAAGAGGAAAAAAGTAGGGGAAAAGGGAGGAACCAAAAAAAATTACAGCAAGGGTGAAAAATAGCGGCAGCAACAGGGCGGCGGCAGTGATTACTTGAGCAACTGCACTAGATAAACTTGAAAATGTTCTACCCACTTATTCGTTACACATAAGATTGGACGAAATCTACTCCTCTTATTGCTCTTGGGGAGACGATGTTCCTCAACGAAACTGCATAAACCACTACTGATTCCGATCTGGATCAGAATTGAAAGACTGAAAACTGTGCAGTAAACCAGTCTAGTTTGAAACACAACCATTACAAGAGATTAACTTTTGTCCAGGACCTCTAGAATTCATGAGATTTAACTTTTGACGTATTTCAGAAGACTGACCTTTATGACAAATAGATTGGTTGGATGGAGTCATGGCCTACCTCTTCTACATTCTCTATTTGGGTCAAAGGTGAGTCTACTTCCTAATACCAGGTGCGGTCTTGTCAAGTGACACCCGCTCTGTTCTCTTTTACTTATCCTTGGTACATAAGTACCGGGTAGGAAGTGAGGAAGGGCAAAAGGACGAGCGAATTAGGAGATTCCAAATGCAACAGGAGCAACTCCAAGTCATTGGCCTTGAGTAACACTCTCACTTCTAATCACACTTATCTTTTTCAAACAGAATCAGCTCGTAAACTACTAGAATGATGTTAGAGTACTTGAAGTTATCGGCCTTCAATAACTGGAAGTGATTAATAGTGCGCATGAACATGGATGACAGGATGTTAGGAAGGTTACCTTGATTCTTTGATGCAAGGTGAGAAGGTTGCCCCTTTCGTATCTACAGTTATCGCTCACCCCGGGTATTGATCTTTGTAAGAATTCATTGGAATCAAAGAGCAAGTTCAAGGGCCGATACAAAAGATGGAAATTCAGACTGATCTCGGACAAGGACTACTAGTGCTTATAAGGCGGTCCTTTCCAGCCTGATGATCCATTATTCATCCTAACTTTGTTCCCCAAATATCAATTTCACTTTCATAATCTTTGGTAAGACCATTTCCTTAATGTCCTCCCATGTCAATTGAATTTGGAACTGTGACATGATCAACATAAAAGGGGGTATGTGAAGAGCAATCACCAGCTCCAATACTATGTTAGAATTATTAAGCCACCCAAGTCAAACTACTTGACATTAGAATAGACTCATTTTTATAATAATAAGTTTACTTTTATAGCAATGAATACGGGATTGTCCTTTAAAATAACAAGACGATAGGTCTAGATGATGGAATGATATTAATTAGATGATAGTATGAGTAATAAAGAGAAGTGCGGTCATGATAGAATTATCAATGACTTCAATCTTTCAAAACTCAACAAGTGGTTTTGCTAAATAAAAGAACTACATAAATGGAAGACATCTTGTTGCATGGCCATTGAAGAAGACAAAGGTGGGAACAAGGAGGGGGAAATAAGGAACGAGAGATACAAGGGAAAAGTTCCATTTGGATATCAATTATGCCTCTTGCAAAACTTTGTGGATATGCATACTTATTTCTTGTTTGTTCCTTCTCATCTTAAATCAGAAGGGAGCTGTCCATTGTGCCATGTACTAGTAGTAGTTTTCCACAAATTACAGAGAAGATATGGTGGGTGGAAATGGAATATGAGACTTATAAGTCAGATGGGTATGATAAATCCATTTTGAGTGGGAGAAACACACATATTTACGTGTAATGAGTATTGTTTAACAGATATTCTATTTATTTCTCCAAACGTTAAAGAGGAAACGAGAATGTTTGTAATGAGGTGGGTGATTGTTCTTATGTTCTGAGACCAAAGGAGTCATAGTTTATCTTAATCTTTTGTCCCTTCTCCATGACAATGACATATTTAAAAAATGGCACAACTTCTATGATATAAGAACAACAAAATGTGAGTTAGAGAAACATAAAAAAGCCACTTACATTTTTTGGGCTACCTCCATTACCTTCCAGGTGCATCTGCAGTTTGAATAAAAACAAAAAAAAACTAAGCATTGCAACAACATTCAAGTAAAGACATGAGAAACACAATGAATACTGTGTACATGCAGAGTTAATCCGCCATATCATAAAGAATACCATTGGGAATTCTTTCGTGTTCATTAATTATGCACGGCTATCATTAAGGAAAGAGATGGCAAATGTGCGTAAAACCATTTTGTAATATTGAAAAAAACCCCAAGGAACATGGAATACTTGAGAGAACAGAAATTAAAATAAATCCATCAAAAAATAAAATAAATCCACTTCAATTTAGTAGAAACTATGCAACGCCCAGTATTGCAGTCACGAAGAGTAGACGGGACAATGCCTGAGCGTTGGATAATTTTGGGCAAGTTGATAAACATTTCTGATAACAAGTGAAAAAAATTATATTAAAAAATAAGGAAAAAGAATTCTGAAGCATATACCTTGCAGTGCTTCTTGAAAACTGGGAAAACGACGTTATCTGTGGCGACAACCGCTGCATGCTTCCTGATTAAAGTAGCCCACTGAAATTTAAAAAGCACATAAATGATAACTTGAAAAATGAGTGAATATGACAAGTAACCAAAAGAAGTCCATTCGATCATTGTATGCTCTGATAATTCATAAAAACAAAAAAATGAAGACCTGAGATCCTTTCCTCCATTTGTCCCTCGGGATTGTAGGAAACATATCTGGATTGTATCGGGAATGCTTCGTAATGACAAAACTGGTACACAGAAATTTTTACGACATGAAAGAGAAACAAATTTAGTCAGGATTGAGTATCTAAATAAATATACCGCAGAAACAAAACAAACGAGATGTTAGACAACACAATTATCACTCAGATAGTAAAAACTCTGAAAATATGCCGATTTTCCATTTCTGAGAAGATACAGAATTTGCATTTCATCATACCTGTCAACAAAGCTTTTGGAAGAGGACATCAGGTAATTATATGTGTAGCTGAAGTTGTAAAGAGGAACGCAACTGCATGAAACAGTAGAAATGCATAGAAACAGTTCCTTTAATAATCAATGGGTACAAAAAGACACAGAGCACAAAGTTCATAATTTACATTTAAACAAAGGAAAATCAAAGTAAGAGTCGAAGGGAAATGAAGTCAATAGCAAAAGAACTCAAATGAGTAACCTAGAAAATGGAGAGGGCGACCAGGGTAACATATCAAGTATTCCTTCTTAACTCGATGATAAAAGCTATAGGAGAGTACATTACGTGTCCAGTAAGAATGGTCAAAGAGTTGATTGTGCACATCAGATATTGAAGCATAAAATAGAACATAATGCTTACCATTAACGTCAGGATTTTGTAACACATAAAACAAATCAACAAGAAAAATTAAACCGATATTGTTAATTCAAAGCTCGAACTCCAGTGATGAGGCATGGGAACACACGCCAGTTCCCATGCCTCATCACTGGAGTCTCTTCCTTTTAACAGAAAATACCGCAAGTCTTCAATCATGATGGAAAAATACCATTATTTTCGTGACATTTTAGCAAAGGTATCCAGGCATGTAGGAGGGTAGGCAAGCAATTGGACCAAAATGATCTTGCTTTGGCCACTTTAGTTCTCGATAGCCCTTGTAGCTGCATTACTTCGACTACATTACATAATCTTTAATTATATTCTTGATCAGGAAAAAGTATACAGAAAAGAAACGCTATCAACAAAAGTAATAGATGATCGGAAGTAGAAAGTACTGAAGGAAGATATGCTTCAGTTTATCTCTGAGCACTATGATTGGCTTTAAAGGCTCAATTAACATCAAGTAGCTTCTCAACAAAAAAAGTCCGGATCAGGAATACGAGGTTTTTGAGTAGTGGCAATTTCACGAAAAAATAAAAATGTTTTGCCCAATGAAAAAGATCACCTAATATATCTTTCCAACTCAGTTATTATAAGTGATAATGACAGCATGTTTGCGAGTACCCCACAGATGGAAACGCGTTTACTTTCAAGTTAAATGCATGTCAAAACATTTGTAAATATTGCGAAAATATTTTTTTTTGGAGGTAAATGATACAATGCATATACAGAATAACATAATCTTCAATAACATCTTCACAAAAATTAGGCTTCGCCTAGGCACAACACCTTCCTGCTTAGGTACAAGAGGCAGCACATAATAACCATGCAAAATAAAATTAATATCCCTAGCATTTGCCAAGGAACTGCTCAACAACAAAAGAAACCTAAGTTTTCGCTTCAACGGAAATCTATAGCAAAAATACATTACCTCCATGTTTGATCATAAAATGATTGGCTAAAAATCCAATCAGATCATAGGGCACTCGGCAACAAGAACAGTAAGAATGTTGACAAAAACTAGGAAGAAACAAAGAAAATATAGCTAGGACCACTGCAAGAACCCACCGTTCAGAGAGCAGAACAAAACGCTGGTTTGCCGGATCCTCGAGGGCAGCCTGGAGCAGCAGACGCTCAGCCTCGACCATGCTCGCCTCACCCCATATCACCTTCAGGAAAACAAGCCACATCAGCCATAGTGTTGTCACAAAACTCTTGAGAAAAAATCATTACCATCCCCTCTAGTTCTCAATAGATTCACGAAGCCAGTGACGGGAAATATAGAAAAGCATTAAGAATAGACAGACCCTGACGCTCTCCCTCAGCTGCCGGCCGTAGAAGTATGAGGACCTCGTTGTGGACGCATCAAAGATGAACCCGGGCTTTGAGTGGACATATATGGAGAACTTTTCTGCATCCCCATTCTGTAGAACCCCTAAAACACCACAGTAGCAAGGAAAAGGCGCATCCTTAACTCGAACAAAAGCACCAAGAGAAGGAAAAAAGAGGAAGGAATTCAAACTATGATGGAAAAACCGAGAGGACGTGCCTGGAAGAAGACGTGCCATAGAAAATCGAGGGGGAGGCCAGTACGGGCTAGGAAGAGGAAGGCGACCTTTGGGACCCCCTCGAATGGTGGCATGGAGGAGGCCATCTTCTCCACCTCCTCATCGCCCGACAGGACCTTCTCCGTGTAGAAGGAAGACGTCTGGAACGGGGATTGAATCCTAAGGAAGGTGAATAGGCAGATGAGCCCCGAGATAACGCTCACCACCTTCATTCCAAACCAGAAGCGATTCCTCAAAGAAGACGACGGCAACACCAACAGTAAAGATGGGGACGAAGAGGAAATCGGCAGCCTCTTCTTCGCCATGGCGACCCCACAAGAAGAGAATCCTATCGAGCTGGTCAGAGGTAGAACGCCCTCCCGACTCAACCCCCAGCCGAGAGCGCAACTCACGTCGCGATGGAAGAGGAGAAATGAAACAGGGGAATTAATAAAAAAAAATACTACCACTGTGACTTAGAAACCGACGAACCGGACACCCACAGAGGAGCCAACGGAGAGACAGCAGGCAGGATGCAGGAAAGGCAAAAAGAACGAAGCTAGAGAGAGAGCGAGAGAGAGAGAGAGAGAAAACAGCAGACGATGGGACAAAGAATCGACGCAATAAATAGGTTGTGGAGGCACGAGGCGAGAGGCATGCAGCCGAAAAGTTTGAAGGCTGGTGAGAAGAAGAGGACAACGACGAGGACGGTGGGCAAGAAGGTGAGATGGCAGCCCCCAGCCCGTCCCCCGACACCGTTGCAAGGGGCCTCCTCCTCCTCCTCCTCCGAAGACGATGGGATGATCTCGCGGCGAACTTGCAGTCACCTCCTCCTAACCAAGGCGAAACCAACCCAACGCCTCTACCTCCATCCTACGTCGGGGGAGACTACAGAAGTTGCAGAGAACGGACGCTCTGGGCCATCAACCCCCCTCCCCTTCCTTCCACGCGACCGCCACCTCACCCCGCGCAGAGCCCGCGCGCCGCCGAGGAAGAAGACGCAGCAAGCATCGCCTTTCAAAAAAGAAATAAAGAAAAAATGAGACCCGCCAGATAAATGTACTACGCTTCAATGCAAACAACTAATTTAAAATCGTTTTTAAAAATCATTTTTTAAAAAAACCGAAAATCTAAAAGAATTCCACTGAATTAAATTAGTCCGTAAAAAGAATGCTCGCCCAATTAGGCATCTCCAGCACGCGCCGTCCAAGAAGGCCGGCGGCGCCGCCTCCTGTTGTTTCTCAAGTGGGGAGGGGGGGGCCCGGGGGGGAGAGAGACAGACAGATGGAGATGACTGGGCTCCAACAAAAGCGCGTTGTGGAGACCCCACGTGGGTCTCTTTCCTTTTAGGGGAATTTGGCTTTTGATCCCTCCTTAATGAGGATACCTGGAAACGCGGGTTGGGCCGAGATGGCCCATTAATGAGATGCCTAATTGGGCCGTATCCGTTCTTAGCAAAGTTAAAAATACGTTTATATCATAAATAATTCATGTTTTTCTTCGAGGGATATTAAAAACCTATTTAAATAAATATTTTTATTTGATCCAATAATGCGTGTAAAATTCCTCCGTCATGTCTAATGGGCGGTGAACGGCAGTCGAGTTGGTTGGCAGTTCAGGATTGGAGGACTGGTGGGAGATGTGTGTGTTATGAATATACCCTTCAACGAGGTTTATTGGAAAATAAAAATATGGAAGGGGCAATTGCTAAATCATAACGGCCTCCCTCCTTCCACAAGGGCGGGGGACGAGCAGGCTGTTGAACGTTTCATAGTCCTGCGCAGAGAGAGAAAAGAGAGAAAGAGAGAGAGAGAGAGAGGGTGGCGGGGGTTTCATCCGTCGGCGACCATGGAGGGAGAGGCGTGGTGGCGGAGATTTAGTGGGGATTGGGAGGGAGAGATGGGGGTTACGATAGGGGAGATGTGGACGGCGGCGGGAGTAGCGGTGGCCGCGTCTTCTCCGGCTGCGACCGAGCTTCGGCTGAAAGCACGTGGAACCAGCCGTAGCGGGGAATGGCCACGCGTCCCCGGGAGAATCTCCGCAGTGCCAACGGAACCATGGAGACCCGGGCAACTATCGAGAACCAAACGGCGGAGGGGAAAACGCCGGGGAAGACCCTCTCCCATAACTAATTGAATCAGTAAATGTTTTGTAAGATTTCCAGTTGTCATCTTTCTTACTCTTCGCCGTATCACCATCTCCTCAGTCTCAACAAGGGTGGGTTCTCCAACCCCCCTTCCATGCTCGGTGATGATATTCTGTCACCCTTGTGTCCTGCTCAAACTCTCTCCCCCTCTTCCCTTCCCAATTCCTCCAGCTCCCCACCTCTGTCTTTCAAGTGCCATTGATTAAAGAAGTGGCCATTCCTCATTTTGCCGCAGGCTGCAGGTATATTGATAAAAGCAGCAACCACAGTAGAAAGACCCGCCGCGCGGAGGCTCGGCTCAAGAGAAATGGCTTCTTTGAAGCTGGGATCCAAGTCAGATTCATTCCAACGCCAAGGACAAACATGGTATGTGATTCCTTGTTTTAATCGGGAATGACAATTGCTTTCCTTTTTCTTGAATGTGTTGACTGCGACAGCTGCCTGTTCTTCAGTTGTCTGATCCGTCCGGGCATATTTCCAATGCTTTAATGAGATCACAGTTCAACCATTCGAGACTGATATTTCCCCCTTTAGACAGACATTTTTAGGGGGATTTTTAAGATTACCCACATTCAGGGTAATTAATTTCCTTTCTGAAATTAGGATGGTTCTAGAATTCCAAAATAAATTCTATATTTTCTTAGTATGATCGCAATCCTGTGATTGCGTCTTTTCTGTGATAGTGTAAACATTCAAATGTTTACGATGTGGATCTTTAATGCATCTTATATGCGCACGTACACGTTTGAATCCTTCTTTCTTTCTCTTTTCCCGGAGATGAAAAGAAACTGCACTGGTCGTGAGCAGATGACCCCTCCCCATGCTGGATGTTGGAAAAGATTCCTTGTGGCTCATAAACATCACTTGGCATGCAAGATTTCGAACATTTAACGTGAGATTGATGGGAATTTATTTTATTTGACCAGGGTCTGTCCGAGTGGGTTGCCAAGTGATATATTCGTCGAAGTGGGAGAGATTTCTTTCCATCTCCACAAGGTGTGCTCCTTTGTTGAACTAAATATGACATAATTTCATTTTATGTCCCGTTGACAATTTTTCTCAATTTTCTGTGTCGGATTAGTTATCTTAACAAAATTTCCTGTCAAGGTTACGTGAATTTCCGATAATTTAATCCTTCAATTTCAAAGGACGTTGTTTTCCAAGTGTGATTGGATTTGTGATTGGATTGGGCTCTCAGATCAACTGCATTTCAAGGAGATCCGGACAAAGGTGTGTAAGCAAAAGTGTTTGCGATTGTTTACACAGTCCTTGTCTAAACAAAAAGATCCATGGAGAAAAAATGGAGCAAATTAAAACGATGGAAATATGAGAAAATCAAGAAACATAAGTTTTTTTCTTCATTTCTTATTCCTAAGCCATGTGATTTTATTGTTTTGGATTTGTGGAAATATGTGCAATTCTTATCATCTTCCTCTCGTTTCTCTCCTCTTCGATCCTGTTATCCTTTTGCTTATCCTCCTGCGCACCATGTTTTCTCGACTTTTAATCACGAATATCCTCATCCTGCACGGGATTGAGTCTGAGAAAGTTGATTCAGGAGCATTTCAATGTGAGAATGCTCTTAAGAACTGTAGAGGTTCACATTTTCTGAACCTCATTTCAGTTTGTTGAAATGGAGAAAATAAAATCTCGTCACAAAGGACAGAGGGGAGAACGGTGGAAACCGCCTCAAGATTCATTCACTTCTAACCCCCATTATATGGGGAGAAACCTTACACAATTTTGCAAAACACCCTCAGTCTGTTACATAATTTTCTTGCGACCTAGAATTTCCAACACAGTTCAAATGAGATTCGGCCCGAATTAGCTCATCGTAAACTTTTGATCGACCTGGCTGTCAGTGTCATGGATCTTCTTTCTCATTTCATTGTCCTGGTTTGCCTCTCTATTGCTTCATGATCCTAACGTAAGGAAGTTGACTGAAGAATGAGTTCTACCAAAGCTGTCGGAGGTGAATTTCTTCATGATTAGACCCTCTCATGTTTCATATCGAATACGACGTTTCCTTTAATAAACATGTCAGGGACTTGAAACTAAACGGATTCACCATGAATGATAGGTGGTCTATTCCATTGAAATATTCTAGTTTTATGCATCCCTTTGAAACTTTTTACGGTTTCCATCAGTAAATGTTTTTTTGTGTTTTTTGTTTATAGTAGGATTGTGATTCAGATACGCAGGCCTGTATCTTCTTTGATCTGCATCCCTCTTGATGTACATTAACTTAGAAACAAACATCTGTGTAATGTACACACGTACTAGCATTGCGCATTTATTTAACTGAAAGGGTTCAATCCAGGAATACCTGTGTGTGAATTCCTGATAAATATATCTGCTTGGAATAGATTATTCATAAAACTTATTTTTTTAAGAACTATTCTCTCCTGTTTCTCTGATTTAACATAAATTTCCTTTGCACTTGGATATTATGAAATTGACACATGCATCCATGTTTGGCGGTAAGGATTGATTCTTTTTTCTAGTTTCTCGTCCATTTTTGTGATTGATATCAGATCTCTGGAACCAAGCGCTGTCATTGGAAGGATGGATGTCTAACGCTTGTCATTTTGTCTTTTAGTTTCCGTTGCTATCAAGAAGTGGATTGATGGAAAAAATGATTGGGGAAATATCCAGTGAAGATGGAGCAGCCAGTGTGTTGCAGCTTCACGATATCCCTGGTGGTGCAAAGGCGTTTGAGCTTGTTTCAAAGTTCTGCTATGGCATCAGAATCGAATTAAATGCCGTCAACATTGTCTGTCTGCGATGTGCTGCAGAACGCCTGAACATGACCGAAGACTATGGTGATGGCAATCTCATAGTGCAAACAGAGAATTTCCTCAATGAAATATTTACCACTTGGAAGGATTCCATCAAAGCTCTTGAAACTTGTGAGGATGTGCTTCCCCACGCAGAGGAGCTCAATATTGTGACAAGGTGCATCAACTCGTTGGCAACGAAAGCTTGTGCTGACCCAACTGTATTTGGTTGCGCCATGCCTGGACGCAGCAGGTTCACAAAGAGTCATGGGGACACCGTCCTTTGGAATGGAATAGGCACTGGGTCAAAGAAAAGTTATTTATGTCAAGATTGGTGGCATGAAGACGTGTCATTTCTTAGCTTGCCCCTGTACAAGAGGTTTCTTTCATCTCTGGAAATGAAAGGGATGAAACCAGAAGGCATTGCTGGCTCTCTTACGTTTTATGCCAAGCGTTACCTGCCAGGTTTGAGCAGACATTCAGGCTTCGTTGATGGTGTGAGCCGTCTAAAACCTGGTGTATCAGTTTCACCCCCCTCAGAGAGCGACCAGCGTGCTCTCCTCGAGGAAATAGTATCCTTGCTGCCCCCCAAGAAGGGTGTCACCTCAACTAAGTTTCTTCTCAGCCTGCTCCGAACTGCCTTGATATTGCATGCGAGTACCTCATCGAGAGAGACCTTGGAGAAGAAGGTAGGGGCACAAATGGATGAAGCTGCGTTGGAGGACCTTTTAATACCTAACGTGGGCAGCTCAGTGGAAACCCTTTATGATATAGACTGCGTTCAGAGGATGTTGGACCACTTCATGTTTGTGGAACAGTCTGCTGTTGCAGCTTCCCCTGGTATTGTAGATGAGGGGCATTTGATATCTACCTCCCCTTCCTCATTGACACCAATGACCTTGGTTGCAAAGCTAATGGATGGCTACCTCGCAGAAGTTGCTCCAGACGTGAACTTGAAGCTTCCCAAGTTTCAGTCATTGGCAACTGTAGTTCCAGATTATGCCAGACCTCTAGATGATGGCCTCTACCGTGCAATTGATATATATCTGAAGGTATACTCAATGGTTTACGATTGAAATTTTGACTTCAGATGCAAAAATCAAATCCTTTTACATATTGTCCACTTCAGATGGGTATGGCCAACATACATTGACGAGGCATTCGCCATAAATCTAGGCCTCACTATGACAGTACTCAAATTGTGATTTATTTAATGCACAAGTTATAATTGTGTCTTATATAGTAAACATCCTTCCATATCAATACCCGGTAAATAGCCTTCCATGTCAGTATAATGTGAACATTTTTGTATTCTTATGTTTGTGTGGGCCATTTAAATTATTAATAAACCCATTATTGTGTTTTATCCATTTATGTGGATCGTCAACGTGGGCTTGCTTTCGTGTGCGCTTAAGCTCCTAGTTTCATACGCTAAATATTAAAATTACAACGTTTGATTAGTAGTTTTCAATTGCAGGCTCATCCATGGCTCACTGATTCTGAGCGTGAGCAACTCTGCCGGCTTATGAACTGCCAGAAATTGTCATTAGAGGCCTGCACGCATGCAGCCCAAAATGAGAGGCTACCCTTACGAGTGATTGTCCAAGTACTCTTCTTTGAACAGCTTCGTCTCCGTACATCAATTGCTGGATGGTTTTTTGTGTCGGATAATCTAGAGAATTCTCATGCTCCACAAGGGAACCTTCAACTAACCAAGAAGAATGAGGAGCCTGCCCAAACAGAGATCTCTGAGGAACTAAACGAAAGTGATCAGATTGTGCCTGGGGATGACATGAGGGTGAGGCTTTCTGAGCTCGAGAAAGAGTGCCTGAACATGAAGCAAGAAATTGATAAGCTGGGAAAGCCCAAAAGCTCATGGAATATGTTTCCCAAAAAGTTTGGATTTTAATGGGTCACCAACATCTTCAAAATGACAGGATCATACACAAACGAGGATACCAGACCAGTGAGTTTGATGATTAAATAGGTGAGACATTCTTCTGGAGGATTAGATACAGCGAAATTGCGTGTTGTAATCCTTTGGTTTACTCTCTTGACCTGAAGAACCATATATGCTCAATGCTCACAGTCTTTATTGCTCCGGATATAGATGGGTTTTGTCTAGACGGTAATTGGTAGTGTATTTTTTTGTTAGTTCGTTGACTGTGCTCATCGACTATATCTGAATCTCACTGATTTCATCCGCTCTTCTCAAGGTGGTGCAAGAAACTTGCGAGGACTACCTTCCTTTGTTCAAATCAAGTTGTCAATGCCAGTGACTAAACTTGACCGTAATTCCCAGTCAGTGGCAATGGGTCAATTGAAGTCAAAATGAATGTCTGATGAAACAAACTTAAATGTCAAAGTTTTCTCGTCGGTTCTGTTGGATCAATTTTCGTCTGATTAAAAGTTGCTTTGTTTTCCCACTTGTTTTCAAGCAGAAACAAATTGGAACTTTTGATTCGTTGGATGAGACCTTCGGCAGAAGCCAAGGGCATGGTCAAACTGCCATCTACTTGATTTCCGTTAGCCATCTGAATATGCTTGGACCAGTCTTCGCGACAGCAACAGAATTGATGAACAGTACGAGATTAACAGGTAAAAGGATATTTCATTTCTTGCAGCTGTCCGGGTAAAGGCCCAGTAGATTGACATAGACATGGAGTTCTGCAACCCCCGTGGCTCATGGGTAAGTAGATGATCCCCATGACCATAGTTCATATATTTCTGCAAAACTTTCCTCTTCTTTCATATATCATAGTTTTGTCAAGACATTATTCCAGAAAGGCAGAAGACAATAATAAAATTATATTTTTTTCCCTCGAGAATGTTTCTTCCACCTTTCTGTTCATGCGGATTCCTGTTGGTGTGAGGAATGATTTATCCACAACAACATCTCTCTCTCTCTCTCTCTCTCTCTCTCTCTCTCTCTCTCACACACACACACACACACACACACACACACACACACACATCAATTAGGAATGACCCGAATTTTACATTTTTTAACGCAATGGGTCTAACCCAGAGCAGGAGGGTCACATAGAAGGCATCTGCCGAAGGGACACGCACACCATACGTCAACGGGCATAGGAGAAGGATGAGCATGCATAGCCGTTTAGGTCATTATTTTCTCTTCAGCCTGACTCAACACCGGAGGCGTAAGCATCCTGTACAAGAAGGGCGCTCCCCCACCAGACTGAGAGCATGGATTTACATACATTGATTGGCCAAGGCCATTTAGGTCACACACTCACCCCGGGGTATGCAAAGCACAACCTTTTACGGTCCAAACGCAGCAGCAGCGGTGTGTTCAGAGGAAATCTGGGCCACCATCACCAGCTCCTTTCAAAGAGGGCGGCGACGACGCGTTGTGCCGGCTGGGAACGGGCGTGTTCCTCCGCGACACGCGCTTTGTGAGCACGAGCGATCGGTCATGGTCGTAGGGGACATCCTCGTTGTCCTCGTCTTCGTCATCCTTGAACACCGGATGGACGTAGGTATTCGAAAGGTACCCCTTCAGGTCCAGGTTGGGCTCCCGAGTTCGTTCGAGGGTATCTTTCATCATCGCTTCCTGTGAAGCACAAGGATCAATCTTCGTATGAAGAACACTGCGCGAGCAAGAGTCTTTGGCTCTACTCGGGCATACCACAGATAAATAATCAACCATTTATACCCAGAAGAATCACTTCTGAGAGCTATCAGGGAAGAAGTAAATAAATAAATAAATACATCAACCGCGAAAGTTTTGATTGTAATAATCCCCCGCACAGAAGAACAGTTATTGATTGTAGAAGAAGAAGAAATATCAAGGCAAAAAATCGCAGAAATATTGAGCCAGAAAACAAGCAGATAGCTTGCACCGTGGTATGTATGTATATATATACCTAGAAAGGACTCGCCACCCAGATCCTGTCCTCAGAAAAAGAAAAAAAAAGTCATCTTTTCCACGCAAGTCTAACATCTAATGTCAAAGCGAAGGAGGAAGAGGGGTCCTTTGCTTGACGAAACAAGATGGAAACTTGCAATGGAAACTTTGACAAAAAAAAGAAACTCTATGGCCGCAGAGTTCAGAAACAAGATGGAAGGAGGAGTGGCAGTGAGCAGAACCTGCAATGGAAACTTGACGAATGCTGGCTGGTAGCGGCTTTTGCTGTATATATGGAACCATATGGTCATCACGGGAAGAGCGATGAGCAAAGGCGTTGACTGAGCCGCTTTCTTCGTGCTCATCAATCCGAATAGGAGCACCTGAGATATGATCAATGCAGTGATAATACGTCCATGCACATCCGGCCAGAACTGGGCGCCACTCTCGTACTCTTGGTTGTAGACGTTGATGATCTAACAATAGCAACAACAAGAAGAAAGCGAGAGAGAGAGGAGAAATAGATCAGGACATAGAGAATCACATATTTTACATAATGATGAACACAGAATAGCAAATTTGACTGGGGAATCAACCTGATGGCGGTAGACAACGTATGCGAGACCAAAGAACACCAGAATAAAAGGAAGCAGGAACGGTGTGCTGACGGCATAAACCAGGCCGAGCAAGAAATACAACTGTATTTGTGGTTCAGAGGTGTTGAATCCGATGCTCCCTGGGTCCATTGCTGCTTCTCTGTCTCTCTCGGTCTTCACCAGAAAGAAGTTCTTCAGGTGGTATATTATCAGCGGTTTCAGCCTCAGGATTTCCCCAGCAACCCCAGCCCATCCATCAACCATGATATAAGTTATGAAGAAGGTTGCTTTCAGGGGAATGGATTGGCCAATAGTGATCGGAATCCTGCAGAAACACGTCAGATGCGGGCAGGACAGATCTCAGTGTGATCATAGCTGAAAAAAATCGGAGGCATGTGCAGAGGGAACATCTGGAACAGCGCAATGCTTCAGGCATGGAACCAGGTCGTATGATAAAAAAATGCATGCTATCAAGATATAAAAACCCATCAATAATTGAAATTGCACAACAACAGAGGAATCATAAAAGGCACGACCCATAAACCCCTATTCAATGGGCAACGTTTAATGGACAGAGAAATACACCCACATTACATGCAAATGTAAACGGCACTGCCACCAACGTCTTTATCATCCCTTCGAAGAAAAATTATTCTGCTAGTGACTTTACAGTTATAAACAGGAACATCTATATGTAAAGGTGTGCATGCATATGTCTACATATTTTAAGTATTTATATATACTAACGAAGGAAAGCAGAGGAGAAACTTACTGTTTTTGTTGTTTGGGAGAGTGATATCGTGCCCAAAGATTTTTTTTTCTTATGTTTAATTCATATGTAAAAATGAATTCTTTTCCATCTGCCCGTCTAAACACTTTTAAGAATAAAATCTTATGAACCCAGATGCACTTTTTTTGTATTTCATAGACCTACTCATTTTGACGACTGATAAATAAGCATTTTCAGCTTTTGTCACGCGAGCATTTGAGCTAACAGCATTATACGATGTGCAATGTCAGAAACATACTCATTTGCTGGTTGATGAATGAAGGTGTTGAGCTGTTGGAAGGCAGTGCCAGCAATCACACTCCCAAGAAAAACGTTGACAAGTAAGAAGAGATAATATTTGGATGCTGATCTTCGCTCGAGAGCTGAGACCGCCACAATTCCTTCAAACTTGGACATGAGCATCAGAATAGTTGGCAGCAAGATGAGGAAAATCTTAAGAGCAATCCCCGGAAGAAAGCCTTGTATGAATGATTTGATAAAGTCTCTGTAAAAGGAGTGGCGTGTTACCGGTTAGAAAGAGGGTGTATGTGCACGAGGAGTTCCAGGGAGAAGAGTTCATACATTTCTATTATGGGCTTCAAGAATGGAGCGACCTTCCCAATTCCCTCTAAGTTTGCAAGAGATTGAACAAATGCGATAGGAATCATGAAGAAGAAGGTGAGAAAGAAGAACGCCACCGCTACTATCAACTTTCTGATTGTAAGAGAAACGAGTGGAATCGCAAGATTTGGCCAATACACGTCTCGAGGCTCTGGAGCCCATGCTGTTAACCATATCCCTGGATCCCGGGTCTGCTGTGTCTGTGCACAAACAGCTGCCGCCCATCGTGTTCTAAAAGATACGAATGCTGCTGGCATGACATACTTGGTGCTCTTCCTTGTCCTCGCACGCTCTGCAGTTTCCTATATTAAATAGTTGATCAGAAGAAGAAAAAAAGGAAGAAAACGAATTCCAATAACAAGTTTGCGATCTTTCTTTGATTTGAAAGCAGATTAGGGATACCAGTTCTTATAATCTCATTAAATTGTGTGCCTTTTTGGGAGGAATTCATGCAGCTAATACTTCATTCGTGGGTTCATGTTCTTTAGACGGAGAAAAATAAATAGAAAACTTTAAGATATCCAAAGAAATTCACTTACTTCTTCTGACAGCCTATCTATCTCGGATGTGTAATACTCGATAGAGTCAACCCTCCTGCCCCACAGTCCAAGAAAACCAGTCTGGAAAAGTAAATAGATGGCCTCAGTTGTGCATACTTCCACATAAGAGCTATAAAGAGAGAGAACTCTCACGGTGTAATGTAACAAGGAATACACATAACAAGCATCCAGGCAACTGTACCTTGTGAGTAGGCCTAATTTTTGGATTCCGCTCATATCTCAGTTGACTGTAATCAAGCCAATTCTGCATCTTTTTCTTCTCTTTGACCAGTTTAGCCAGATCGTTTGCATTATAAACAACCTAAAAATAAACGATAGATGGTAAAAAGCTTTAAATAACTGATGCCCATGAAAGCTGCCAACAATGATAAATGTAAGCACAAGGCTTGTGGACTGAACCTGATGAGTGAGGTAGTGATCAGGATGGTTGACCAGAAAGAAGTGTTCCACAAGCTCGCTAACAGATTCATCAGGATCAGGTGGTACATTCCTTACAAGTACCTGCAAAGAGCCAAAGTAAGTAGTTTACTATTCAGAGGGAGTGATCAGATGATATTAATTTTTTTTGTCAAATATATGTTTACTAGGATGGGAAAAACTGTGCCACTTAGCTACCATAAATACCACCATAGAAATTGAAGGATCATTTGGCACCATAAAGAAAAAAACATGAAACTGTTAAAAAATAGCTTTCAGAGTTGAATCTTTTTCTTCGGGGGAAGACTTACTGTAAATTGGTCCGGGCGTCGCCTCTCTGTAGCAAGAAAATGCAATCTCATTGTTGCAACTGTCTCATACTCCTTAAGCAAGACGTAGCATGTCCAGATAGTAAAAGCATATGCCATTAGCAGATGAACCCAAAATCTGCAAAGTTGATGAAGAATATCATACAGCAGATCATAGGAGCTAGTTTCATTGAGCACTCCAATAAAGAAAAGGTTAAGGCAGGGTGAATTTCACTGAAAGCCGTCTAAATTCCCCAGTAAAAGCACCCAGATAGTCTTGTACATGACACCATTATATCATATGCTATTAAAGTCGTCAAATGAGCCCCTTTAATACACATACCACAAAATTGGATAAGTAATCACAAGTTTACTGTTAGTATTTAGTCAATGACCAGTCTTTTTCGTCCAAACCAGTGATTCTGCTGATCAGAGCCTAAGTCCACACGCCACACACAATAGGCAAGACAAACAGGGAAATTAACGTTCTCATTGCTGCTATTCTGCTCTTTTTCCATAGTTTGACCTATGCAAGGAGCATATTAATTAATTATTTCATTACCCACGGCATCCTCTATCCAAGGAGCTAACTCTGCTGACAGAAATAATCAAAACGTTATATGTCGTCGAGCATCATCATTTTTAGCTCCAAGCATATTAAAAAGGAATTTATAAAGCAAGAATCATCAGAAACTCTGCGTTCACTAGGCCACACAGAGATGGAGCAGGCATAAATGCCAATCACCATTGATGACAACGTGAGAGTTGACGTACGATGGATCCTCTGATAACCGACATCCACCCTCAGAGGGGCTGAAAAGCTGCAAGCAGACGAAGAGATCGAGGCTGTGAGCTTTGCTCACCTGTGCGATCCTTCTGGAATGTTGGAGATTGTAAGCTTGTCTATGCTACTGAATACCAGCTTTGAGTCTTCGAGAGTGTTATTGGTCCAGTTGACAGGCACCAACACCGCGAATCCAAGGAAAGTAATCGGAACAAATATTTTCAGCCTGTAGAGAGTAAATAATTGCTCGTGGTCAATGAGAGCGAAGAACAGACAGACAGTAGTCAACAAGATCATCATCATCATCATCCTCCTCTCAGAACGATGATACAAGCGAAAAAGGAACGGGCTTCTTGAGCAATGCGGCATACCCGATCAGATATATGCGTAGATACACCGCTGAGTCGAGCCCTGCGTGGCTAATAAGCTCAGCTTCGGGCATTTTCAGGGCTTCTGGCATCCACACCAGGAATCTCAGGTACGACCTGTAATCCAAATTCACAATCTTCTGCACGACCCCAGAGGTTGTCGGGCTGCTCCGTAGACCCCGGAGATACCACTTGGGGAAGTACACTCTGTCGTTGAATGGTTGCAGCCTCAGTATAGCAAATATCACCAAGAACACGAAGGCACTGAGAATGTTGATCCCCGCAGACAAACCCAGGTCACCCAGGGTAGCCATCTGTGCCGATCAGGTGGAGGGTAGACCGTACGTATTTCGCGGAATTATTCCCCTGAAATATACGGACATAAGATCACAGGCATGTTAAAAAATGGCAGCATGCGTTGGTCAACGATCGATACAGGTGATAATTCACACGACGTTGAGTATAATTAGCCACCGAACTGTAAGCAATGTTCTTCCGTTTCCTAGGAAAAAAAGAAAAAAAGAAAAGCCACGGACATTTAATTTTTCCTCTCTCTCTGTGTGCCTCTGTATCTGTAATCCCGCCCAGGATTGACAGATAAAAGTTCGGAAACATAGAAAGGAGAGAAAAGGCGCCCGGGGAAATCATACCTGGCCTCTCCTGGTTGTTTTCCCCTCGTTCCTCTCCCTCCCCGCTTTGCCTAGATTTGAGGGCCAATCAAGTCGAAAAACCAGGACGAAGGGAGACGACCGTGCCGGCTTCTTCTGCTTCTTGACACTGCAGTGCGAGGAGCCATGGGGGTGAGCACTAGATAGAAGCCGTGATGCCTCCTCTGGGAGAGCGGAATTCTTGGGCCAGAGAAAACAGCGTAGAAGAAGGGAGGCAGGGGGATGGGAAGGAGAGAGAAGGGGCGAGTATTCTAACAGACCTTCCTCTTCCGATGATACCCAGACAATTCCGTTTGCTAGCTCTGTTCTTTTTCTACTGCCCCGTGGAGGACGGATGAACCCGAGGGGGGAGAAGACGGCAGCAGGTGGCGCCGGAAACCCGTGGACGACGTCGGACAGCTATCAGGAGAGCGACGGCGAGAAGTAAATGGTGGCCGTCTCTCTCTCTATCTCTCTATTCACCCGTCGGTTACTAGACAGGGAACGAGGAATCCAGCGGACGAGGGAGAACGGCTGGCACGACGACAGGAGACAAGGGTAACAGTCAGAGGAAGGAGCACAGTTACATTATCTCTTCACCTCCTTCCGCATCCATTGCAGAGCGGGACAGAGAGGACCAGGGATACAGAGGAGAGAGAGAGAGAGAGAGAGGCCATACTTCCTGATACATGTACTAAGACGTCCAGAGAAGGCCCTAGAGAGAGAAGAGAGTGGGAGTGAGAGAGAGATAGAGGGAGGTGTGATCGGGGCGGGCCTTCGAGATCAAAATGGACAGGCACAGAGGAGGCTTCTACGACCACCGCAAAAGAAGACAGAAAAAAAAAATCTGGACAAAAGTCAAATTCCCCCGCCGACATATTTTTATAAAAATACTATAATGGGGGCGGCCGATGGGGTGTCAGACACGTGGCATCGCTGTCGGCAGACAACTACGCCCAACGGCTCACAATTACTCTTTCACCCTCATCACAAAATATATTGCGGATGTACTTCTTCCGATTTTCCACGTGAATCACGCGACTGATTGACAGTGGCTATTAAATTGCTTGATTTGAATAGGGACGTTGACGGAGGGTAGCCTGTGAGGGACCCACAGCTTCGTTGATGAGGGACCTATACCCAAATCTTCATGGTTCACAGGGACTTGCAACTAATTAGCCACAGGAAAATATCATGCCGCAGAAAATAAGGTTACCTTTTCGGGTGCACATGCAATCAATTAATTCGCGATATGCCTGCCGTTCATGGCCATACCCCCCCCTTCTTTTTATTTTTTTCCGACCCCGAACCTCATATAATTGTTTTTTATTAACCAAACATCTAGTGGATAGTAAATAAAACGGCACAGACACAAACAGACAGCGTCCGAAAGTTGGCACCTTTTCCCCTCCTCATCCCGGCCTGACAGAAAGACGGCGGGGGGTAGACAGAGCGCAGAGAGAAGACAGAGAGAGAGAGATAGAGAGAGAGAGAGAGAGAGGGCCTTTATTGGAGCCGGTTGGGGATCGCACGAAGGGGAGCGACAGAGAGACGGCGGCGGTGGCGGATCAGGGCTTGCGGGCGACGAAGAGGCCCCACCTCTGCTCCCCGGAGGAGCTCCTCTTCAACTTCGCCCTCCACCCGTTGACGATGTCGTCGTAGTCCTCCTGCGACACGGGGAAGGAGCTCGTCGGCGATGGCCGTAAAACAAACATCATGCGGTTAATGAAGCAGTAATCAGTCTCCTCCGACGGTCGTACCTGGGAGAAATCTCTGAGGAAGGCCTCCTGGTCCGCCTCGGTGGCGTCGAGCTCCCTCTGGAGCACCTCGAGGAACTGGACAAGGACATCACCACATCACAGTCAACGACCGAAACCAAGGATGTCAGGAAGTCAACGGGAGAGGGGGGGGGGGGGGATTCAGCGTTGGAAGGAACCTGATCGGTCCGATCTTCGGCGACGACCTCCACGAAGCCGGCGTCCCTGAGCATCTGCGGAGGGGTTCGTTGTATTCATCTTTCCCCATGGAGAGAGAGAGAGAGAGAGAGAGTTCTAGTTCTCTATTATAAGACCGCGCTGACTTTTGAGCTAACCTGGCCGTAGGCCTCCACGTCGTGGAGGTCGTACCCTCTCTGCTGGATGTACTCTGCGAACTCGCTCGATGCTGGGTCGGGGCTCTTGCAGTAGTCGCTGATGAGGACCCTCCCGCCCGGCTTCAGCCATCGGAAGAAGCTCCGAAACAGCGCCGGCTTGTCCTGGGAGGCACCAACACAGAGCAGACGCAAAATTCAGGCCGAGGGCGTCATTGCCGGAGGAGAAAGATACGAATTTGACTGACGGGAGGAGCAACCTGGATGTGGAGGATGGTGTCCCGGCTGTATATCACGTCGAACGAACCATCTGGGTAGGTCTTGATGGTGCAGTCGGCGACCTCAAATTCGACGGAGCACTTGCGCCCGATCGCCCGTTCAAGGGCGAAGGAGATCATGTTGATGGAGAGGTCTATGCCCACCACATCCACGTCGAAGTTTTCGGCCATGTAGAAGTCGCCTCCTCCAATGCCGCATCCCACATCCAGTACCTTCTGCCCGGCCTTGAGGTCGAGCAGCCCCACAAACTCTTTCGTGGTTTCTGAGAAGGGACAGAGAGACAGAGAGAGCGAGAGAGAGAGAGAGAGAGAGTGAGCGGTGAATCGAAGAGAAACAAGTGTGGGGTGGGGGATGATATGTTCAGGGGATATATCTTTGTCTGAGCAAGTGAGGGAGTTATCAGTGTGCATGCCTACGCCTCCAGTGCTGACGAAACCTTCACCGAAGATGCGCTCATAGCGTAATATGCCGCTGCTCTTGTACTGGACGTTGTCCAAGAAGCGTTGGAACCCCCTGTCCGCAGTCGAACTGGTCTTCTGCCACAACCAGCAGATCTGCAATTTTTGCAACCGCGCCCAGATGAACTCGATCACCCCACAACTGTTTCTGGTCCGCGGATGGGGGATGGGAACAAAACCAACGGAGGAGATGAAGGAAATCAAACCTGGTTTTGATTCTTCTTATTCCTCACGTATGCTCCAATACACTTGCAGGTGATTTGTGACAGCTCGAAGGAATTTCCTTGGCCATCGTCGACATGGCATTCCTTGAAAACCTGCATCAAACCCAAGTCAGTAGCAAGAAGAGCGGAGAAAAATAAGCAGTCCTATGATATAAATTAACACAGTTTTTTTACAGGACACTATGGTGAAAAATTCAATGTCTACCTGTAGCTGAGACGAAGAATATTTTTTTAATAAATAAGAAAATTCTCAAGATATATGACGAAGAATGCATTGATGCCAAAGCAGATGATCCTTGACAAACATGGAGATGATCACATCACCTTGGTGTAGAATCTGGGCTCTCGGTAGTGTGTGGGATTGGCATTTCTCTTTGAATCCCCAGATTGGTGGAAGCAGGATTCCCTGAAGAAGATGAACCCTCCGACCTTCAACCATTTGACCATCTTTTCTGCCACTTCCTTCACCTGGAGCAGATAATTTAAAAAAGGGAAACGAGTCAGACATTCAGATTTATCACCCAAAGAAAATTAGAGAAAGTAAGGACTGAACTGAGAAAAAGATTTGACTTGTGAAAGGCACAGTTTCATAACGAATTCCAAGTCTAAAACAGGACTGTCTTAAGTCACTAGCTTGAGAGTCTATTTTAAATACTATGCTCTAAATAAGTTACAATAACGAAATGTTTTAAAATATGACAGCGTATATTCCATTTTTTCCATATATATTCCACGAGCTACTATGGAAGGAATAATTCTACTGAAATATAAAGCAACTAGATGACAAGTAAGATATCATAAACTTTTCCAATTTTTGTTTTAGGCATATCCACATTGGGCCTGAAGATACGAGCAAATCTATACAGAAAATAGCATATGCTTTCAGAAAGCCTGATTAGGAAGTTCAACCCCGTGCTCTTCATTCGAAGCAAATAAAACGGTACTCTTGTTTATATATTCTCCAACTAAGTGATATTAAGATCACAAGGAATGTTAATGAGTTCTCTAATACAGACATCATGATACGTATTTGAGGCAAAAACGCCAGCCTGAAGGCATCGGATCACCTCTTTATCAGACAAGTACATCAGCAGCCAGTTTGAGAATATTAAGTCCACTGATTCTTCCTCAATCTTGAGGTCCGAGGACGTGACATCGGCACACATGAAGCTAACATTCTCATAATGTCCATTAGTAGTCTCATTCTGCAAGAACACAATGCACACAAAGTACCCGATTATCATCAGATAATCCTGTAAATATCCTAATTATATTATATGACATATTAACTACGAGGATCCGGAGGCTCACACACGTATAGGTCAATAAATACCTTCTTAATCACGCTTTCAATAAAATCCACTGCCAAGAGATGGCCAGCCTCCTTGGCTAACTCGCCTGTGAACCGGCCAATGCCTGCTCCCAGCTCCAAGACAGTTTTCTCCTTGTAGGGCGGAAGCAGAGAAAGAACCTGATCCAAAAAAGAAAAAAAAGAAAAAAGAACTCTCATCGATGAGAAAATGAGCGACGTGTGGGACAAATTGGATGACGAAGAGAAAGTTCAGGCGGTCTCCCAAGTTCGGGAGAAAGGAAAGGAAGAGAAATCGAAAATAGAGGAACAGAGGAACAACGGAGATCATTTCTGGAACAGAGGAAAAACGTACGCTTAGACACGGGATATAACGAAGTTCACTCCAAGATGGGGAACATAATCGTAAAGCACTGAGTAATTCTTATACAGAGTCGGTCTATAAATCAAACAGAAGGAGGGCAAGAAGGCAGATTGCAAAACTAATCCTCGGATGAGGACAGATTAGTGAGTGTGATTATCAATGCATCCAGAAAAAGAAAAGAAACTTTGCTTTGCAGATCAGGGTCGATGAAACCTCGGGCCGCTCCTCCTTGTCGAGGTCTGTGGCACGCGAGTCGAGCATCATGGCCTCCAAGGTGAGCTCCTTGGAGTGCTCAGACCAGTAGTTCTTCTGTACCTCCCTCTCCGCTACCTCCATAGTTCCTGTCCGGGAACACGGACATAGAAGCAGAGCACACTCAGATCAAAAGAAAAGGGAAAATCAGGGGGAGACAAGCGTAAGCAATTCACGCCGTCAGACAAGGAGAAGAACGGGACCAAAAAAAGGAGAACCGCGGAAGATTGCTCTCACCGAGGCAAGCAGCCATGTCTCTTCCCCAAGTCTGGATCAGAGACCTCGATGAGATTCTGCTGAAATCTACTCTTTTTGGTGAATCTGAAGCAAAGAGAAAATCGTTCGAGAGGAAAGCGACCCGACTCTAGTGACCTCGTGGCTGCTGCGTCTGCTGCAACCGATTCGTATGCGTATGCAGAAGAGGCAGGACGCCTCACGCCTTCAGGTGCCTAAGAGTCTTCAATGGCAACCCGAGACCGCGAGAAGGTCCTGGATCTGCGGTTTTCAGTTCTTCCCCTCTGCTGCATTACCTCGCCAGCTTCTCTCTTTCTCTCTCTCTCTCTCTCTCTCTCTCTCTCTCCCCTTCTTCTTGCGCGGCTTCCCGGCGTTAGCTGAGGATTGAATGGAGGAGCGGCTCGGGCGAGGCATTTATAGGCAGAAAACGAGGAGGGGGGCGAGGCGGCGGCGGCAGAGTTTTCCAGTGGACGGGCAGGCCCCAGCAAATGGGCCCCACTCCGTTAATGCAATGGCTGCTAAGAGGGAAACCTGGTCGCGGCGACTCGTTGCAGCGCTAATCTCTCTCTCTCTCCCCCCTCTCCTGGTGAGGAAGCTCTCCCGGGGATGGCGTGGAGAATAGAAAGCGGGGAGTGAGATTATACGAGCTATCGTGGGTCCAAGGGGTAAAATATCCGACCCGAGGCCCCTCGAATCTTTTCGGATCCAACCCGGCCCCACGTGCGGCCCTCAGAAAACCGCTCGTCCGTAGAACGTTGCACGCGCGGGGCCGCCCTCTCGGATTCCGATGAGCCACGCCGAACCTATCTGCAGGGATTCGCCCGCCAAGCGACGAAGCGCGAGACACGGAGGATATACAATTATATTCCAGTCCCTATGGAATCCTATAAATACTTCAATCTCCCCCCCCCTTGGCGTGACATTTGTACCCTCCTCGAAAAAACAACTGGCGGCCCTGCCCCTGGACTAAAAAAAACAGGTGACTGTCGCGCAATTTGCAATTTTAAGGGGGGGGGGGGTCGGAATCTGACGAATCAGCGACGCGGCCTCTTTTGTCGTACGTCCACCGTGGCGATTTTAACGGTTATTCCAGATGGCAATAAAACAATTCGTGCGGTGGTTAAGGGTGACACGACCTGCTCGCACCGTTGAATAACGTCAGCAATGTCGACACTTAGGCCCACCGCATTAATAAAAAATAATGCCATTATCTTCTCTCACGCTTAGCCATAGTCTACGGCCAAAATGGGTGGAGGCGGGCGCCTACCTGGCCTCCCCGGGGAGTTCCTCCTATACTCTAACGTTGTCTTTCACGCATTCTTTGTTGGACCAAAGTGAAGCTATTTTATTTAGTTTCACGGGAGGCCAAAAATCGATAGTTTTATATACTTTAATACATATATTTATTGGTAGTTGACATTTTCTGAAAATAGACTTATTTGCACCTAAAATGGCAAAAATGACGAGATGTATAGGCTTCTCTCAAAAAAGGCAAAAAAAAAAATTAAAGTCGCCGAATAATTATGGGCGGGGGTCGGACCGTGAAGGAACTGTGCGGGGGATGACTAGCTGGAGTCAACGCTCAACCTATCGTATGATTGATTTTACACGATCCGTAAGTAAGACTCTCCCCGGTTCATTCGTTTAACCCCCTTCGGGTTTTCTTTTTTGTTGACTGCATGGAATGAATTAACTTTTGGGGAAGCATTCCGGCCGCGCCCTTCCCCACTGAACCGCTCACGATGTCCTTTTTTTTTCTCGGGCGGTTGGAATGGCTTTCGGGAACTGATTCTGGGACCCATCCAGGGCGCTGCCTTCTAGAGCACTGACGCGTGGTGGGGCCCAGCAGTTATCGACGTCTCGTCGGTCAGGGTCCCCTCTCGACGTGTCGTCGGATCTAGGCGTCGTATTCGCCGGGCCCAACACATCTCCAGTGTCCAATCACTGCGCCTCTGACGGGTTGATTGTGACCTCCCGATAGGACGGCGTCGAGACGAGCGAGGAAAGGCAACCGCCCGTCGGGCCCGGAATATAATTGAAGGCCCCGCCAGATCCAGTAGGCCCACCCCTCGGCACCGGATCCGAGCCGACTGTGACCTATGTGAGCCGGCCCAGAGTGGGATCTAGTAAGCCCCATGCAGCCCATTTTTCCAGACGTGGGCCTAGAGGGGGGGAGCGAGATTTTTTTGGGCCGATCCACGGGCTGGAAAAGGAAAATGGAAGACCCCCCAGATTCAGCATCCCGGGCCGTGATATGGTATGAAGTTTGAAGAAAGACTGATTCGGTGGACTCCTTGGTTGACCGGGGGTGATCATCACCGTCCATCGAAACCCGCAAAAGGACAAGTCAAAGGAAACCGAGGGAGTCGGACACATCGACTTCGAAGCATTGGGTCAATATGTTCCGGCGCGGTTTCTCGGGTGACTGTCGGAATTCAACGCGGAGAATCGATTCCGAGCTGGCCCAGCCGCGCCGGCAGCAGCTAAGCGGGGATATTTTTTTGGTGCCATCGTGCCCTATAAGTTCACTATTTAAACTCGTACCGTCATCGGTGGAAGAATCTCTCCTATTTTTCTTCTTGAAGAAAACCATAATCCTACGTGCAAAAATATGCATTTTTAATGGTATGACAGTAATTAAGATTATTATTGGAGGAGATATCGTAAAATACTGTTTCTCGGCGATGGACCCGTACTTGTTTCAATTCTTATGGCGCCACGTGGTTGTTCTTCGAGCATTCGCTGTCTCGACGGGTGTCTTCGGCCCGACGATCCGGAGGAAAGTAAAGTCACCGCCGGTGAGCCTTAGAGTTCTCTTCCCCTTTTGTGTCTCTCTCTGTCTCTCTCGTGGTCGACGCCGGGGCGACAAAGGAGGAGGTGGGGAGAGAAAGGGGAGGCTGGTTCTAGAGAGGGAAAGTGGAAAGAGAAGGCGTGCGCTCCTGAAAGAGGAACGGAGGAGAGAGAAAGAGGGCGGAATCGAAGGGGGGAGGAGTGGGAGGGCGGAAGAAGCGGTGGGGAAGGAGGAGAAGACGAGGGGCTGACACTCCTGGTATAACAGCTGCTCTGGTAGCGGAGGCATGGGGACACTACAGACATGGAGGAAGGCCTATGGGGCCATCAAGGACTCCACCACCGTCGGCCTCGCCAATCTCAACAGCGACTTCAAGGTTTCCTACCTCCCCCTTTTCTTCACATATATATGTCGCTTCTTTGCCTCCCCCCCCTCCCCCTCTCTCTCTAGCTGCCACTCGTGGGCACGATAATTTGGTTATACATTGGTACGGTCGTGATGGCGAGCATGACCGACGCGGTCGCCTGCGCAGGACCTGGATGTGGCGATCGTGAAGGCAACGAACCACGTAGAGCGTCCGCCCAAGGAGCGCCACCTAAGGAGTGAGAATCAGCAGACACTCCCTTTTTTTACAGTATTTTCCTGCTGTCTTAATTTTTGTTGATCCCACTATTCCATAATTTTTTCTGTAATGCCAACCGTCTGGGGTGGTCATTCGAATTGGGTACTTATTTGGGATCTTGAATCCGGTAGCAAGCCCTACCCACGAATTCTAAGTTCAAAATATATCCAGCATGTTCGTACCGGCAATTTTTGATGGAGGAGGGTTTGACCTCGCTTGAATTAGGAGGTTCTTTTTCCAGTTCTTGCTGTCTGCAACGGATCTCTCTCAAAATTGTATTCATTTGTATCCATGTAGCCTATTGCATCTTCGATTTAGACTCGTATATCAAAATCCGGGTCGCATTGTTTTTCACATTTGTCACTTTTTCTATTGCGCAGAGATATTGGCAGCAACGTCCATTTCCCGGCCACGTGCGGATGTTGCATATTGCATTCATGCACTAGCTAGGAGATTGGCAAAGACACGGAATTGGGCAGTAAGCATTTGTGGAAATTACATTCTTTATTAGTTTCTTCTTCAGGGTTAATTTTACAGAGTAATCACTTCTATAACCTATACCAGGAAGAGACTTATATTCTCTCCTTTTTTCTAATCGTGAAAAATGTTTAAACTTTCCCTATTGCCACCTATGCTCATGGAATTTTAATATATCCACCACAGCTATCACTTTTAGTTGGCTTTTTCTTGTTCTTACTCTTAATTATGCGGAGGGAATAGCTAATGAGCAGAGAAACAGCATGCGGGTTGTTACCTAGTGGAAAGATTTCCTGTTCGTTTGTGTACTATCCCAGAAGTTGATCACTTAGGTACGGGCTAATCTACTCAAGATGTATACACAGTTTTAAAATGTTTCAAAATTGTAGAAATACACCTTTACTACCCTTGAAAATAGTAATGATGTTCATACGCATCTTTACTCTATAGAAAGAGCATTAATGAGTTAAAGGAATGGTCTTCATCTTGCCTTCTCACAGGACATGCCACCACAGCTGCAATCCTGTTGTCTACATGGAAGGGTAGAGGGGAGAAATGCAAGATACGAGACATTGGGTGCAGATGAAGGGAAAAGTAAGATAAGTCATGGAAATAACGAATTAGAGAGATCGTGAATAATCATTTGGATCGGAATATCGCTGTATAGAACCTTTGCTACTTATCAGCCAATGTCTCCAACATTGCCTAGGGAAATCAATGCTCGAAGGGTCTATCGTAGAAGGATTATCATGAGAGACTGTAAGATGGGTTGTGTTCACTTAGTGGTGGGATAGATTTTCAAGAAGGAAGCGGTGTAAGGACGTCAAGTGGTTTAGTCAGCTACGCCATGTGACTCTATCACTCACAAAACATTGGACTTCCTTGATGTCCAATTATCTGGCAAACTAGAACGTGTCTAGACTGGTACCAACAAGTTAGAAGAATATTTCGTATCAACTTAGAAAATTATTTCGTTGTGTTTGTTGCTAAATTTTTCAGCTTGATGTTTGTCCAATTGTTGTGTTATAGTGGATCAAATATGGCGATATGAAGTTTGACCGTCATTCGTAAGTTAGGAAAACCTTTGAGGTATGTGAGTGTAACCTCGGTACCAACATGTTATAGCTTCAGACAAGCCACTTGAGAATTTCGATGTAGTTTCTGACATTTCAGAGTTACTTGGCTAAGAGCTCAATACCTTTCCTAGAGGGTTGATGTCGGGTGGGGATCTAGTTGAACTAGATTTATGGGATTAAATCCTATAATGGCGAGACACGAATTACATGCTGAAGGTGTACTTTATCCTATGTTCTTTCCTAAATAAGGCTTCTGCTTTACAGATTTTGCAGTATTCCCCCCTAATACCTATTTGTGTAGTATTGACTAATAGCTGCTGGTTGTACTGAAGGAAGGAAGGGAAAATTAATCATTCTAAAGGAGAGTATTTTCACAAGCATGATACCTATCTCTTAGGTTTTTGACTTTTTTATGTTTAATTGGTAATCTTTGTCTGACGGATGATTTTACTTATTTTATTTTTGAAAATGCTGGCTATTTTTGTAGATTTGTGCTTGACAGATGATTATATTTTGAATAGAGAAGACCTTGGCTTCGAGTGCATTTGTCTCATTCAATTTTCTGCTGTATAGGTAGCACTGAAGACGCTGGTAGTTATCCATAGAACACTAAGAGAGGGCGATCCTACATTCCGTGAAGAACTTCTAAATTTTTCACAGAGAGGACGTGTCATCCACTTATCCAATTTTAAAGATGATTCTAGTCCTATTGGTAATTCACTTCATATGGTTTCATTAAAACCTCATATGCAGAAATTTTCTGGCTGGTTCTAAATTAATGCATAAATAATTTAATGCTTTCAAGATGCTTTTTTCAATGACAATGCATTTCACTTTTCAGCTTGGGATTGCTCTGCATGGGTTCGTACTTATGCTTTGTTTTTGGAGGAAAGATTGGAATGCTTTAGGCTTTTGAGGTACGATGTTGAAGGTGAACGTCTTGGAAAACTGTCACAGGAGTCCATCAAGGTAATTAAGGAATCATGGTTTTCTGTCCATATGTCTCGTCGGATTTTTCTCTCAGCAAGTGTTTCTTATCTCGGCCTTACTGTGTCACCAGATTCGAAGTAGAACAAGCACTTTGAATGGTGAAGACTTATTAGAACAATTGCCTGCCTTGCAGCAGCTACTTTACCGTCTCATTGGATGTCAGGTGGGTTTCTGGTAAATTCCCAGCTTAGGTTTTGAATTGTTCAATACATCAGGAACTAGGCTTAGAAGATACCTAATTGAACTAACTTAATTTTCTGGAATTGTTTTGATTTTTTTTACTTGTTGCATACACTCTCAATGATGGCTTTTTAGGCTTATTGTACATATATTCCTTTCTTAGTTGAGCCACTTTCATCTTCTGAGAGTTATTTTGTTGTTTCTTTGTTTCCTCCTCGTGTATCAGTAAACAACAACATCTTCGTAACTACTGATCTCACTTTATTTTTGCAGCCTGAAGGTGCCGCGATTGGCAATTATTTGATACAGTACGCCCTGGCTCTGGTAATATTACTTATCTTTTGGTTGCCCCACGTGTATAACGACTACTAGCTTCAATTATGCATGTTAGCTGACTTTCTCATCTTTAGGTACTTGCTTCTGTGTGTCCTTGTTTGAAATCGAGGATTCTACAAAACACAGGCATTAGCTATTTACAAATGACCCTTCTCTTGTATATCACTAGGAAGCTGCAGACTCATAAAGGGTACAGTTACCCATCATAGGGTAGTTTGTCTCCATACCATTAAATGTTACAGTTTTTGTGGAATCAGTTAACTGACCAAGACAGAGAATTAGGATTTGATCCCATCTTCTTTTTCTGCTCGGGTATTTCCTTTCCTCTTCTCTCTTTTCATTCTACATTTACCATGTGTCCGGCCTACCTACAACTTTTGCAACTTCTAGACCCATGTGACTATTTATGCTGCTGACTATATGCGATAATTGACGATGAGATTGAACAATCAGTTGATCACCCCCCCCCTCAACATCTCCAAACGATGTGTGCTCCACAAGGTCTGCCACGTCATGATGAACTGAGAACACCTAAAAGACCCAAAAATTGTTGGACTAGGTACTAACTTATCATAGTTGATAAGTATTGATCATCCCTCATTAGCATAGTAGTTCACTATTATCTCTGTTTTTCTTCTGGGTGTACCACCTAGTATTTTCTGTCCCACGTTTCTTCTATTGGCTCAACTAATGGTTGATGGTTGCCATACTAAATAACAACTGATTAGTGTTTTCTTAGAGGCAAAAAACAGAATGTGAAATGGTTAAGGCTGGGCTATGGATGCTCTAAATCCTCAAGATTTTCCACTTCTAGACATGATTTTTCTCAAATTCCAACAAGAAGAAAAGGCTGATACTACTGTGGAGGACAAGAAACAACCTTGAAATCTTGTGTTAAATCTTGATCCGTTTGTTTTTGTAGAAATTCAATATGTTGTTTCTAACCATCTTTCCAAATTTTCGGATAAAATAGTCTTATCGTCCATTGACCTCTGTTATTTCTCCATGTTCCCCTAACTCTTATGACATTATATTTTGCCTCCAAAATTTTATATTTTTGGATTCCTGTGGACTAGTTCCTGTACTAGATTAGCCTCATTAGGTTTCCTACATAAACCGGCTCGAACTAGGATGACACACATTGTGCCATAAGGGTCCTTGCCAAGCAGCTGGTAGTTCTAGAAACTAGTTTACTACTGTATTGATGGTGGATTGGGTAATGTTTTCACGACAATCTTATGTTTTTTATGGAATCTCTGTCTTCATATCATGTGTGCATGGGTTTGAGGAAGGGGTTATTCCGAATTGTTTTTATGGTAAGATTATAGAAGTACACTGTAATCCTGAGACACTTTTCGTTGTTTTAGAGGAAAAGAAATGCTTTGCAGGCAACTTTACTGTTAATCTATTCGATCAATATTTTTTGTGTAGAAGACTCCGAACCTATTTGTAGTATTTCTATCGGATGGCAACAATATTTACCTTACTTTTCCTTTGGAATGCATATCATACTTTGTCTTGGGATCCAACAATCTAAGTCACATTGTGCAGGTACTGAAGGAGAGTTTTAAAATTTATTGTGCTATTAACGATGGTATCATCAGCCTTGTTGATAAGGTATTTTCGCATCTAATGCAATTGACGGTACTTCGTTTTTTTGGCACTAGGACGCATTTGATGTAGCAATGTATAAATTGATGTTTCATGTCATTCAGGTTTTTGACATGCCGAAGCATGAAGCTATGAAAGCACTTGAAATCTACAAAAGGGCAGCCCAGCAGGTGGAGTTGTCCCATGATTTTTATGAAAAAAAATTATTGCAATGCCCCTGTAGCTTCTGAGTTATCTGCTCAAGAAAAAGTTATACTGAGTATACTGTCTAAAGATGGCCCTGACGAGTCCTTCGATACTAAAGTATATGTTTGATGGTTTTTTCTTACATTTGCAGACTGGGAGCCTCTCTAATTTCTATGAAGTTTGTAGGGGATTGGAACTTGCTCGTAATTTTCAGTTTCCAGATCTAAAAGACGTAAGATATTATACCTCTAATTCATTATGTTTGGGTAAATTTCACCCGTGATCATTGATCCATTGAACCGTTTCATCATTTTCAGCTTCCATTGTCGTTTGTGGTAACAGTGGAGGAATACGTAAGAGAGGCCCCTCGGGTGGTTTCTATTTCAAGAGAACCATTGGTAATTATTTTCGTGTTCTTATGTTTTTATAATTATCTTATTCCGTATAGAATACACAGTTTCAGTGGCCGTGGACGTCTATCACAGTTACTGTTGTTTGATCAATTTATAATTAATGATAACTGTGGGACTTCTTGTCATTTTTTTTATTGGCATTTCGATAGCCCGTGCATATCTCATCCCATATTTATATGTGAGAACCCTGGTGAAAAACAAGGCAGATGCTAGATTAATGCAATTTTGAACATATTGTTACATTGCGGTAATGTACTTTGTCGGATCTGGTGCTGCGGAACAATCTAAAATAACAAGTTCTTTAAGGGGTAATTATGTTGAGGTGATTAGTCCTGAATGGTCATAGAAAGGCCTGAAATATCTTGATGTCCAATCGAAGATATGATATTTCATGTTTTTGCAAAGGCTATTATTACATAGCTGGGTGACGAAAGCAGATTTTTATGCAGGGCAAATTAGAATTAAAAGTCTTCCTGCAGTTTTAGGTATTGTTTTTTTGCTTTTATTGTAAGGTCTCCATAGTTTAGTTGGTCCGATTTTGATGAGGAATCTTGCCCCATTGTTCTAGGTGAATGAATTATATGCATCGTGTGTCTCATGAAGTTCAACTTATGTTTGCATCTAGTTCTGGTCTACGGGGCCTCTGGTCTCATCCCTATATTATTTCTCTGTAGGCCTTCTGGACTATTGTTGGGGTATGGGCTAGTTTTGGTTAATTCCGATCTGTATCTGGCCCTCTGTAAGACACATTGATGTTTGAAAGAAGAGTAATAGTAGGCTGCACCCTGCAGCTAGGAGAGCAGATGAGGTGGAGGACAAGGCTGTGAAACCTCAACAGTTGTCCTCTTTAATTACAATATTTACCACTATTCTGACAATTTTATAAAACGCTGCATTTTAATATTTTTTCTGGGTTTGTCCCTTTTCTCCGATATCAGCTGATGATCCCGGTTAGTCCAAGAGATTGGATTTGGAAAACTGGGAACGTTTCAAATTGGTGGATGTTGTTCTTTGCATGATATCTCAAATATCGTTGCAGTAAAAGATCTGGCAACTCCTGAGATCTTGCCTGCACAGGTTATTGCTGCTGTTGATGATATCATAGACGACCTCATAATCATTTTGAACTGATTGCAGAACAATTGGGCAGAAGTCGACCAATCAAACTCAAATCGGCTTATTTCAGGTTGATCTGGTCTTGCAAAGGTTGACTATGAACAAAATAGAATTCGTCTATGATTATGGTTTTATACAATAAATATTGATGAATCCTATTGGGAAAAGTGACCAGACATTAAAACACGGAACACTATAGCTCAAAAATGGAGTGCAGTTCAACCATAAGTGACTCGGCAAAAGCCCAAAATATATGGCAATGTCTTGGGTTTGATGTTTGGGGCTTTCTTATAATTATTGAGATAGTTGAGCCTATTTAAATAAGAATTAGGCATCCTAGTTTGGTGACATCCTTCCGATTATTAGGTGGGTAATGATGGATCACAAGGCTCGTACTGATGCTGGTGATGCATCATTGATGAAAATGGAGTATCAGGCTGAACTTTCGGATTCGCCCCACGTTTTTTCGTTTGTCATTCAGCATATGTTTTAAGGTGGTTTTGGCCAGTGACACAATTGGAAGAAGATACAGGCAATTCTGAGAATTGGATATTAGAGATATTTACGTGGATGTGGGCATCTTTATGGATCGTTGGTCACCCTGAAGTTGAGTCTTCATATCACGCTATTCCCAAGAATATCTAGTACCTGGAAACAGTCGTAATCATCATAATCTCAATCTGTTAGCCGATGTGGAGGATTGAAGGGACGTGTGTTTCTGGTTATATTTACTACGGTTAAAGCGGATGAGCTGGAACATAATGGCTGGCAAGTTGCCGCATTGTATGATCTTTTATTATTAATTGGATATCACCTTACTATTTGTCTTTATTATTTATCATGGGAAACAATATATGGATCGTGTTTGTTTCGGAGGATATTATAGTTGACCGATGCTGATTGACCTATTTTAAGCTTTATGCTATTATAGGTCTACCAGATGAAGACTTCATTAGTAATCTCATAGACTTCTTGTTCTTACGATTTTATTACTATTTAGACGACTTCTGTTTCAAAAGCCATCATTTCCACTGGTAAAATCCCATCAGGATTTCATTCTGAAAACGGCAACGATTGCCAGGTCCTGTGGTACTAACAATATATTACCTTTATTTTTTACGAATAACCGGGATATATTTGCAGAAGATAAGTGTCGATAATCTACTCTGATTCAGGAATTCCCAGAGAGGCTTCTTCTGACATATAAACCTGAGGAGGCGCCACCACCCGCGGAGGATACAACAGATCGACACGTTGATAAGCCCGTCCCTGCGACGGCGGAGGGTGAAGTTGTGGCTGTTTCTCCTCCGAAGCCGGAAGAAAATGATCTTCTGGTTAGTCCTAAAATCGGCAAGTACTTTTGCTTTTCTGTCTACTATGCGTTGAGAGGATATAAATGTTTTTTTTTTTTTTTTTTTTTTTTTTTTTGCAGGGCCTGCATGAATTCCACCCGGATGCTTCCTCAATAGAGGAGACTAACGCCCTGGCTCTTGCAATTGTTCCATCTGGTAGTTCACCGCTGATTCTTCTTTTTTTCAATTCTTCTGGGACCATATGTATTCTCTTCCTTACTTCGCTTAATGGACTCTATCCCTTGGAAATATCGGCAGGCACTACCAGCGCCAATGATACCAGTCTGAGGGGAGAGAAAGGGCTGGATCCCACAGGGTGGGAGCTCGCCCTGGTCACCACGCCCAGCAGCAGTAGCTTGCCTGCAGTTGAGAGCCAACTGGTCTGTCTACTCATCACATTCAAGTCATCATACCGTCGTTTCTTCTTCTTCTTCTTCTTCTTCTTCTTCTCCGTTGCTTTCTTCCCCAAAACCCACCCAGAAGTCCGCTTCTTGTATTATAATGATTTAGTGCCATCCTAGGCTGACTTTGCTCATTGGTTCTCACCTGCTTCCACATTGTTGTTTGAATCCATGGCATGGCAGGCCGGCGGATTGGACAAACTCACTCTGGACAGCCTATACGACCATGCGGCCTACATGCCGCAGCAGCCCGTCTACGGCCGGCCGCCGCCGAATCCCTTCATGACGGCGGTGGCGCCGGACCCATTTTCTGCGTCCGGCCAGGTCCCCGCCCCAGCCGGCGTGCAGATGGCGCTCATGGCCCAGCACCAGCAGCAGCCAATGCCGATGATGCCGCAGGCGAACCCCTTCCTTCAGCCGGCGTACCAACCGCTGATGAACTACGGGGCCTCTTCGAACCCCTTTGGCGACGCCGGGTTCGGGCCTTTCCCCCACCATCCCCCGCAGGCCAATCCGAATCCTTTTGGGAGCACCGGGCTGATCTAGGTGCGCTTCTCCTCCATTCTATTATTGGCTGCAACTGCTGCAACAACATCACCACGCTCACATACGCGCGCAGAAAGCGGCCAGCCTCCCCGCATGCATCATCCGAGTTGTAAAGAAAACCCAGCACACAAACTCTTCTTCTGCTAGTGATTGCGGCGTGGAAAATAGTGGTGCAAAAAAAAGTCAAGAAAAAGAAGAAGCTTTCTTTGTGGGACGAACGGGGGGGGGGGACAGCAGCAGACGATGTTTCATCACTATATACAGTGTAAGTACATTCGCAGGCGGGGGTGGGGATGGGCCACCGGGCGAAAATTTACAGGCAGGCCGGCGGGGAGGGGGGGGCTCTGCTCCCTCTCATCCACGACTCTCATTCTTGCCTGGGGATCCACCTGCTCCACCACACGTTCTTCCTCTGCCTATTCAGCTCGTCCATGCTCTCGTTCAGCGTCTTCAAGATCTTCCTCTGGAGGCGGAGCACCGAGGCTAGCACGTTCCTCTGTGCCGAGCCCTTCCGCGGCGCAATCTCCTGCAGGCGACACATCCGACAGAAAGATGGACGAGTGAATGGCGGGGGATGGATGATCGGATCGGAGAGTAGTAGTAGTAGTAGGTAGTAATAAATGGGCAAAGCGGGTTAGGTTGACTGACTCTGAGGTCCTGCAGCTGGGCTTCGGTGAAGCCGCCTTCTTTCTCGGTGCCGGACCTGGCCATAAGGGCGATGATCCACTTGGCGGCCTCGCTGTAGTCCTTCTGGGTGGCACGGAAGAGCTGCAGCCTGAGGCTCTGCATGAAGGAGAGGCCCAGGAGCCCCTCCCTCTTGAAGTAGGGGTGGGCCAGGGCCCCCTTGGCGCTCGTCCTCTGCCGCGCCCTGTAGCGGACCATCGACGTCAGTAGCTCCCAGCCGATCCCCCCGTCCAGGTCCAGCAGCTCCAACCCCCGCCGCAGGTCCGGGCCGGCACGAGCTTCCGCCGCGGCACGCCAGGCGTTCAGGTCGTAGTCGCACCGCTTTAGCTGCCTGTTGAATTGTATCAGGGCGCTATCCGATCGCAGGGAAGGAACGGCCTGTTTGCCAAAACAAAAACCGGAAAAAAAAACAGCAGCAGTCAGGTCAGCAAAAGGCTTCGCCGCGCCTTAAAAATCTGTATCTGCTAAACGATATGATCAAAAGCTCAGCTCAGCTCAGCTCAGCTCAGCCAGCCATCTGTCGGCCGGACCGCCGCCTACCATCTGCAGGAATATCAGTCCCAGGCTGTAGATGTCGAATCTGTCGGGCAGATTCATCTGCCGAGGCAATCAATCAAGACCCATGTCAGTCAGAGACAGAAAGCAATAGCTCTCTCTCTCTCTCTCTCTCTCTGTGCGCGTATCAACAGGCAGCCAACCTGCCATAGGACGGGGGACAGTGCAGCAGCCACCGGAGCGGAAGGAGCCGACGGGGTCTGGGTGCTCATGATGTACTGCTCCGGCGCCGCATACCTGCAAATGGGAGATGGGTCAATCCAATCCCAAGCCCAAGCCAGAGAGAGGCTCCTACCTTCTCAAAGTCTCTAGCTTTCCATGTGGGTCAGTCGCAGCGTCCATGGAATTCAACGAGAAAAACTTAACAGGCGGCTGCAATTAAGGTTGGACGGCCTAAACAAATTGTTCTTGGCGACGGATGTGGTGTTCTTCGCATGGAAGAAGGGTAGATAGATATTTGTGGGCTACATACAGAAAAGATAGGTCTCTGGGCGAGAAAGGAGATCATTACCTGGGATCAAGAAGGAACTCCTTGGGGATATAATTGATGCCGACTCGCAGATCTGCCGCGGCGCCGAGGTCGATGATCTTGAAGGTGCGGGTTCCTGAGGACGCGGGAGCTTACGACAGATAAAAAAGAGCTTCCATGGGAGCGTCACTGGGGGTGGGCTTACCCTCGGAGAAGATGACGTTCTGGGGCTTGATATCTCTATGCACGATTCCGGTGGAGTGCAGTCCGTCCAGGGCAAAGAGGAGCTGCCTCATGATCGTCTGAATGATCTTGTTCTCCCTGTCCAGTCCCTTGGGCTTGTTCTGGACCTCCCCGAGGATCATCGTCTCCACCTAGATCATCCATTTCCTCGTCAATTCGTGCTAGCATCAGACAGGGAAAGGGAAAGGGGGGGAGGTCCCAACAGGAACTGAATACCCCTGGTCTGCCTTCGAGGAACGATCAGAAGTCCACGCAGAAAAGGAAAAAAAAAAATCCACAAAAAAAATGGTCAAGATTCACGCGAGCCCAATCGTATGGGCACCATCAACCCGGCTGCTCAGCCTCCCACTCTTGCAACCAGGAAGCTGCTTTCACGGGAGCAGGCATCTCTCTCAGGATAAGACCGGAAGAACATGCGTGCAGAGAAAAACAGAATTTTCGCAGATGGATCCAACAGAAATCTAGAGAAATTAGAGCAATTAATGGGTGGGTTTGTAATGGCGAGGTCATTTTTCTTCCCAAAACTCCATCTTGCTGTAATGGCGAGTTGCAAGAATGAATCCAATGGAAGGATAAAAGTCGGCAGTCGCGGGATTGACAGCGAAGACTGACATTGTAGGGGAATTCCTTGCTGAGGAGGAGGTCCGCGAGGGTCGCCTCCCCCTCGTACTGCCATATGAGCCAGTACTCGTCACCGCCCTTCACCTTGGAGGTCTAGAAAATGATACCAATCCAGTCAGCACCTTGAAAACAGATAACACATCACAAGGATGAGAGAGAGAGAGAGAGAGAGAGGAACACCTCGAGGAAGCCATAGACGAAGTCCGGACAGCTGCCGGCGCACGCCCTCCTCACTCGCTCGTTCATCCAGATCTCCACCGCGCCATATTCGGTGGCCTTCTTCAAGACCAGGTCACCTTGCTTCAGCAATCAAAGACGAACGCTGTCAATGCCAAAAACGAAGTAGTTCGCCCGGCTTCCTGCTCAGCCGCTACCGCCACTAGAGAGATGCAGAAGAAGGGGAGAGAGGAAACTGATACGCCCCCATTCCCTCCGATGAGAATCGACAAATCGCGGAGCTCCTAAGCTAGCCGTCGGCCATCTCCACGCGAGGAGGGCATTCACAGTAGGATGGATAACCGAAGTGTATTTTTCTTTCGAGGAACGTAAGGGAGCTGGAAGAACCACACAGTGCAACGACGGTGGGTGGGGGCAGCCAAAAGTGAGTATATGTATGGATTTACCATGGAGGGCTTGTCGGAGTTATCCGCCGAAACCTTGTAGACGATCCCAAAGGCGCCCTCCCCGAGCTTCTTCCCCAGCGTGAAATCCTCCTGATCGAGGAACAAAACCCCACGGTGAGAAACTCGCTCCTCAGGAAGCGCACTGGCCGAAGCTCTTCTTCTTCAACCCATTGGTGAGAGATATTCCGACCTTGCGGAAGGTGGGGCGGAAGAGGCGCTCGACGAAGGCGAGCACGAACATGTCGAAGAAGCCGGGGGCCACTCCCGGGGTGGCCCAGAGGTAGGAGACAGTGGCGAGGGCGAGGGCCACGCCGGGGGCCGTGAGGGTGAGCCCGCTCGGCCGGGGGAGGCTGCTCCGGTAGATGATGTCCCCGCACTCCATCACCGTGCAGGGCAGGCCCACACCGACCCCCAGGAAGAGCTCTCGATGGTGATCGACGATCCCGCTGATCATCCCCGCGCATTCTCCCAGCAGAGAAGCCCTGACGCCGCCCGCCGCCGCGTTCCTGCTCCTCCTCCTGCACCTGGCGGCGGGGGCCGCCGCCGACCCCAGATGCTGGCTGTACTCAACGGCGGCGCCGCCCACCAGGAAGGGGGACCTGAGAAAGCCCGCCACCCCCGCGCTGCCAATCGCCGCCCCCGCCATTGCCGCTGGCCGTGGCACTGGCCCTGCCCGTTATTCCTCGTTCGTTCGATAATTCCTGCTCCACCTCCACCCTCTTCCTCTCTCTGTCTGTCCGGATTTTTCTCCTCTTTTGTTGCGCCTCCTCCTCTTCCGCTCCCGATATCTTAAAGCCGCAGAAAAAAATCAAGATCCAAGCTTTTAGAATTTTTATTCGTCCGCCGCTCCGCCGCTCGCGTGTGGCGGAGAGTGGACGGCAGCGCCGCCGAGTCCACCATGACACGTGGCACGGGAGGCGGGGGGGCTCCGGCGTTCCACCCACCACAAATAAACGGATGCAGAAGAGGACAGGGGGGAAATTTTCGGATTCTCTCGAATCCGTTTGGAAGCGGCACTCTGGGAATCGCTTCCTCGTCTCCATCGTCGTCTCCTTGGCGCCATCATCAAAACCCAAGCCACCCATTCCTCCGCACGCCACCAGTCCATGGCAGCCGCCGCCGCTTCTGCTCTCGTTCCCCGTTCGGCTCGGAATAGGGTTTCCGTCCGCAGCTCTTCTTCTTCTTCTTCCTCCTTGAAACCCCCGGCGTTCCTCTCCTCCGCCAGCTCCGTCGGACTGTTGAAACTGTTTTCCCCTCCTCCCCCGCCTCCTCCCGCAATTTCTATCTCCAGGATATCCGTGGGGGTTTCTTCTTCTTCTTCCCCCAAGGTAGGAACTTCACTTCCCTCGATTTCTCCCCCCCGCAAACCCTGATCTCTTTCACCTCCACCCGCAGATGGAGGGCTCGGGCGCAGAGATAGCGGAGGAGGTGGAGAAGTCCCCGGCGGAGGAAGGCGGCGGCGCCGCCGAGGGGTTCAAGAAGGTCTTCGTCGCCGGCGCCACGGGGAGAACGGGCCGGCGCGTGGTCGAGCAGCTCCTTGCCAAGGGGTTCGAGGTCCGCGCCGGCGCCGTCGACGTGGGCCGCGCGCGGAGCAGCCTTCCCTCGAGCTCCAATGTCGAGATTGTGAGTCTGAACCAGGCAGGCTTCGCTCTGTAGGGTGGAAAATCTGTCCCGCTGGTGTCAATCTCAGCCTCTGTTTGTGCGCAGGTTAGGGCTGACGTCACCGAGCCCCCGGAGACGCTCGCGGAAGCCATTGGCGACGCCGATGCCGTGGTATGCGCCACGGGATTTCGCTTCTCATGGGACCTCTTTGCCCCCTGGAAGGTCAGTCAGCGAGCTTCTTCTTCTTCTTCCGAATCAACGGGTCAGCGGATGTGATGATGATGATCCCAGTCACTGACCTTGACCCATCTCTCGCTCTGCAAGGTCGACAACTTTGGGACAGTAAACCTCGTGGAGGCATGCCGGAAAAAAGGGGTGGACCGCTTCATCCTGGTCAGCTCGTTATTGGTCAACGGGGCCGCCATGGGGCAGATACTCAATCCAGCCTACATCGTCCTAAATGTGTTTGGGCTCACTCTGGTGGCCAAGCTGCAGGCAGAGAAATTCATCCGGAGATCTGGAATCAACTACACCATCGTAAGACCCGGCGGCCTGAGAGAGGACCCTCCAAGCGGAAACCTGGTTATGGAGCCGGAGGTAGCAACCTACCCACCCACCCCCTCTCCACAAGTCAACTACGCTATTCAATTCTGATCCTGTTCTTGCCGCCCACCTGTTCAGGATACTCTGTTTGAAGGCTCGATATCGAGAGAGCAGGTGGCGGAAGTTGCAGTGGGAGCTCTGCTATACCCCGAGTCCTCCTTCAAGGTCGTCGAGATCGTCGCTCGCAGAGAAGCACCCGAGCGTTCTCTCGCGGAGCTCTTCAGCTCCATCAAGCAACGCTGAATCCAGAGGCCCCTCTGTCGTCTTCCGATGATGTGCCTTCTCGGACTCCTTGCGCATGCTTCTTTCCCTCTGACAGAAACAAGAACGCCGATCGTACAGTTCGCTGTGATCTAGTTGAATCTCGTTCGAGCAATAAAGAGGTGGTTTTTATTGTGCATCTGCAGTCGGGAGACATCGAGAGTGAGTGATCCACCTTCTGTAGTGCATGGAGAAAGTAAGAGATTTCAGATGCTGCCGGGAGTCTGCGGGGTCGGCTGCGGCGGGGGCTGGGGAAGAGTGTAGAGCGATCTGAGCTGCCTGTTGATGAGCCTGCTATGGTCGAGAGCCTGCTGGAGCTCAATGTCGTCGGACCACCACTGCTGCAACCCGTGCGCCTCGAGAAACCTCTTCGGGCCCTTGGAAGCGACGAAGAGCCTCGTCGCCGCAGACCCACCAGGATCCTCTGCTATGATCGTCCGACCAAGGTCGTCCCCGAGGTCGCCGTTGCTCCTGGAGAACTTGGTGTAGAGGCAGCAGATGTAGTCGCTCTGGTTCACGTACAAATGGGGCACCCAGCTTCTACTGAGCTCTGCTGAGGGAGAGGGAGCGTCACCGCTCACCGGTGGCGCAGACGTGATCCTCCTCCAGACCATGGCCGCCGTATCTCCGATGTTCCTCACGGCGGCAGTCAGGGAGATGGACGGTGGGTTGAAGAGGTGGCACTCCACGAAGGCCCCCTGCTTGGCCAGCGCCTTGCCCACCTGCAGCGCGAAGCCGGCGCCCAGGGAGTGCCCGCCGACCCACACGTTGCCGTCGCCGTGCTTCTCCACGGCGGACTTGAGCGCCGCCAGTGCGCCGCCGTACCTGGTGGAGCCCCGGAGGCTCTCCCAGCCCAGGAACCGAAGGTCGTCCTCCAGGTCCCTCCTGATCGTCGGGCTCGTGAGCAGCGTCCCCCGGAGGGCGAGGACGGCGCGGGGGGCGCCGCCGGGCCTCGCGACGATGAGCTCCGAGATGGCGGCGGCGAGATCCCACTCGAAGAGGGCGCCGTAGATGGAGCCGTCCCGTTCGTCCACCAGGGCCTGAGCGAGCTTGTACTTGAAGGGCTTCCACCATTTCGGCGCAAGGGCGCCGTCCCCCGTCCTCTTCTCCTGCCGGTCGATCTCCAGCAGGTACGCGGCCTGGATGAAGCAGGCGATCACTACCCTCTTATAGTTCGGATCTTTCCTGCAAGAATCACGGACGATGCGAGAGGAAATTGGTCAGAGGAGAGCGGAAACTTTTGCCGGATCTCGAATTCCTGGTTTCCCGGATTGAAGATGAGATGATGGAAGAAGCCCCTCCCCCCCACTTCCCCCGAGTGGGACCGTCCTCTGTTGTAGATGCCGCTCGCTCATCTTCCGGGAAGAGAAACAGGAGGGGGAGTTGTGCTCAGATTTCTCATACGCTCTTCCAATTCACCTCACGACGAGATCGCGAGGAACCCTAGCCCTCCCAATTCACCTTTTTTCCCCCTGTACGAGCAGAAATCAAAAGAGGGAGACGATAATTTACCAGGAGGAGCGGAAGAGGTCCCGCCAGTTAGGAAAGGAGACGTTCCGGGGGCCGCAGACGAGGAAGTCGTACGGATGATCATCCCCGCCGCCGCCGCCGCCACCGCCGCCGCCACCACCGCGGCAAACTCCACGCTTCGCCCTGCGTCCACCATGTCTCCCCTCCTCTCTTCCCCTTGCCCTCCTGCTGGGTAAAACCACCACTTCACCATTGTAATCGAGCTTTGCCGCCTCCTCTCCTCGCCCACCGATCTCTCCGCCCTCCACAGAGAGAGAGAGAGAGAGAGAGAGAGCAGCTAGCTGCTACGACGGGGGAATATTTGATTTAATAAAAATAGAATATTGGGCATTATAAACTGATAAAAATAGGATTTTTGAGTGGAGGTATTTTTAAATGAGAGGGAATTTTATTTTCCTTGTCACATGAGAAACGAAAAAAGGGCAAAAGCGTCGATTCTCCTCCCCTCGCGCCGTTTGGTCCGTGGAATCAGCTTCTCGTACCATCTGATTCCAGCGCTTCGCCCTCGGCAAGCACAAAGTCGGTGACACGTGGGGGCATCTTACGTTTACCCCCTCATGTTATATATAATACATTTTCCAACCCCGTGGCTCTAATTTTTCTAGTGGATAACCCCGTAAGTAAGAAATCACGGGCCCACGTGTATACTTCGAGAAGTCAATCCGACGCGTACCTCCCGGCGCGAAAATCTGAGCACCGAAGACCGTGACATCAGACGGCGGCGCCGCCATGTAGCGTAGCCTTCGGATGTGGACCCCGGCTTCCCCCGACGCCTTCCATGCGGGAGGCGCGATACGAACAGATACCTCGATAGATCTACAGATTAACAGACTGACGGATAACGGGGACAGAAAGAGAGAGTGTTAGTTATATATATATATATATATATATATGTAGAGAGAGAGAGAGGGAGACTATATATATTTAAGGTTTCCGTCTTGGGGAGGTGCAGAAAACCTACTGCGACGCCCCCGCCGCCGTGCACCGGAGGCCCGCTCGTCGCCGTCCGCCTTCCTGGTCGGCGTCGAATTGGTTTCCACGCCGGATCCATCTCTGCCGGGCCCGCGGGCTGAGAGTCAGAAAGCTGGTGCAACTCCTATTTCTTCTTCTTCTTCTTCTTCTTCTTCATCATCATCATCATCATCATCATCATCATCACCATCATCTTCTTCTTCCTGATAGGAGCCAATAAAAGTCCGGAGAGGTGCGTTGCTTCTACTTGTGTGATGGTGCCTCTCACCGCCGGGAAGCGGGTATAGAACAGGGGGATGGGGAACGCCATGGGGAAAAGGCTGGCCGAGAACTGCGCCGAGACCTGCGACCTCCTCGTGGATGCCATTCTGAAGCTACAGGTGGTCAAACAGAAGGTCGAGTGCGAGCGCGCAGACGCCCGCGCTGAGGTCTTCTGGCTTCTAAAGACGCGGCAGCGCCAACAAGCCCTTCACTATGTATACTCTTTCTCTGTCTATACCCCGTTCATCTCTTTCTCTCTCTATCTTTACTACATGGCCAGCAACACGTACGTACATAACTGTTCATCTTCCAGGTGGAGCATTTGTGCGAAGCAGAAGACCTCCGCGATCTGACTCTCATAATGGAGGACTACTGCATGTCGCTGATGAAAGAGATCAGAATTCTCAAAGGCCGACGGTGAGACAGAGACTCTCTCCATCTCTGTTCTCCCCCCCGTTCCCACGATGTGCCTCCGGTGACCCATCTCCTCCTTCTTCTTCCTCTGATCAGGGGCTTCTCCGACGAGGCCAAGAAGGCCAGGGCGGGCTTCCACTTGATAGTGACCAGATGCAAAGCGCTCTCGTGCATGCAGGATATCGACAGGGCCCTGATCATCAGGCTCGGATGCGATCCTTGCTGCCGGCACCCCGTCGAGCCACACGTGCCGCATCCCACCATCTTCTTCTTCTTCTTCTTCTTCTTCTTCCTCCTCCTCCTCCTCCATGGCGATGGTCCTCATCCATGGTGACGCTCAGGTGTTGCGGAAGCTGTTGCCGAGGCCGCCGAGCGAAGAAAGGAGGGAGCAGCTACTGGAAGAAATATGGAGAGAGAGGGGTGTGCCGACGCCTGACGTGGGCTCCGCTTCCCCTGAGATCATCGAGTCCTGCAAAATCTGCTGCAACGTGGCGCCAGTCCAGGAGCGCCACCCGGTCTCCCTCCCCCTCCCGGCCTGCCTTCGAAGAATGTCAACTATAGAGTCGGATTAGGTAGCAGCCATGAAGCCCAAATCTTCATCACACGGACAATAGATAATACCATTTTGTGGATTTTTGACTTTTTCATGAACCCACATTCGGTCTTCGCGCTCCGAGGATCTGATATATGCGTGGAGAACCCCTTGTACATTGCCCATGAAGCCCAAAGTAGTAACCTTGCCGGTCAATTTGTGAATATTTACCTGATATTCGTTGCCCTTTTTATAGAAATTCCTGATTTCCTCCGAGTCCAATTTGTGAGTATTTGATGCCGACCGGAGTTTACATTGTTGGGTTGAGGTCCAAACAGAAGAGAGACGCTTGCATGGTTTGACCGTCTTTGGGAGCCCATTAACACCCTAGCTCGCGATTAAAGATGTGATCTTTGTTAAATGGATTTATATTTAACGTGGCCGCGGCTTGGGTGAGAGAGAGAGAGAGGAGAGAGAGAGAGAGAGAGAGAGAGAGAGAGAGAGAGAGAGGCTGTTTCAGAAGGGGAGAGGAGGGAGGGGACAGCTGTTCCCCTGAACAAAGTTTCCGTTTTTCCTCGTCTCCTCCATCATTCATTGCCAACTAACTGCTTGACTGGCCTCTCTAACGCCCCGGCTTCCCCATTCCAAGGAGGCAGGCCCGATCGATCAGTGGAGAGAGAGAGAGTCGGGGAGCGGGAGAGAAGGAAAACAAGATGGGGACGTAGCCAGAAAAAGCTCTCTTTCTCTCTCTTTCTCTTTCTGTATGTGGCCGACGCCAGGTTGACGGTGAAACGAGTGGAGGAGAGAAACGAGACGAAGAACAGAGAAAAGAGAAAATCTCCTCCGGCTTGACGCCCGCCGCCCTCCTCCTCTAACTTCAGCCATGGCTTGACAGCATACTGTAAACCCCGCGAGCAAGGAGAAGCCGCCGTTTCTCCTGCACATCCCCCACTGGGCGTGCAGGAAAACGGCCCACGCCACCACTCTCTCTCTCTCTCTCTCTCTCTCTCCTCATTCCCTCTGTCTCTCCCGTATCTATGCGCAGGAGAAGGGGACATTTACCAGTTCCCTCTCCGATCCGGTCGAGATCTTCCCCATCTGGGTTTGCTTCCCGGCGATGATAACCGACGGCCATCTTCTGCTTCTCATACTCTCCATCTCCCATGTGCTCGCCGCCCTCGCCGGCGGCGGCGGTGGCAACGTCCCCGCCGATTCCATCCTCCTGAACTCGGGTTCGACGGAGGACGCCATCGACGCCGATGGCCGGACCTGGGCCGGCGACCGGAACGACAAGTACCGCCTCTCCTCCGGCAATTCATCCCCTTCGACGGCCCCCTACCAGGACCCCTCGTTACCTTCGCAGACCCCCTACATGTCCGCCAGGGTCTTCACTGCGGCTTCCACCTACGAGTTCTCCGTCTCCGCTAAGACCCATCACTACGTCCGCCTCCATTTCTACCCTGCCGCCTACAACGGCCAGGACCCCGCCGGTAGCTACTTTGACGTCACCACCGCCGACGGGTCGATCACTCTGCTGCGCAACTTCAGCGCCTTCGCCACCGTAAAGGCCCTGACGCAGGCCTACATTATCAGGGAGTTCTACCTCCCGCCGGCGGCCGGTGGCGTCCTCCGACTGACCTTCACCCCCTCGGTGGCGCACAAGGGGTCCTACGCCTTCGTCAACGGCATCGAGGTCCTCTCCGCGCCGGACATCTACGGCAGCGGCGCCGCCTCTCTGGTCGGCTTCTCCGGCCAGGACGTCACCGTTGGGAGCTCCGCCGTGCAGACCATGTTCCGGCTCAACGTCGGTGGGCAGTTCCTGCCGCCGGGCAACGACACCGGAGGCCTCGGGAGGACCTGGTACGACGACTCGCCGTACATCTTCGGGGCGGCGTTCGGCATCACTTACGCCGCCGAGAAGAACGTCACCGTCAGGTACCCGCCGGAGGCGAGGGAGATGGCGCCGCTGGACGTCTACGCGTCGGCGAGGTCCATGGGGCCCGACCCGCAGGTGAACATGAACACCAACCTCACCTGGGCGTTCCAGGTGGACGGAGGCTTCATGTACGTGGTGAGGCTCCATTTTTGCGAGCTGCAGATGAGCAAGATCAACCAGAGGGTGTTCGACATCTACATCAACAACCAGACGGCTGTGGCCGGCGCCGACGTGGTCGGCTGGACTTTGTCCCCCGCCGTGCCGGTGCACAAGGACTACGCCGTCTACGTCGCCGACGGCCCGGGGAGCGAGGAGCTGTGGGTGGCGCTGCACCCATCCATGGCCTCTAAGGCCGAGTATTACGACGCCGTCCTCAACGGGCTGGAGGTGTTCAAGATGAACGACACCGCCGGCAACCTGGCGGGGCCCAATCCCTCTCCCTCCACCATGCTGACCGAAGCAGAGGAGAGAGAGGCCGCGGCGGCAGCGACGCCGCAGTTTTCCTCCTCCTCCTCCGGTGGGGGGCGGAGCGGGGTCATAGGGGGGGCCGCCGGCGGTGCCGCCGCGTTGGGGCTCGTCTTCGCCATCTGCTTCGCGGTGTATAGCCGCAAGAGGAGGGTCGGGGGGGCAGCGTCCGGCGGAGGATCAGGATGGCTGCCGCTCTACGGCGGGGGGAGCTCCAACGCGACGACGAGCAGGTCGACCATCTCCGGGAAGAGCTCCGCCAGCAGCCACCTGTCCTCGCTGGCGGTGAGCCTGTGCAGGCACTTCTCCATCGCGGAGATCAAGCAGGCGACCAGGAACTTCGACGAGTCGCTGGTGATCGGGGTGGGGGGCTTCGGGAAGGTGTATAAGGGGGTGGTGGACGGCGGCACGAAGGTGGCAATCAAGCGGTCCAACCCCTCGTCGGAGCAGGGCGTGCACGAGTTCCAGACGGAGATCGAGATGCTCTCCAAGCTGCGGCACCGCCACCTGGTCTCCCTCATCGGCTACTGCGAGGAGAACGAGGAGATGATCCTGGTCTACGACTACATGGCCCACGGCACCCTGCGCGAGCACCTGTACAAGGGCGGCGGCTGCAAGTCCCCGCTGCCGTGGAAGCAGCGGCTGGAGATCTGCATCGGGGCCGCCAGGGGCCTGCACTACCTTCACACCGGCGCCAAGTACCCCATCATCCACCGCGACGTGAAGACCACCAATATCCTAGTGGACGAGAAATGGGTCGCCAAAGTCTCCGACTTTGGGCTCTCCAAGACGGGCCCCTCCGCCATCGGCCAGACGCATGTAAGCACGGTGGTGAAGGGCAGCTTCGGCTACCTCGACCCGGAATACTTCCGGCGGCAGCAGCTCACTGACAAGTCCGACGTCTACTCCTTCGGGGTCGTCCTCTTTGAGGTGCTCTGCGCGAGGCCGGCGCTCAACCCGAGCCTTCCCAGGGAACAGGTGAGCCTCGCCGACTGGACGCTCCACTGTAAGAGGAAGGGGACGCTCGAGGACATCGTCGACCCCTCTCTCCGGGGGCAGATCAGCGCAGAGTGCCTCAAGAAGTTCATCGCCACCGCCGAGAAGTGCCTCGCCGACCACGGCGTCGATAGGCCCGCCATGGGGGACGTGCTCTGGAACCTCGAGTTCGCCCTCCAGCTGCAGGAGACCGCCGACGGCGGCGGCGCGGGGGTGGTGCCAGAGGGAGCGAGTTCGCCCTCCGCCGCCGCAGCTGCCGACGGCTCCAGCCACCGGACAGGGGAAAGCCTCGGAGGGAGCGAGATGAGCGAGGAATCTGACGGCCTGAACACCAGCGCGGTTTTCTCGCAGCTCATCAATCCGAAGGGCCGATGAGGAGGACGACGACCCTCCATGTCCTCTGCGAAGATCGTCCCCTCCTCCAATCCACTCCCCGTTGATGACCCGGGAAGCCATCTCCTCTGACGCTTCTCTCTCCGAACAAAATCCTTCCTCCTCCCCCTCCCCGCCATTCTTTTTCCTTCCTTGAAGAGGTGCAAGGGTGCTGCTATGTTATGTTATGTTGCAGAAGGGGGCTTATTCCGCCCGTGATACTATTCCCTACGTCGTCTCCCTTCTCTCCCATTGATGGTGTCCTCCTCCGAGCTGTGTCACATTCACGTATACTCGAGTGCATCGTGCTCATGCTGCTTTCTTCGCTGCAAAAGGGCAAATCTATGACCGATCTTTGGAAGATTGGAGGGATCGGGGACTTTACTGGTCTTCCATTAAAAGGAGACGACCCGGCATCTCCACAGGGAATGGTTCGAAGGAATGCCTCCCGGGTCGTCGTCGAATGCGAGGAATCCGCCTGCGATTCCGCAGCGGTTGTTTCTTACTCCGTCGCGAACGATTCAATGAAATTTCTTTCTGACGAGGGCGAGCATATCCTGCAAGATTTGAATCTGCATCTGCGAGAGAAGAGAGGAAGATTAATCAGGAGATCAGAGACGATACAGATGGAGAGGAAGATGGCGAAAAAAGCTCTTCTTCATCCATCTCTATATATTGGGAGGAGGAGGATCTCGTCCTCCCTCCCATTGCATCAAACTCTCTTCTCTGAGTTTATCCTCTTCTTCTTCTCGTCCGCAAGACCATGGCACCGACCAGGGCCTCCCTACTTTCCGTCCTTTCTTTCCTGCTCCTCGCTGCCCTCGCCTCCGCCTCCGTGGAGGAGGTCTGCAAGAAGATCACCACCGTCGACCACGCCGGCGTCAAGTACGACTTCTGCGTCAAATCCCTCAAGGCCGACCCGAGCAGCGCCACCGCCGACGAACGCGGCATCGCCGTCATCGCCGGCCACCTGGGCTCCAGCAAGGCGCGGAGCACGCTGGCGAAGATTAACAACCTGCTGAAGACGGCCCCAAAACCTCTGAGCATCCCCCTGAAGGACTGCCAGGAACTCTACGACGAATCCGTCGACAAGCTCTCCGCCGCCGCCGACGCCGCCAAGGCCAACAATTACTCGGACGCCAACATCTTCTTCGTCTTCGGCATGGATACTGCCACCACCTGCGACAGTGGCTTCAAGGAGATGAAGCTCCGCTCGCCGCTGGCGGCCGACGACAACGAGCTCTTCCAGCTCTCCGCCATCGGCACCGCCATAACCCACACGGGTCCCTGATTTTGATGAATCAGTCGTCCTCTCCCCGTGATGCGTTCCTTCTTAGAAAGCTCCCGAGCTGAAATGAAGTCCGCAACTCGGCGAGTTTAGTTTTCCATGCGATCTACAGAGAATAATGTAACAGCAACGGGAGTTCATATCGAGTCCATATTTCTGCGTTTGACTAAAACACGAGCTGGCCCGCTTGAAGTCAAAAGGGTTGACTTCCGCAGGTGAGATAAGAAGGGTCCATGTGTTTGCTGCGTACACGTTAGCGAGAGAGCGAGTGAGAATAGGAAGCAAGAAGATATCAGGAACCCCTCGAAAACCCAAAATCCATCTTCACTGCCTCCGCCGCCCAGTGCCGAGGGTAAGCGACATGGCGGCCGCCTCAGTCGTCTCCGTGTCGTCGATCTCTCGTCCTCTCCTTCACGGCAGCTGGGCCTCGTCTTCCGCTTCGTGTCACTCCGCCTCCTGCTCGTCCCTGTCTTTTGGGCCTCTCAGGGCCACTGCTGCTTCCTTCGTTCAGGGCTCCCGCGGCCACCGCCGGCTCGAGAGCGCCGGAAGCAGCGAAAGCAGCGGAAGCAGCGGAAGCAGCGGAAGCAGCGGAAGAAGAATCATTGGGACGAGGAGAGCGTCCTCCCTTGCCTCCCCGTCGGCCAACTACATCAGGGAGGATTACCTTGTGGTACAGTCAGGCTTATCCTCCCGCGCTGTGGCCGATGTCTATCTAGGCACCCGTCTTGATTTGTTTATTTCTTGCTTGATTATCGCCGCTCTTGCGCTTCATTTTTTGATATGCTACCTTGATTAATTCGTGGAAACATTCTGATCTTTTCCTTGGTCGGTGGTTGGGGGACGGGATGAGCAGAAGAAGGTGTCCGCGAAAGAGCTGGGGGAGCTGGTGAAGGGAGAAAGAAGCGTCCCCATTGTGGTGGACTTCTACGCCACCTGGTGTGGCCCCTGCGTCATCATGGCCCAGCAACTCGAGACGGTAACCCCTGCATCATGAAAACCAGATGCCTGTGAATTCTGTTCGGATGCAGCTACCCTTTCTTCCTTTTTTTTGGGAATTCTCTGTCTGAAATCAGTATTCAAGCCGTCACATTTCTTTTTCGGACCGTCGTCTCTTCAGAGTGATGATGTCCCTGTTCATTGACCATCTCTGACGAGCGACCAGGGCCCATTTGGGTAATGGGTGGTTGAGTAATCATGAGAAGATACGACCGATCTTGAATTTTTAGTCATGGCATGATAGTTCTGACTCTGTGAGACCGGACGATTTGTTGGATAGGTCCGGGAAGGCTATTGGAGAGCACCAGCTGGGTAAAGAGCCAGTTGGTTTCTGCTTATCCCAAGTGTGTTCGCTGCCTGTTCTTCCTCCCTCCCGATGCTTGTTAATTTGTGAAGAGAAAATGGAAAATTCCTCGACTTTGTTCTTTGATTATGAATTATGTAGGGATTTTTGGAAGAACATGTGATAGACTTGGAGGCTACTCACTTAGAATCTCAGTCCTCATGACACTTGCCCTGGGAACATCCTATCGGGGTAGTCCTATTGATGACAGGCACACTATGTGGCTCTTGAATGTTCCCATGGGGGGATGTAACGTAGATAGCGGACAGATGATTCCCTCTCAGAAGAACTCCTTCTGAGATCGAATGGCACTGTCCGCTGGAAGTTTGTGATTGTTGGGGGAGGCACGGTTCTTTCATAGAATCAGAGGTGGGCTATTTACATGGGAAGTTGGTTGGGATTTAGAATGTGCAAGATGAAAACCATGCAAGTATGGCGAAATTACATTGTATTCATGTAGCTTTTCTCTAGATGGCGACTTTAGCCATGGGCTCAACCTGTGGAAGCTGCCTGCAGACTTTAGCCAGTCTGAAAGCGGGCTCTTCTACAAAGTTTGACGATGATGCTGTGTGACCGCTTCTGGGTGAACCCACATGGAAATGCGTCGATGGAGGTCCGTCGACATTTCTACTTGAACATAAGAAGGATGCCTTCTGGGTCAGCCCTATAATCTTGTTTGGGTGCCCCATGTTGATGCCTTTGAGGATGTTCCATCCCATGAATAAGAAGAGATTGGGGCGCGTGATTTTTCTGGTGATCTGCGGGGTAAAAGTGAGTTGATGTTTCCATTCTTGCGATTGCTGGCGCTGTTTATTTTCCTAACCAAAAAAGATGGGGACGAGGACGGACCTTTTAATCTCTGAATCTCTCAGGATCTTGGTACAAATTCTTGGATGCAGACCGAACCCAGAAGAGAAACTGATCGGACTACAGACAGGAACAGCAAGGTGCAAACTCTAGAAAAATAAAGGAAACAAGTTGATCTGTTTAAGAGGTGGTCTCCACAAGTTGGTTCTCCGAAAATTCAAAAAAATGCTCCTGCGAATTAGTTGATCAACTCAACTTTTTCTTCTTCATCTTCATCTTCATCTTCATCTTCACCACAAACATACATTGTCAGTAAAGCCGCATAGCCTCAACATGTGCCAGCATAGGACCTGCAAAGTCCCAACAAATTGAGCGTGAATTGGAGAAGAATTTGCAGCAACTTACCTCGGATTTTATGTCGGGATGGCCGGGACATTAATCTTCTTTGACTTTATGGGTACTTTATTGTGCTGCGGATCACATCAGCAGGGCTTGCTGTTAGGTTCCCCGTATGTTAAGAGCATATGTCCTAGATTTTGTGCAATGAGGAATTCTTTTTTTCACAAGAAGCAGCTTATCATTGTGACCGTGTCTAAGAATCTTAATTTCTGAAGTTCCTTGTTATTTCTCTCAATGCCCGCCAGCTTGCGGTAGAGTACGAGAACAACGTCCTGTTCGTCAAGGTTGACACAGATGAGGAGTATGACTTTGCGAATGATATGCAGGTACTCGAGAAGTTACCCACTCGTCTTATGTGTGTATTTATTTATCTGGCCCCAGCCCAGACTGTTTATCCAATTGTTTGACTTTTTTTGGGGAATCTTCCAGGTCAGAGGGTTGCCGACATTGTACTTCATCAGTCCAGACCCTAACAAAGAGGCCATCAGAACCGAAGGGCTCGTCCCTGCGGAGATGATCAAGAACATCATTGACAACGAGCTCTGAAAAGAACGTATCTTTGCACTGTGTTTTCCTTGTTCTCCTGCTCCTGGTTTGCTCGGATTGGCGGGCGGCAGCAGAGTCAATGTGCTTGTAGGAGGAATTAGTCGGTGGCAGGAATTGACTGCACGTCGCATGCCTACCAAGGGGTTTCAATGACCTCATCGACGGCACCCTGAGAAGCCGATTGCAGGGCAATCAGAATGACAGCTCCCGCAACTCTCCGCAGTGTTGTAGATGGCAGCTCCCTACAGAAGGGAGAGATCGTTTGACCGTGTGTTTTGGACCCACCCCCCCTCTATGGCTCTTCTCTTGAAAGAACATAGTGCATTCATTCCATAATTAGAAGGGTCTATCTCCCTCTGGGTTCCAGCATCAAGATCTTAGCATAATCTGCGGTCGTGGCGTGACACCTTAGAAACTCAGAACGGCCGGAAAGCATGGGCATGGAGGGGACGAGACATCCGTCAAGTCCTTTGACCCAGGAAGCTCCCTAATCAACGTACTCGTAGGATGAATTAGTCGATCGGCAAAGGTACTTGCACGTCGCATGCCTACCAAGGAGTTTTTGCAACACAATTAGATGACAAATACGTCTGTCTGTCCGTGGTATTTAAGATGGTTGCTCTTTGCAGAAAGAGGAGATCATCTGGCGAGTCTTCTGATTTAAGGATTTTGATGTTGATAATAATTATAAAAATTTTATTAAATATGTAATTATTGTGTTAATGTTCATTTAAATAATTACCTTTTGCATATTTATCGTTCAATCTCATGTATTTCAAGTGTAAGATAATGAAAAATATTATAAAAAAGGACATGACAAAAAACTCGATTCTAAATAAAAGAAAAAGGATTTCATAATAAAAAACTGAGGAGAAATAAAGTGTGTGAACTTATGTGTTTACTTACTCTACTAAAGGTAAATCAAATCTGAAGAGAGAGACTTTTGACTAGATGGAGCATAATTTGACTTGTTAGAAGATTAAAAGAAAGGAGAAAAATCTAATGTTGACACATCAATAAATATACAATTATGTAATTATCTAACAACATATTATACTTTTGACTGATCGAATCTTAGAGATTTAAATTTTAATGGTCAATTTTTTTGGACTCTCTAAGAGTTCAACTCCAAGAGTTTGCTAAGTAAGTTTGAACATCACATCAGATCAATCCATTCGTGTTGTAAATCTTAAAGTTATCTTTTTTGTGCAAGTTTTATGCCTGGGTTTTCTTGAGATTCCAAGAGTTATTAAAAAAAAGAGGGCACACATTCATCAACTTCTTGAATCATCATTAAGCTAATAATTTCTCATATTTATTCGTCAACGTAGGCATATAAATGATGACGACAAGGGAAAAAGGAGAGTAAGTGACTCGGTGTCTAAAGTGGAGAGATAGACCTGTGAGATTTATCATATAATGTAATTTACTAATCTCATGGATTTCAATTATAATTATCAGATGGAGTAGTAGAGGCAAAAGTTCAAATCCTCTAGTAAGTAGAAATAGGTAAAAACATAATAAAACTATGCATTCATTTCATTTTTCTATCATTATGGAACTCAATAAACTGACTTAGCCTAGCGCGTGTCAACTCACTGGTCACGATCTAACTAAGAACGTCCCAAATCGATTGAGACATAACCATGAGAATTGAAATAATTAATTTGCTCCACCCCTGTTAGCATTTTGAGACTAACAATAACACATTCATTCATTCATTCATTCATTCATTCCCTCGCGAGAATAATTTTCATGGCTTCCATCATCAAAATATTGTCATAAACTTTTAGTCTTGGCCTGAAAGCTTGGAGGCCCAAACACTCATCAGAGCCCTCTTCTTGGAGGACCGCACCCTCTTCTGGGTGAGGAGTCACCGGGTAGGTCCAGTTTAGAGCCCAGTCTATTGTTCTTGGCCAGCCCATTGTAGATCTTTAGATGAATCTTTCTCGGTGAATAATTATGCATATGACGTGCAATAAAAATCCAATCTTTACGCACGAACTAATACTTATGCTGAATTATTTTCACAAAACCCTAAAAACTCAGCGTAAAGAGTGACCCATGTTTAGTTGCTTTGATTTGATTTTAATTATGGGATGTGGGAGATTTCGCAATGAATTATTTGTAGATGGGTTTGTCAGGGCATATCTTTTTCTTATTTTAGGTTCGGAAAGAAAAATGCCTCTTTGACACGCCAAACGTGGTCGCCAAGGAATAACTTCCAGAGCTCCCGCAAGGTGTCGGCCGTCGCTCCGAGAAGTATCTAAACTGAGTATAGCCGAGGGGCGGTACCCGCTCGCTGCCTCGATGGCTGAGGCGGTCACTGGGGGAGCTGGGAAGATGGAGAGTGCGGGAGACGCCGCGGCATCGACCGCTGCAACGGTGGTCACCGCCGGGACGATCGCGCCCGGGCGGAGGTGGGCCGACGAGGCTGAGGAGGAGGAGGAGGAGGAGGAGGCGGAGAAGACGGAGAAGACGGAGGCGTCTTCCTCTGAACAGAAATCGGATGACTTGAAGAGACTGGAGGCCCTGCGAATCGCAGAGGAAGAAACAAAAGAGGAGACGAAGGGCGCGCCGAGCGAGGGTCTCGATGAGCCCGAGGACTCGGCTATCAAAGCTGTAAGTTTTTCAACGTGGATATTGCTCTCCATTATTCTTGTCGTTCTAGGGTTTTGTGACCTACTGGTGTTTAGAGACCGACGAGACGATGGTGGGGGGTTTTGGATTAGTTGCTTCGTTGTCGTGGTGGAGTGGAAAACCTAGAATTCCCGTTCAACAAGGGATTGGATGAACGAGCCCTGGAGCTCCCTAATTCTTGATTCCCTTTGAATGAAATCCAGGTGACGTCGGGGGACACGGTATATACGTCGGCGTTGTCGTTCGAAGATTTGAACTTGTCCAAGGAATTGATCCAGGGTCTGTACGTTGAGATGGGTTTCAAGCGCCCGAGCAAGATACAGGCCGTGAGCCTCCCCATGATCCTCACCCCGCCTCACAAAAATCTGGTCGCTCAAGCTCACAATGGTAGTGGGAAGACAACATGCTTCGTTTTGGGGATGCTGAGCCGAGTTGATCCACAAAAGAAGCTGCCTCAGGCACTTTGCATATGCCCAACACGAGAATTGGCTCAGCAGGTTCGATTTCTCCTGTCTTTGTCATTTATGCTGTTCACTGTTGTTACGCGTACTGTTTAGTCCTGAGCATGTAAATATGTAAACTGCAGAACGAGGCTGTCCTTTTGAAGATGGGGAAATTTACGGGGATCACTTCAGTCTGCGCCATCCCCACTGATTCTGCCCACTACGTCCCGATTGCGAAGCGAGCGCCCATCACTGAACAAGTTGTGATCGGCACGCCGGGCACCATAAAGAAGTGGATGTCTGCTAAAAAGTTAAGTACAAGGGAGATGAAGATTCTGGTTTTCGATGAAGCAGACCATATGCTAGCTGAGGTGAAAACATCTTCAATTGACTTTAATGCCGTTCATCTCGTTTCTAGAATTAATTGTCGTTTTTCTTTCTTTCCCTTTTTCTTGCTATTCTTTTTCCCGGGTTGTGTACTTTGCCGTAGGAATGTAGCAGAAGAGTAGGAGCCTGAGTCTTTTTGGCTCATTATTTAAGCTAGAAAAATAGATCAATTGGGATTGCTTGGAAGTCTTGTATGTTTTTGCTGAATGATCGGTTTCAAAAATGGCTACTTTTGGTCGCACCTTTTTTTTATCTGAATCGCACGTCTCCTCAAGCCAATGAAAGTATTTCCTTTTGTTCTTCTCTTTTGTTTTCTTTTACCGTAGGGGTGCCAACTTCATCGACTGTATGTGGAATCTCCATCGCTGTCATTTGGTCTCCTCATTTCAGTATTACATCTTACAAATCATATTCGTCTAAACTGTAGCTTTGTTCTTCACGCAGGATGGATTTCGGGACGACTCTGAGAGGATAATGAAGGAAATTCAGAGAAATAGTGCCAGCTGCCAGGTATGTGGACAGAAATTCTATATTTTCCTCCTCGTTGCTTGGAAACTAGAAATGAAGTTTTCAATTCCTTTTTCAGTATTTTATCAAATGTCAATGCTTATGATGCTCCTCGTCTCCTAGTTTTGTATAAAATTGTCTCTGCTAATTATGTCTGGAAAACCCAAATGAAATAAAAAAAAGGCTGCTTTTCAACGAGTGGTTGCAGACGCCCTCAGAGCATTGAAGGTTGATAGGGAGCTACATTGATTCAGAAATGCCACGGGAGTTCCCAAACTTGTGTTGATTTGCTTCCACGTGGTACTTGTACCAGTCAGGGAACTAGGAAAAAGGTAGATTTGATTAGTGAAGTCAATAGCTCGATAGAGTTTGGGTTGCTCAGCCCGGGTTGATTCATGTGATATCCTACAAGTTGCAGCTAATACGGGCTGATTCTCGTATAAGCTGGCCTGACATCCTGGATATCTCCACTAGCCCCAATAAGACCTCCGCCTGCCTTTCCATTCTTGTGTTGTCTAGGTCAATTTTGTTGTGGGTAGTACTAGTAATCAGATTAGCTAGGCTCTTCGAGGTTTCCCTGGACCGAGACTGAATTGCATGAAAATATCAAACTTTAAGCTCTAAGATTGGCTCGCGTTTGTTTTGGGATTGTCTCTTGCTTTTCGTAAATTGTTTTTCTTCTCTTCTGCAGTGGATGGATAATTCTAATCTTCAATTTGGGTTTATTTTTCTTCCACTAATCTGCATACTCTTTCTCTGTTGGCGCTTCTAGCTCACCCCAGGCTGGTGACATCTGACAAAATAATACACGCATTCGTATTATAGTTATTTTCTTGACGAATCCAAACTCCATTTATTATTTTATGTGTGGAATTGTCGATCTCGGAATGTAATATTTTTATTTCTTCCTCCCCCCTCTAAATATCTAGCGCAGCCATCCCTTTTCTAGCAGATGGTGTGTACTCATGATGTTCCGCATCATGCACTGCGTTGAAATCATCTGAAAGGAACTTTTAGAATCTCCTGTATATCCATGTCTCAACAAGCCAGGCCAATGAGTGGAACAGGACCTCCTTTCGATGATCTGAAATCGTTCATCTGGTTCTGGACCTAGGCCTGGAGAACGGAATCCCATAGACTTGGGGAGAGCTCTGTGGCTGGATGGCAGCTTGGAGCTGGCTTTTGAGAGTGCTTGAGTGTGCTTATTTTGGAACGGCAGTGGGGAGAGAGGGAGAATAGGCCTGAAGGCCTGCGGGATAATTGATTGCTCATATATTTTTTCGTTTTGATATTTGGAAGCAGGCAGCCTTTTTTTTTTGAGGTGCCCAAAAGTCAGCGCGTTCCGTGCTTATATGTCAATGGGTTTTGAGTTGGCTGCAGGTGCTGTTGTTCTCCGCCACCTTCAATGAGACTGTGAAAGCATTTGTGTCGAGGGCGGTCAGGGATGCCAACCAGCTGTACGTAAAGAAAGAAGAGTTGACTCTAGAGATGGTCAAGCAGTACCAGGTTCACTGCCCTGACGAACTCTCCAAGGTGGAGGTGATAAAGGACAAGATCTTCGAGTTTGGGGAGAAGGTGGGGCAGACCATCATCTTCGTCCGGACGAGGCACAGCGCCAGTATGTTGCACAAGACTTTGCTCAGCGATGGGTACGAGTGCACCTCCATCCAGGGCGCCATCGAGCAGGCGGACAGGGACAAGATCATTAAGGAATTTAAAGATGGGTTGACCAAGGTCCTCATCACCACGGATCTTCTCGCGAGAGGGTTTGACCAGGCGCAGGTGGGTTTTATCTTCCCGACGAGATACTTGCTAGGCTGATCAGTGCCCGGCTCTAACGTGCTCTTTTGTTTGGTTTTTCGAAAAGGTCAACTTGGTTGTCAACTATGATCTCCCGGTGAAGCACGAGTCTCCGTCCGAACCAGATTATGAGGTGTACTTGCATAGGATCGGCAGGACTGGCCGTTTTGGACGCAAGGGTGAGTTGATTTTCATGTCTCATCGCTCCTGTTTGTCGATTGTTGTTTTTTCGTCCTCCTTGGGCCGGCCGCCATGGTTGATCGCGAGCTTTGTGTTTGTGGCGACAGGGGCCGTCTTCAACCTGATCTGCACCGACAGGGACAGGATGATCATGGAGAAGATCGAGCGGCACTTTGCGCACGAAGTCCCCAAGGTATAACCCCCCCCCCCCCTCTTTTGCTCCGAACCCGTTAGGAGGAGGAGGTCGATTTGATGATGCTCTCGCTCTCCCTTGCTTCCCTCCTCAGGTTCCCGACTGGCGGAGCGAAGAGGGCTTCAAGGCGGCCCTGGAAGCCGCCGGGTTGCTGTGACGAGATGAAGAGGCGTGGTGGTCGGCTCTCACTACGAGAGCGAGCCCTTCCGCCTGCCTCTCCTGCGCTCGCGCGTGTTTATCGAGCTTCCTGGGCCAAATCGTGTATGTAGCCGAGATGAGGACACTACGAGAGGGAGTGGAAGTCAGCTGAGAGAGCTCGTTGTTTGCCCAGCTTAGTTCGTCCATCCATTCATCTTCCTACCGGACATGTTCCAATAACGCATTGCCCTCTGTCGAGCCTCGATTCTGTCGATTTGTCCCATGCCCGCGTTGACTATCATCTCCCTTTTCACGGAGCGAGCGAGCGAGCGAGCAAGAGAGAGAGAGAGAGAGAGAGAGAGATAGAGAGATCCAGTCAAACGATGGGTGGGTCGCCGGATTTTACTGGGTCACCTGCAACCACCCCCCGGAAGGAAGACCGATTACCGACCAGCGACGGGGAATCGACGATTCATCCTCCCCCGCGGAGTCTTCCCCCCGTCGGAATCAGACCTTTAAGATCGGTCCGCACCTTCTTTCTTGCTCAGATCTTTTTCAGTCAGAGCGTCTAATTTAATCCGCGGTTTGAATGAGGGCTGCTCTCGGTAAACAAGTCTCCCTGGTCGTTGACATTTTCTCCGCAGGGATACGCGGACCGGGGGACGGCCACCACAAAGGTCAACGGACTCTGGTCCAAAGCCTCGACGGTCGGGTCTCCACGCGCTTCCGACCTTCTCCCTCCCCCGCAGATGCCCAGCCCCACGACGGGGAAAAGAAACAGAGGCTGCGGGAGATGGGGACTCGCGGGATCCCCAGGCAGTAATCCCCAGCTTCGAGCTGGGGGTGCGATTCAATGAACACGTAACAATGTATTCATATGGATTGATGTCCGTACACAAGAGAGGCGCTTGAGCCGCCGGAAGGGAGGTGTCAAAGAAGGAACGAACGAACATCCAGTTCGGACGGATGTCCGAATCTCCTCGAGAAGAATGATTCTGATTCTGGATCCTGTGTGGACCGTCAATCTCTACGCTTCTCTCCTCGCCTTGACACAGAGAGAGAGAGAGAGAGAGAGAGAGAGAGAGAGAGAGAGAGAGAAGAGGGAGGGAGAAGAAGAAGATGAGGAAGAAGAATTACAGAAGCTCGGAGGGAGCTTCCTGTGAATGGCTGCTGAAGGTGCTTGCTTTCCCTTGCGGGCGGCCAAAAAATGGGAGGAGCCGTCGTGGGGGTGGGCTCTTATGGGGGAATGGGGAATGGGGGGGGGAGGGCTACACCTCAGCGCACCTCGCCGGAGCGAAGCCGAGCCTCGAGCGATCGGCGTCGTAGACGACGTGGAAGTTCTGCTGCAGATAGTTGCCGAGGATGGAAGGGGACGTTCCCGGCGTGGCCAGTACGGCCAGGCAGGCCACCTCCCCCTGCTCCAGCGTGATGAAGTAGTTGCTCTGCGGGAAGTTCCACACCGTCCCATCGGCAAACACGACGGTGAACTCCGGCAGGTCCACCTTCCCTGCGCCGGACACGTTGAAGCAGGGGCTAAGCACTGGGAAGCCCTCGACGACCGGGTAGCCCTTCACCTGACTCAGGAAGGCCTTGCGGACGACGCGGTACGCCGGCTCGGGGAAGTAGGTCAGCGTGGTGCCAGAGTCGACGATGGTGCCGCCGCCGCCGTCGGGGGTCAGCTCCCACGTCGCCGGCGGGATGTCGAGGAGGCGACCGCCGACCTTGACCCCCTGGATGCGCACGTAGTAGAAGGTGTCGGCGGGCTTCTCCTTGCCGGCGGCGAAGGCGGTGAAGTTGAGCTCCGGGTGGGCCATGAGGCGGCGGTCCTCCCCGAAGAGGAGCTTGCTGCTCACGGAGAGGTCGCTGTTGCGGTCGACCAGGCAGTAGGAGAACACGCCACCGTAGAGCGAGCGGAGCTGCGAGAAGAAGGACAGCGGACCCCTGCCGAGGCCCAGCAGCCCCGCCGCACCGTGGAAGAGGCCCTTGTTCCAGTGTCCGCACCCGAAGATCACGTCCTCCACGCGGTGGCCTTCTCCGGCGGCGGTGAGGTTCACGGTGAAGGTCTCGAGGGCCAGATCGCCGGTTGTGTTGGAGCGGTCGCCATACCAGTAGAAGTAGGGGCAGGCGCCGGCTGATGCTCCTGCTTCTGCTCCTCGGCAGGGGACGGGGGGATCCGGGGAGGAGACGAGGGCGCAGCGGCGATCGGTGCAGGAGACGGGGCGGTGGGAGGAGGAGAGCGAGGGGTCGTAGAGGGGCCCCCGCTGCTCGAAGCAGTCGTAGCAGGGTAGGCATTGCAGCCAGTTGAGGTCGCTGCCGGTGTCCAGGATGACGGAGAAGTGCCGGGGGGGAGTCCCCACGAACACGTCCGCGAAATACTCGCCGGAGCCCAGCGATACCCCCGACTCCAAGGTCGCCATCAGCTGCCCCGCCAGCTCGGGCGGCTCCGCCCTCGACGGGGAGGGGGGCTTCTCCGCCGCCGGCCCCACCAACACGGTGGCGGAGAGACGCTGGTGATGCCGCTGCCTCTGGAGGCGGTGGCGGTGGCGGTCCTGGGCGTTGCGGTTCTTCTTCTCGGTGATCCTCCGGTGGAGAGTCTGGATCCTGTAGAGGTCCCTATAGGCGGACTCCGTCACCGAGTCCTCGAGGGATTTCCGGTCTTCAGCGGAGGCATCCGACCGGTGCTTCAGATGGAGTTTCAGAGCGCCGGGGGGCGGCCCGCCGCCAGCCATGGCTAAAATCTCCGCTGCATCCCCGTTGCAGTCAACGGCGGCGGCGGCGCGAGAGCGGCAGCCGGGCTTCCCCGACGCTGCGACGGCGGCGCCGAAGCTGGGGTGGTTGGGGAGCTCCATACCGGCCAGGCGCGACTCGACGCCAATGACAGACGGCCTCCCGGAGCTCCTGTTAAGAATCCAAGCGGAACCCTGGGAGGATAGGGAGAGAAGCAGCAGCCAGAGGAGGAGGAAGGTGCGGGGAGCCGCCATGGAGGCCATCGCCGGCCTCCTCTCGCATGAACACAGGAGAGGATCCCGGGCCAGGAATCAGAAGATGCGAGCAGAAATAGACAGATGAGGAGAAGAAGAAGAAGGAGAAGAAGAGGCAGCCGCTGTCCGGCCGAGGAGGAGGGGAAGGAGGACGAAGGATGGGGCAGGAGACTTGCGACGCCCCTCTGCTGGTTTGTCACGTATCTCGTCCGCCTACTTCTTGACAAGTTCCTCGAGACGGGTTACTACGGGTAGAGAGAGAGAGAGAGAGAGAGGGACGCGGTTACTTGGACCGTCGGGGGGGGGATATATTAGTAAGATAGATGGTTCTCCGTTGAACCCTTCTCCTACTTTTATGCGGGGCCCCACGCTCAGTGGCTCCACACTAAGTCACCTGCAAGCGACGGGTGGGACCGGCGCATTAGTTGACTTTTAATACTAAGACCCTTCCCACGCAGCCCCAACTCTCCCGTCGGGCTTCAACTAGATCCACGGTGGATTGGGTGTTCAGCCGATCGGCCAGTGGGTCCCATCCGAGATGGTTAGGCTGACACGTGGAAAACCTCCCGTCCAGAACGCATCTTTCAAACAGATTATCTCGTGATTATTCGCCGGACCGGATATATGTATCAATAGGCTTCTGCCGAGTCGACAATAAATAGAAGATGAGGGGTGAGAGGGTCGATCTAGGGTTTATGGTGGAGAGAAAGCAAAAAAATATGACGACCAGAGAGTAATAATATTATTTAATCCGGATGAAACGGGGGCTCGCCGTCGGTCGGATGTTCTTTGAAAGGCGAGTATCGCCGGGGGTCCGCCGTCGCCGAAAGAAAATGACGGAAATTGTGCATCACCTTCGTCATTCAAACAATTGTGGATCCCACTCGCTCGGGCCAAACTTGGGCACAAAGGAAATGGTATGTAACTTACGCAGTTTTCTAAAAAGTAATTATATAATATATACGGGTGCATAAATTATTGTATATTTTAAAGAGGATTTTTATTCAACATCTCTCTCTCTCTCTCTCTCTCTCTCTCTCTCACACACACTCTCTGTGTGGAGGGAAGTAGGGGTCTCCGTCGCCGTCAGGGTCAGGGTTTTTGCCCTACGAGAAAATTGGGTCCCATGACCTAAACACTTCTCCCCCGCCGGAGCTCTGTCCCTCTCTCTCGGATGGCGGCGCCTGCGAGAGCGTCTCTCCGGAGGAATGGCGAGCGAGCCGACACTTGGGGCCGGCACCTTCTGGGCTGGTTCGGGGGCAGGCGGTGCTCGTTCTCGCATTCCACGGCACCTCCGCCTCCTGCTCCTCTTCTCTCCTCCTTGCCGATCTCCTCCCCAGCTTCGGCGGAACAACGCCCACAGCTTGTAGTTCCCGGTGTGTCCCACTTTTGGGTGGGCTCCATGGAACTCATGGCCGTCCCAAAGAAGAAGGCAAGCTCCTCCCTCCCTCACTCCCTCACTCCCTCCCCTCCCTCCTTGTTCGCTCTCAATGTCTCCCTCAGTTCTCTTGATCGTTCTTTCTTTTCCTATTCTGCGTGGACATCCTCCGACATTTGCATTCCACCGTCTGGGATCGTGTGGAATCTCGCTGAAGAGTAAGTGGATGTGATTGCTGCATCGTCACCTAGGGTTTTTGTTACTATGCGCGTCAGTGCCGTCAGGCTAATGATCATGTACCAAGATTCCATCTGCTGCCTTGTTTCTGTGTTTCGTTTGGTAGGAAACGTGCGATTCTGGTGAATGAAATTCCCTCCTATTTTTCTCGTGCTCGATTTATTTTTTTAAAGTTTTACTTGTCATAGATTACCGGTCTCCGTTCTTGTTCTTGGCGTTCTGTTTATTTTGATGCCCTTGTCTCTTCGGCCTTCAATCTTGGCTCATTCTTAGCTCTCGCGTGTCTTCCCTTCTCGTGAGAAGTTCTGGGGAACGGGGAAGGTGTCAGATGAGTGGAGTGCATCGTCATTGTCCTGTCAGCTACATATTCTGGTTGCAATGCATCCATTCGTGCGGCGCCTGGATTCTATTAAACTGTTGACGAAGAGTTTGTGTCAGGTATTAGAGGTTTGTGTTTTAGTTTAACCTTTAGGCGACTTTTCCTGAGATTGTATTGCAGACCCATCCCCCAATGAAACTCATCTCCTTCCATCTTTTCCCTGTTTTTCTCGAAATCTGGAGGAGCCCAATACTTTGTCGATGTTTGATTTATATATCGACGGCATGACAAAAGAATCACTCTCGGTCTAACTTGGAAAGAGGGTGGGTTTGACGAGTTTCGTCGTCTTCAAATCCTTTTGTTGGCTTGTTTTGAATCTGAACGTGGAAGTCCCCATCTTTTCATGCTTTATTTATCGTCAAGTTAATATATATATATATATAATTTATTTTTTTTTCTCTTAGTACACAGGTTTCACCCTATAAAAAGGGTCTTAGAAATGGTCCGAAGGCTCTGAAACCTGCCCCAGTGATTGTTCGTTGCAAGTAAGTTAATATCCTACATCCTTTCCTTTAGTAGAAAATATTTACTTCTGAGGTAACTTTCTCTGTTTTTTTATCCATAACATCCTCTAAGTGGGTTGTCGTTTTATCTTTCGCTCAACTCTTTGCTACCTAATCTGGGTCAGCTATAGATTAGTCATTTTACTATTTCCAGGTATCATCCTCGAAATGAACAGGAGAATTTGCTCATATATATATATAAATAAAGATAAGGGTCTTGGAGTTAAAGAAAGCAAGCGATTGTAAGACCCAGGGGGGTATTTGGGGATGTTCAAATGTTGAGTGTCGGCTGCATCTTAGAAGGCAAACACTTTTCCTGAGAATTAACTTGTTGCTCTCGACAAATAGCACCAGTAGAGCCCTCAAATCCATCATTGCTATGAAGGGATTGATGCCTTAGGGGAAGTGCATAGCAGGAAGAGTGAGAGCAAAAGGGGGCACAGCTGACTAACCATGGAGGGTAGAAGAGGAGGGAAGAAGGGAGTAAGAAAAACTTGCTGAGGAAAGAGACCTGGGGGAATGGTTGACTATGAAAACAATCTAATGTAAGCAGGTTGTGATATAGAAGAATTACAGCTTATGATCAGGTATCTGTGGTAAATAGAAATTCAGCTTAACATTGGGTGGATGTGGGGCTTCACCTTTGGTGGCTTACTTCTGCAAATGACCTTTCTGGATCCATATCTGATTTTACATGCGAACACACCTTCTTGACAAAAGAAAAAAAAAGAAAAAAAAAAGAAGAAATATTTGACTCATGGGTGTCGCTCTTCTTTCGACCTACCTTTCTAGGTTCCGGTCTGATTGTCGGATCTGTGATATCGGTTATCCTGTTTCGGCTCGTTTCATTCATTTTGACTGTGCAAGCAGGAGCTGCGGGCGTGTGAAGCTGCCACATTTCTACTGTTGCAGCGGAGATAAAGGTATCGGGGGGGCGAGGAGCGAGTCAACTCAGTAGTCTCTCTCTCTCTCTCTCTAGGGGGAATAAGCATCACATTCAGGACGGGAAGGAGGGGGACTCGCACGTGCCTTACTGCGGGGAGAGCTGCTGGTTTGGTTGGTGGGGTAGTCGGCGTGAGCGTCTTCTTCTCCTCCGAAGGGGATAGAAAACTCTTAAGTTTTGCTGGAAGATGTGCCTTGCTGTATGAATAAACTAATGCCGACTGTTAGGTGGCCTATTACACCGAAATCCGCGTGCCTCCCCCCCCCAAATTTCTCGTTTCTTCCTCTTCTTTCAGGTCATGTAAATCGGCTAGTCTTGTTGGGCACCCTTCCTTCAGTCAGCTTCGTTTCTTCCCACGGAAGGCGGTCTTCTGTGCCTGCTACGTTACCCTGAGCATGCGATTCCTGCCTGATATTGGCATATCATTCCTCTTCTGAAGAAGGCGGCGCCTCTCTCACCTGTCAGGGGCAGGGGGTGGTGGCTCTTCCGGTGGTTCCGCGAGCAACTGTTAACGCCGTCTGATCGCCGTCTGATCTCGGAAATCATCTTGGAGGTTAAACGACGCGGGGGGTCTCGCCTTCCGGTCAGGGCAGTCGGCAATGACACGTCACGTGTGACGACGGCCCTTTTCTTGCCGACGTAACGCCCCTTCTCTATCTCTCTCTATCACTCCTCGGGAAGAAAGAAACTGCTCGCCGAGTCCCAAAACCATCGGAAGAGCCACCGTCGTAAGTCTCTTCCTCTGTTTCCTTGCTTTCGGTTCCAGGGAGACCAAGGAGTCCTTCTCCGGTGGAGATTACCAATCGAGGTAACTACGGAGGGTTTTCCAATCGTCTCATCTCCATCGGTCTTCCTCTCCACATTAGAATTCCCTGTTTTTCCGTCTGCTTCACCCTGAAAGAGCGCTCGAACCCCTCCCATGGATGATAGCATTACGCAGGCTGATCTCCTTCTTTTTCTAGGACGGAGGAGACGGACGAATCGGGCGCAAAGTTCATGTCTTTGCGTGGGTTTGGTGGTCGATGATACGAAATTACGTCGCTTGTTAGGCAGATCGTCGCTTAATTACGCAGGTGAATCGCAACCGCTCCACCTGCTTCGGAGCGCTTTGTCTTCTTCCACTTTTTGATTCCATCCTTTTGACCTCCCTCAGATCATCCACATCCATCTCCTCGCTCGGCTGGCCGTACCCTTGTCGCTTTCCCCTGAACGGGGAGAGCAGAATCAAACCCCGCACCCATCCCTCCCGCCCCCCCCCAAGAGATCTCCATCCCTTTCCCCAAGGGAAGCTCTCGGAATTCGCTGACGCATCCGGTCCGCAACCTCGCTCAGGTTCTTTCGCCTCCCGGTTCCCTCGAACAGCCCTCTTCTTCCTCAGCCGCGGCGGCGCTCGCGTATGGGACTCTTGGAGGCCTCGATCATCCACCATGTCGGCGGGGTGCTGGCGCTCACGTGGGCCCTCTCCTGGTTCGGCTGCTGCCATCCCATCGTCTACGTGCTCTGTCTGGCCTATCTGTACATGGTATGCTATGCTTCCTTCGCGTTGATCCGACAAGCCTCCCTCCCTCCTCGCTCCCCATCCCCTTTTCTCGACCCTCCACTTTACGGAGTTGCCGCTCCATCTCTTTACAGAATTGACTGACTGGTTGTTGAGAAGGGTATACGGCTTGCGCTCGCATTATCGGGGAACTACTGAACTCAATGGGGGCCGCATCCTTCAGGGATTACTTTGGCTCATCTGGCCTTCTTCCAACTGATGGCCCGAGTTTTCGCTCACTTTGCTGCTGTCTTTGGATCGGCCTCCAGCCTGCCTGCCTTGCCTGCCTTGCCTGCCTTGCCTGCCTGCCCCTGAAACACTGTCTGCATGGCACAACAGACGGCTTGTATGAAGTACTCATTGGTAGCTTTGACGGCCGTAGTTCGGGTCAGAGCTCCTGATGAAGTTTCCATCCCTGGTGCTAATCAACATCGTGAGGATATATTATATACATATAGATTTTAAAAGTTTGGTGGTCTTGAGATGAGGCCTTTTGTTAATCTTAGGGAGGGACATTTTGAGGTTCTTGCCATTAAGTGGAGAATGCCTGATGCGGCATACGTGGTTTCATGTTTTGAACCTGAAGGGCATGCCTGTGGACTCAGTTTGGGAAGGATGAGACCCCTACGAGTTGGTCAGTTGCTAGTTTATCTGATTCAGAGTTGAGTTCTTGGCTGGTTTTGACACATCTGTGAGGATGACTTTGAGAGGTCCATCTGTTGATTTGTTTAGTTCCCGATGATGTTTTTCTCCTTTCTCTGGTCAAAATTTGTTCCTGGGAATCGGGTCAATCACCCCCCTCCCAATCGAGTTCATATGAATCCCTCCCTCTGATTAGCCCGCCGCTGGCCCTTTTGTCTAATCTTCAATGCTTATTCTTGCCAGGTTCACGAGCATTACATTACGAGGCTGAGAAGGAGGCTACAGTTTGAAGAAAGAAAGCACGCCAACCAGAGGAGGGTATCACTCTTCTTCTTCAACACACGTTATCCGTGCTTTCAGAGCTTTTTTAATTTTTTTTATTTTAGCGTGGCTTGGTTTGCCTTCTAACAAATTCATTGCTCGGAAATTCATTGTCTGTGCGATTTTTGTTCCGTCACCATCACCGTTCTCATCTTCTCACGTCCATGCTCAACTATGGCTTCACTCAGTCGAGAGGCCTTCTTTTTTGGCCTTTCTATTTATACTCCAGGACCTTGTAGAGAGATGGTGGCCTCGTGGGTCTTCTCTCCATTCATCATACATGACTTTTATGGACCTCATGGTCCTCATTACTCTCGGTTTATAAAGACTTCTCTTTGTTTGTTCCTCTGTTTTCTTCAACTGAGCTTTCAACACAGGACGTGTAATGAGCCTTCTTCTTCTTCTTCTTCTTCCTCTTTTTGTTCTTATACTTTTCCAGCTTCTTTCAGACGCAGAAACATTGCGATGGCTCAATCATGCAGTCGAGAAGGTTTGGCCGATGTGCATGGAGCAGATAGCATCTCAGCGGTTCCTCTTGCCCATCGTACCTTGGTTCCTGGAGAAATACAAACCTTGGACTGCGGTTCGAAGTCTCACCCTGTCTTCTTCTAGTCTTATGGTTTTCGCTTTGATCAACTAAAATCATATGGCTCCGTCAGAGAAAAATGTCAGAGGGGCCTCATAATTTTATAAAGAAGTTTTTTCTTTGAATGTGTTCCCCTCTTGCTTGTTCTGACAAACTCTGATGGGGGGAAAGCCGATTCACCCCCGCTGTTCCCTGTTTTCTCTTTTCACATTTTTTTTCTGAACTGAAGTCCTCAGATCCTAATTTTCTCATGTAATGGGTTCTTCTTCGAACTTCACCTTCAGCTTCACCTTCTCGGGTCTTTGGCTGGTGCAGAAGAAAGCAGTCGTGCAACATCTTTACCTGGGCCGGAGCCCTCCCGCATTCACAGACATCAGAGTTGTCCATCCATCTGCAGATGACGATCACCTGGTCTCTCCCTTTTTTAAGTTCCCTCAGTCTCGTGCTCGGATGCCTCTTCATATCAGCTCTCGCTTACCACAACCTTTCGCCGGCTATAATCCCCGGACAGGTTCTGGAGCTGGGGATGAATTTTCTGTCTGCAGACGACATGAGCTCTGTGCTCGCTGTGAAGCTGCGGAAACGGTTGGGCTTTGGCATGTGGGCAAAGCTGCATGTAACGGGGATTCACGTCGAGGGGAGGGTGAGTATCCCTGCAGGATGGAGCCCGAAGAAACGATCAAACCTGCCTCTGCTGTGGTTCGATCGGATTTTAATATCGTGTATTATGCCAATTCATCGTCCTTAATTTAATGAGTCTATCTCTGGTTCGATCAGAAGGAGTGCATCTGTCGAAAGTTAAGATTATGTCAGGGCAAAACCATCAGGGCTCAGGTTATCGTGTGGGCTCCCGCTTGCAGGTGTTGATAGGCCTGAAGTTTCTCCGCAAGTGGCCCTTCCTTGGACGGCTGCGGCTGTGCTTTGTCGAGCCCCCGTTCTTTCAGGTGACCGTGAAGCCGATCTTCAGCCACGGCCTCGACGTCACGGAGATCCCCGGGATCTCCGGATGGGTGGTATCCTCCACTGCTCTTCCCATTGAATCATATAATTAGCCTGGATGTCTTCCGACAGGCCGTTGCCTTTGCTGTTGTCAGGACAAGCTTTTGACCGTGGCTTTTGCGGAGACGCTGGTCGAGGTCCGAGGCCCATCATCATCTTCCCTCTCTTATTTCTGGAATCGCACCGATGGTCAGCTACTTCAAGAAAGCTTCTTTTTTTGCAGCCTAACATGCTCGTTGTCGACGTGGAAAAATTTGTCTCATCACCAGAACGTAAGTGTGCTTGGGCATGATTCCATTGGACTTTCTTCGCCTGTTTCCAATCTCGGACAGGCTCCGAGATTTGTTTGTGGGGCTGACTTTGCTTTGTGATTTCAGCCGATTGGTTTACGGTGGACGAGAAGTGCCGCATAGCTTATGCCAAAGTGGAGATCCTCGAAGGGGCTGATATGAATCCGTCAGATCTCAATGGTTGACTTTCAGCTTAATTTCCAAGTTTTTTTTTTTTGTTTTTTTTGTTTTTTTGGGGCTGTCATACTGAGGCGGCGCCACCCCTCAGATTATGATCGGATGGCGTCGTGCAGGGCTCGCCGACCCATATGTCCGAGGCCGTCTCGGATCCTGCCGGTTCCAGACAAAAGTTCAGCGGAAGACGTTATCTCCAAGGTGGTATGAGATGTTCAAGATCCCCATCACCTCCTGGGAAGCGGCTGTCCTCCGCCTTGAAGTTCGCGATAAGGACTACATCTTTGATGACTCAATGGGGTCTGCTTCTCCCGACTCATCCACCCATTCAGTATATAAATAATATCTAAATAGTATATAAATAGTATACAAAGTAACCTGCCCGCATGAGTTTCCCACTTGGGTTGATCTTCTCTCTGGATTTATGTTGCTAGCTGCATTTTTATTTATTTATTTATTTACTTTTTGGGGGGGGAGGTTCATTGGCAGCCCTGATCATGCATGCGGTTCTTGTCTAAATATGCTTTGCCTCCTGCCAGAATCTGCTCCGTGAACATCGGGGAACTCAGGGGCGGTCAGAGGCATGACATGTGGCAGACCTTGAAGGACGTAAAAATGGGCAGCCTGCATCTTGCCATCACTGTTCTTGAAGATGGTACTGCTGGAGCTACCTCCAATAAGGTAATTCATGTTGTGTTCTTCGCGATTTTTGCTGCCGTCAGAGGCCCCGGATGGATGCGGGTGGATTGATGCAGAGGTTGAACAGGACGAGGTGTCCGGAGGCGTTCGTGGGGCAAAGGAGAGGGAGCAGCAGCCGCCGGAGGACGGCGGCGACGGCCCTAATGCTGTGGCAGATGCAGCTTCCACGAGTGCCGGCGCAGGCAAGGGAGACGTGTACGAACCCGTCGACATCCTAGGGCAAGAGACGACAGGGGTATGGGTGCACCGGCCGGGGCCCGGCTGTGCCTCCCGTCGATTGGAGCTGAGGAGGGGGAGGGAGGGCCTTTCCAACACCGAGCTTCTTCAAGGAGAAGCTGTGGTTTGGTCCCAAAGTAGCAGCCTGGCGGCGAACACCTTGCAGCAGCAAGGCGAGGTTGGCAGCGACGATGATGAACCAGACGGACACAAAGCTCATCACTTCGGCAAGATCCAAAGGGGGCTGAGGAAGGTAGGCCATCTGCTCAAGAGCCCGAAGGGAGGGAACCCCCACAGTTCAGCGGAACACCCCCTCCCGACGCCAAACCCCGGCCTCCGAACAGTCACAGAAGGAGGGAGTGAGCCGGGGAAGGGTGGGCTCGGGGAGGCCTCCTCTGGAGATGTGAGGAAGGGCAGTGCCGTTGATGCTCCGATCCCTGGGAAGGAGAAGGCGAAGGGGCGCAAGGAAGCGGCGATATGCATTCTCAGGCAGGTGGGCAATTCAGCGCAGAACAACCTGAGGAAAGTGTTGAGTGCAAAGGGCCCGAAACCAGACCGAGGAAAAGAGGAGGTAGACCCAGAAGCGGCGCCGGCGGACTCATCGACCGAAGAGGAATCATTGACTTCGCCTGGGGAGCGCGGGTTCGTCGTTGATGGCGTCCCCATGGGAGCCGTCTTCCCCTCTACTAGAAGTGCCGCTGACCCTGGATCTCCGAGCGCAAACGGAGCCGCGGGGAAACCAAGCTCGCCACCGCAACCAACGCAGGCGGACGGCCACCGCGCGGTTTCCCCGCCTGCCGCCGAGGGCGACTTGAGCCGCCCTCCGTCCAGGAAGGTGTCCTTCAGAAGCGCAGAAGGTGTATGATGGGAAAGTTCCTGCTGTGTGAGACCAACTGTAATTAGACAACATGAACATGCCTGCCTGCTCTGTTCTTCGAGCATCCATGCCAGTCTCAAATTTCTCAAGGTTGCTGGACGAAGGTCAGGTCCAGGTCAGGGAGGCGGGGGGTTGTGTACGCCAACGATTATTCCTGCTGTGTATGCTTCGTCAATCAGTCCTGGATGTATGCATCTTCTGCTTCGGAGCTTCAAAAAACGTGGGACTATGCTCCTTCCTCGAAGCTTCGCCTTGCTCGTTTGTGCTCCGTCCTCCGGTCAGCGGCGCTTGCTCTTGGCTCCGAGAATCGGCTGGATCTGTAGGTGCCGGGTGAACGCCTGGTTGAAGAGAACTCGAGTCTGAATCGCCGACACAACGGGCATCCACGCCAGCGCCGCCACCGGAGCGAAGAGCAGGAGACCCATCACATAGTCGTAGGTGTACGCGAGTGCCTCGACGGAGCTCCATATCGAGTACCCCTCGATTTTGGGTCTGATCGCCTGCGCAATCTGCAAGAATTTTCCTTTTCCTTGAGATCTATCTCATCGTGAAGAGCTTACCCAAAGGCGAACGCGTGGGTACGAACGCGAAGCAGCCCCCACCCCGTGGGTACGAACGCGAAGCAGCAGACGAACAGGTCCATCACGGAGAGCCTGCAGACGGAGAAGAGCACCATCACGGCGGTTACGACGCCCAGAAGCACGACCGCCTTGAAAAGCCTGTACATGAGATGGAAATCGACACTCAGACGCCGCCGGCCCTCAGCTACGACCTGCAGCACCACAAAGGGGGTTAATAATAATCAGTCCACAGTCAATTAACTCTCTCTCTCTCAGTATCCTTACCTTAACCAGTAGGAATATGGCGACGATGACAGCCCAGGAAAGAACGTAGACGACGATGTTCTTGTCGTCCTGCGAGATGTCGAGGTGGTAGACGAGGCCGTACTGGTAGACAAAAAAGCGAAGCGAGAGGAGAATGTCGAGAGTGATAGAGCCGAGGCCGGAATATCGAATATGGAGCTGCTCATCGTTCCACCAGGTCTCCCAGCTCTTGTCCTGCCGCAGGCCGAGGTCGCCCTGGTTCTTCATCCACCTGTTCCAGTCCATCCAGTCCTCCACGATCTTCCACCAGGCGAATCCGGAGGGGTTGAAGATAAACGGGGTGAAGAGCCAGGTCAGGGTCAGGAACCAAATGGAGCACGTCACCAGGGCATACGCTGCGCTCCTCCCCTGGGGTTTGCTGCCGTAAAGGTTGTGGAGGATCAGCAAGAAGAGCAGCTCGAACCCCTTCACGAAGTGACTGCGCGAGTACAGCCGATAGTTCTCGGTGAAGCTCGCGTGGAACACCACGAACTTACGGCCCGTCGGCCTGTACTTGGCCCCTCCGTGGAGGATCGTCCGGCCGAAGTAGTGCAGCTTTGTTCCGAGAGAGAAGGTGAAGAAGACGGACGCGAGTTGCAGGTGCATGAGGATGAAATCGGTCAGCGCCTCGCGGAAACCCTTCTCCAGGGCGACCTCCATCATCATCGGCAGCCCCGTGAGGAGCCCCATCTGGATGAAAGACTGAGAGGCGAGGGCCGTTTCAAGGAATCTCATGTTCTGCGTCCTCGCCCCGTCGATGAGCGCCCTTTCCAGCCCGCTCAGGCCGAGGTAGAGCTGCCCATAGAGGAAGCCATACACCGCCAGCACCGACATCTGCAACAGACACCGCCGACCTCCGGGAGTCATTTCTTATGCTTCCAGAGTTGGCTCTACAATGAGCGGGGAGAGAGTGAGCGAGCACCCACCACGCCGCTCAGGTAGAAGCCCACCGTCGTGAAATAGCAGGACAGCATCCGGAAGAAATCGAAGCGACGGCCGAGGCGGAAGACGTCGCGGCTGAGCGCCTGCTCGCCGTTCCCGTTCGCTATCTTCGCTTCGAACTTGGAGATCTGGTTCAGCCCGACGTCCCTCCCCTTGCCGACCTTCATGTACTCGCGGTACGTCACGGACCCGCACCGGAGCGTCGTATTAAATCCTTGGTGGAGGAGAACAAAATCTGCCGCCGTCAAGAGAAGCCGCAGGATCGCGAGCATGTAACACAAAAAACATATTTTTGCGCGACAGAGATGGTCTTCGTACCGGCGAAGACGTCCTCACTCAGGTTGATGGTCTTCGACGCCTTGCTCAGGCCACCTCTGGTCACATGGAAAATCCGGTCGAATATGTCTGGATGCCCGTAGTGGAAGCGCACCCTATGAAGGAGACGATCGAACTCAATAAGCAGCCGACGCGTTGTCGCTCAACAATTAGACGATGGGATCCACGAGAATACCTGAGAGGCTTTGCCAGGAATCTCTGGCCGATGGTCACAAAGCTGCTCTCCTGATAGGACATGAACCATGCCAGAGACGACACGCTGCGAACGCAATAAAAATCAATGAGACGCCGGATAAGCATGAATCTACCGACCGTAATAAAATCGGAAGAATAGGCGACGCAAAAGAAACTGTCCCACCTTCCGGTGAATATGTGCTCTCCGAGTCCCAGTATTGCCGGAGGCCGTCCACCTTCGGGTTTGAGTAGTTCCTGCAGGACGTTTCTCATCTTGAAGGCTTCCTCCATGTAGTTGTCCTGGACAAACGTCGGCCGGGTGTGATCCCCCGGGCAGTGAGAACGAAAGCTTTATGGTTCGGATCAGAGGTGGGATCACAGCGGGGTGTAGGATGGCCGAATACCTGGTTCATATCGATTGTTTGAAGTGCCTCGCCGCGAGTAAAGATTATTCCTTGATTTTGATTCTCAGGCTTCCCTTCTCCGATAATCGGGGGACCTGGGAGCTTGATCCGGTACACCTTCTGCATGTCGTAACCGGGCAATGTTAAGACACGGCCTTGGGGTTTGACAGACAGACGGCATGGTCAACGCTCCTTGAGGCCAGGCCGTATGGAACCTCAAATCCTATCAGGACGTTTCCAACCCTGCCCGTTGCCCCATCTCGCTAGTGCCTCCAATTTCAATCCTTGGAGCAAAATCATCTCTCGCGCCGATAGGTCAGCGAACTAAAATGAGAAAAGACGAGAGAACAAAAAAGCACGCATCACTCACACCGCCGCCGCGTTGTTCAGCGGTCGACCTGCATGGGCCAATCCGACGTGATTTCAACGCAGCAAGATGGAAGCGAGGGCGGCTGTGCAAGGGAGGGCTACCTGCTCCAGGCCGTTGACTGCCTTAACCAACACGGACGAATAGACCTTCTGGGGTTTGTTCGGTCCAATCACCTCCTTTTCCTCGATGTAAGCGACGCGCAGAGATGGGTACCTTTGATGGCGCCGCCGAGATGTGGTCACGGTCAGACTACACAAACCGAAAGATCTCGAAAAGCCGCTTCCGGCAAAGATGCAGGCGGCCCACCGTCACCTTATCATCAGGTCAAGGATGTGCCGAGCACGAGGATCCCCAGAAGCCTTGTGCTCGCCGTAGACCTGGCAAGAGACGACGTACGTGAACTTGATATCCGCCAGCGCGTCCATCTGCGCCCACAATGAATGCGTGCCCCTTCTTCCGCCGCACGCCCTCCCGACTTCTTGGTATCCCCCACAGATATCTGAGTGCACAGGGTTGATCATGTTGCGATAGTTCTCTACACTTTCCGCCATTCCGGCGTAAATTATGGGCATGACAGAAGGATCATCACGTACCTTCAGTTTTGGCCATGTCTAGAAATGCTTGAAACCTTATTGCCTCCCGATAGTACATCATTCCCCTGACTGGCAAGGGGATGAAAGCGGAGCCGGAGTCATCGTCCGCCGCCGAGGCAGCACAGAAGCTTCTGACACGGATTGCTCTTCCTCACCTGTTCGACTCAACGTTTGCCCGCGAAAAGAGGCCCAGTTTGTGATCTCCCTGTTGAGTCCCTCGTCGCAGTCCTCGACAAAGGGGCGCTCTGATGCTTTGTAGCCCATGCGCTCCAAGAAGTTCTTCCACTCATCTACATTCGGAGCACGACAGTTACTAGGTAACGCCCTCGAATGAACTCCAGTCTAGCCGGGGGCTAGGTCCCCAGATTACCTGGATAGATCTTCTGCATGTAGGACAGGATGGAGGCCCCATCCTGGCTTGAATGAAGATCCCCCTCTGAAAATTGGACTTCCTCCTTGTAGTATGGAGTCAAGACACTGAGCCAACACAAACAGAGTCAGAGCCCCGGGTCACACGGGACTCGGACTGCATGAGTAATCTGGGAGCTATATATATCATCTAAGTGGGTGGGTGGGTGGGGGTGGGTGCTCTTAACATGTTGATGGGCTTGGGCTTGGGCTTGTGGAGGAGCATTACAGCCTGCTGCCGAGCATAGCATAGATTTTGAGCTCTCCAACGTATAATGAAGAGCAAGCTCTACCTGTTTCCGCTCTGATGATGGATCGCTCCGTCACTCCAACATCCCACGAGATATTATGATGGAGGGAGAGAAAAGCATTCATATGGGCTCGGGCAAAGAAAGAAGTAGAAGAGTGCATCATGGAAGCTGACACCCAAAATCATTCGCCGTTGAAGTTTAATGCGGTCCGGAGTATCTGAAGATGGGCCGCATAAGTTTCTAGATTGGTAGGTAGATTTGAGAGGCCGCCGGCACAGGTTTTCAGGAAAAAAATAAATAAATCAATTTTCTTCGAAATTAATTCTACCCTCCCATTTGCCTTTGAAGAGAGGAAGGGAGGGAGCACACGATGAATGCCGCTGAAAGTGGGGCTTCCGAACAAACCTGAACGACAGCATGTTGCGAGCTTTGGGAGCATCGGGCATGTCCATGAAAAGGGATGTCGCGAAGAAGGTTACACGACGTCGAGCTTCCAAGTTGATAGGAATATCCATCGCGGTCTCCTCCGCGGTGAGCAGCAGGAACAGACGCCTGACCTGCGCACAGCCAGGGCAGGGAGGCGGAGGAATTGGGATACACACGAGGGTAGGTCGATGAGAAACCGATCGAACTCTCACCTGTTCTTTCAGTGAGCCATCATCTGGCAGCGGAAAACGAAGCACGGGTTCGCCATCCTTTGGGGTGAACAAGGGTGCCTCATGCCACTCCAGGAAAGAAGCACCATCTCCTTCCGACGATCGGGGGCCCTCAATCGAATCCAGGATCCTGCCACCAAAAGCCACAGACACACGCCCCGAGTTGGAACGCCAAAGTAGAGGACTGAAGCGGATAGATAGATAGATAGATAAACCAGCAGCCCGACCTGTGCCCATGGATCATCATGTCCTTGGTGACAATCTCGAATATGTCTTGTAGCAGTTCAACCAGGTTGCTAGACTGTGCTCGATTATTTTCAAGCTTTTTTTTTTAAAGAAAAGAAGAAGAAAAGAAACAAACCCGATGCCCTGCGTCAATCGCCAAGAATGCGGCCATGCAAAAATTCTACGAAATGCCCGGGAAAATAATTACCAGTATTTCAACCAGCTGAATAAATTTCTCGTGCAGAGCTGGCAGCTCATTCATCCTGAACTCTGAGAGGAGATTCGACGAGCTGACACTCGTTTCAACTTCCGTGGTTATGGCAGATACAATCCTTCAAAGAAACCACAGACCGGGGAATACTTAAGCCATAAAGTCGTCGGCGCTAAAAAGGTCAGCGGTTCTCCGGCAGTAGAATAATGAATTGAAGCGGAGGGAAAGTTTATCCACCTTCTCTCTCTGTCACCAACCACGAGCAAGTCGAGGATATTGTTGAGCAAGTCGTAACACTCCTTGACGGCGGAATACATGTGTACATCACTCCTGATTTTCGAGTCGAGCAGGCGATATTCCCCGACGAATTCTCGAGCTATGCTCAGCGCAGCCGAAAACTGATTCGCAGAACGTCGCGCGGTGAGATGAGGATGATGAAGCTTGCTGCACGGGTAGAAACATCGGAGATACCTTCGTCGCCAAGAGGAATAAGGGCCAGTGGACTCCGCTAGAACCAAGGCCGGATGACAGCGGAACGATCATCAGGTCTCTCTCTCTGTCGATAAACAGAAAGAGTTCCATTCAGCTTCACGCCGCTAGAAGCCGCATTCCGGACAAGGACAGAGATAAGCAAAGCCAGTCAACCTGTCGCTGATCAGGTCCTCTTCGCGGAAACTGTAAATAATCTGATTCCAAACCGCGGCGAATGTAACGTAGTCACGCCCTTGAGTTTCCGTTTCCTGAACGAAGGGTTATCGTCGCTTTCAGAAAAGGAGGTTCAGAAGGGAGAGAAAGAAGCGAACCGAGAGGTGAAAATGGCGGAGTGTCACCCTCAAAGGCTTCTCCCCCAGAGGGCCTCTAGCGTTTCCCCTGAGCCGCTTCTTGACTGGAGGGGGAATGAGGCGCGCACTGAATGCCGCTGGCAAGAAGGAGAATTTACTTCTCACCATGCCCATCGTGCGAATCTGAAAGCGTCGTCAAGGACGAAGGCTTTTTAGGTTTTTATAATATGGAGAAATTAGATGAAGCACAGAGATTTCGGACACGAAGCTCACTTCTCCGAGATGACAGAACATGCCGTAAACCCCTCCAAAAACAGAACAGAAGATGGAATACCATATCTGGGTGTCCATGAAATAGACCTGCAAAATATCAGAAGATCATGCGAAACAACGCATCATCACGGGGAGGCATGTGAGGCTCCTGCCATGGGGGCAACGGATGAAACAGGTGAGGGAACTCTCACGATCGTAGTTGGGGTCCAAATGGCAAGAACTGCGCCGAAGTTGTTCTTCACTGAACGGAAACAGATCGACGGGTTATTTACTTTGGACGGATACCAACCAGGTTCTACAAGGTCCAAACATCGAGAGTGGTTTTTAGCACCTTTCGGAAAGATCGCATGCCACTCGTAGGTTCTTACACTCATTTCCATGATCTGCTTGGTGGACTCGACAAGCGGCTTTATCTGCATATTTCAGAGGGAGAAATCACATCAATGATCCGAAAGATTCGAAGACCGCACCACGCAGCGAATCCGCAGCAGGAAATGGAGAAGACGCCAGAAAGGAAAGGGAAAAGGCCTCCTCGGGAGCATTCAGAGGGTCCAATGAAGACGCAAAAAATATGACCTTGAATCGAGCGTTTTCTAACTTGTGATGAGGAAAAAAAGGACCCAGATAATAAATAAAAGAAAAATAAAGAAAAAAGGTTCAAAATAAGGATTCTAGACAAATCATGAACGTACAGATAAACATGACGAAAGCAAAGTAACCAAGCGGTCATAATGGTCTGCGAAACAGCGATTGCCTTTGGACAGCGATCAGTAAAAGCCAAGAAAATTGTTACCTCGAACTGGAAGCTGAATACAAGTTTGCATGGCAACAATAAAAGCCAAAACATCGAGTACCTGAAAAAATTACAGAATCACTATCATTCATAGAACCATATTCTTTATTCTTTCTGTTGTGTGTGTGTGTGGGGGGGAAGCAAATGAGCCTAAGATAATAAGCCAGTCAGGTGAATACTTTAAAAGGGTTATCTGGTGTTCCTGCATTCCTCGTCCTATATATAATCTCGGCTGCAACGAAGGAATTAACAACAAAGGATGTCAGCAAGAGATCAATTAAACAAAATAAATAACCATAGATAGACAGAAAAAGAATGATTTCACAGGAGAGGAGGGGCCATTGGCCATGTGAGCAGGAGCAACAATCCTTTCCCGGACGAAAAATGCTTGCCTATGTATGAACGAGATGAAGATATTGGAAAGACTCTCATTATCTTAGAGTGAGTACTTTTAAATCTGAAAAACCTCTGCGAGATGGAAGTTCGGTTCAAGACCCACGGCTGGACAGAATGAGGGGAGCGGGAGCGGGAGCTGGGAGGAAGGTGTGCGGGCAAGCCAGGAGACCTCCCCCGGTTCACCAGTCATCGACCAAAGAGAGCGACAATCGCAGAATTGTCACCTGGGCCCACCAAAATAAGATGCCGAAGATTCTCCAGTCTGATGTCTCGATGAAGCTGCCAACGGATGGAAGGAAGAGCAGCGCCATCTCAATGGCATTCGTCGTCATGTATATCGCAACTGCAACCATATATTGGGGCAGGCATTGCCTGCCAAACTGACTCCAGTCCTCGTCCGCAGAACAGAAAGAATCTTGCCTGGACTTTACATAATAAACGGGCAGAGTGATCACCCAGATGGTACCAACCGAAAATTTCAACACAACTCCGAGCATTTGGAAAGTGCTCATATTTTGCCTCGTTCTCCACGTAAAAATAATGTCAAGGACCACTGCAACAAGCACAAATACATCCTCAGTGGCCAGCACCCATTTTTCCCTTTATGAAATTCCATAGCGCAAGAAGAATAGGAATGACGCCCGGTGGTGTTCCAGAGTTAGTTTAATTAAAAAAAAAAGAAAAAAAAGAAAAGAAAAGAAAAGCAGAGGCAGCCAGCATGAAGTTATTTTGTGGCGATTTTTACACAACCAGAAGCATAAATTTTGTGCCATCTGATGAGGAGAAGAAAGTTATCAGTGCAAGTCTGCATATTATCTGCGGGGGGGGATGGGCATGAATTATTTACATCATTTTCCAATGCAAGTCGAGTCACTGGGACAAGAGAGGACAAGATGATCTCTTCTCTATCCGGGGAAAAAGACCAGGAAAACCAGTTCAGCTGAAAGGCGACGGAATGGCGATAAAATCCTCAAAGGAAGAAAGGAGAACTGCAAAGCACAGATCATTTTGTATTCAAGCTTCCTTTTAGGAGAAGAAAATAATAGTCGACATTTTCTCAATATTCACCCAAGAATGTGTTCCGTACGGCCCAGAAGATTGTCCCACGGATTTTAGCCTAATTTTCTCACCATATGTTGGCCTCAGAACAGAGTCTGTGATGCCAAAAGTGGTACCTTTCCGACAAGGATTACAGCAATGAAGGAAACATGAATCGATTCAGCTGAATTGGAGAAAAAAAGAAATAGCGTGCTATTGTTGTACCTGTAGAAAGCCTTATAAAGGCAGACGTGACGAATACGCTCATAATATCCTCAAACGTAGGAGAATTAAACACTTCCAGGGGCGACTCCAAGTTATGCCAAGCGATAATAACCATCAGCTGCAATTCGCAAGGCACGGGGATTTCATCATCCACAGCAGGAGAGAGCAAACATCATCCATCCCCCCCCCCCTCACTTGGGACTATACCTGGAAAGCTAGTATGAAGAATGCCCACATCCTATCGAAGCTTCTGTAAAGATGCAGAAAGGAACGTATTTCCACAAAGTTCGTCTTGCCAATCCACTTCCTTGTGGTAGTTTCCTACGAATAAAGTCGAAATCAGTTTTTTTTTTTTTTTAATCTCACGAGTAAAAATAAATAAATGCACCCAGTGTCCTCCGAGAAGGACATCATACTAAACGAATACGTTGGAAAAGACGTGGGTAAGGCACGACGACGATGCCTGAAGATTCACGGACTCCCGATCTTTGGTCGTCGACGGGGCGGAAAAGAAGCCGCATTCAAGGCGCATCGGCCATCCCAGCTTGAAACAATCAATACACCTGAGTCATTAGAAGGGCAGGCATTGCCGAAAATCATGAATCTGGGGGGTATCCAGAAAGAAGCCTCAGGGAAATGAAGCATTCACGCACGGCTGACCAGAAGTACTCGTTCAGATCATCATAGTTTCTCCACTTGGAATGGTCAGCAGTCCCATTGCTGTTTCTCCGAGCTTCCTGGATCAGCAAGAAAAAGGAGATTGAATTGAAGCACGTGGGAATGAGCCTTGAACACGGCGGATTGATGCAGCACCTCGGAAATGACCGTGTACAAGGGGGTGACCACATTCCGAAGAAAAGACTCAGGCTCTCCGCCACAGGCTGGAACGACTTTCTCTCTGGTGTTCAAGCTGATAGAACCAGCTAGCACGCCAGATAACTCATATGCCATCTGCGGAGGAAACAACTGCTTCACAGAAGAAGACAACGGGGGCCATCTGCCCAAGTACAACAACCAAAGAGAAAGGAGGACCCGGAGAGGGACACAATCAGGAAAAATACGTTAGCAATTTGAAGCTAAATTAACAATCACCACGCCTAAACTCTTATAGCAAGGCCTTATTGCGTGGGGATAACTGTTTCGAGCATCACATGTACTTTTTAAATATTCATGGGCATCCTGAGCGTTTTCATCTCATCGACAATGAAGCGAACAAATTTGTTGAAGAACGATTGATGCCCCTTTTTTTTTGTTGTTTTCTTTCAGATTGGAGGACAGATTAACGCCACCAGCCACGTAGTCCTCTACAATACGGAGACGAAGTGAAAATCTACAACAAGCGACGGAAAAATTCTTCCTTTTTAACGAGCCAAGAAAAGTGGAGTAGACATAAAACAGACCTCAATGCCTGTAAAATGATAAGACCATGCTAGTGATATATTTATAACATCAGTATATAATCATATAGCTAACCAGAGATAAGTCAAATAATTATATACAAACTTTCTAAGAAAAGCTGCCAGTGAAAATAGGATTTTCAATAAAAAACAGACAGTTCGGATGAGCCCTCGCCAGCCATGGGCCTGGTGCGGAAATAACTGGATGAATTCTGCTAACTTATATCAGATGATTTTCAGTACCAGCTCCGATCATCCTATCCGCAAAAAAAAATAAAAATGCGTCCATAATCTTCTTGAAACCCACCATCACCATTCTTGGTCACTCCCACCACTTAAAAGGTAAGAACCAAGAAAGATTCTTGCTTTACCACCCTGAAAGGTAGTGAGCTGAGGGTGGTCCTCCTTTTCTTTACTGCAGATAATGGGATGCTTCTCAATTTGCATTGGTTCTTAACAGTCTGAGTCCCTGACAGGCGTAAGGATCAGTCAATGCAAGTAGATAAAAACATTCGGCGTGAACATGGTATCTAGGAGGGTGGGTTCTGGGCGAAAATTGCACGAGTCACAACCAAATCAGCCTAGTTGACACAACGAGTTTCCCACATTTCTATGCTCTGCACTTTACTGAGCCGCCTGATACTACAACCAACACTATCAACCCCCCCCATATTAAAGAGGATGTTCCTCTGAAGAGCAGGCAGGGTAACACTTCTGGAAGACACTGGTGGGGATCAAGACTTACGATCTACAGGTAAGGGATCAAGACACCGGTGGAGTTTGTTGGAGTAAGCGATCATATCTTTCTATTCTTCCCATTCTCAAATCATGTTTTAGGAAGTCTGGTTCAAGTCATAGCACGTAAAATAACCCGAAAAAAAAATTAGATCATAAGGGATATTTTACTAACAAGGAAATGATTCAGATGAGGAGGAGAATACTTCTTCCGGATCCCTTCACCAGGAGGCAACATAAATATAACGTGAGATGCTTGATTAAGATTTAATCCAACTTCTTCTTTGGTTGGATTCCTAGGAGTTCTGATTCATCACAAAAGATTCAAAACCACCGATACATATTGCAATTGCAAGGTAGAGTAAAAAAATAAATTATTCAAAAGATTTTGTCGCACGACACTCAAAAAGAATATCGGCTCACTAGAAAGCTGGAGATAAACCATGAAGGATTTAAGAAGACAAGTTTCTAAGATCCTTATGTGGCTCAGTATGTTAATCCAGCACGCTAAAGGCTATTTATTGGCCACAAATTTAGTGAAGATGGTAGCGCATTGAAGGGATTAAACTGCTGGCGACGTCTACAATTGTGCACAGTTAAGATTGACGAAAAAATCACAACAATGCATAATTTTGAAATCTTTCATTGCTAGACTTTTCATTACTCTATTACTTTATATTACCCACACAATGAACGTACAAAACAAAGGTTTCAAGCAAGATGAGCGACTGACAACAGTTCATCTTCTGTGAATGCATCCGATGTCAGGAGGGGTCTTCTACGGTGGTCATCTTCTCATAAGACTTAGAAATGCCGTTTGTTTCTAGTCTTGATAAACCATGGAGACAGATTGGTAAATTTCTGAACCCTGAGACGGTCAGGTGATTCATAAAAATGAGCGTTTTTGGTCTAGAGAATGTGTACGGATCTCATAATATATAACTTTGCAAGGGAGGATGAAAATTCCTCGTATCTTAAAGGGCAATAACTAAGCAAACATACGGAAAAAGACATCAAGCAACTTAGAAAAAATTATCGAAGAAAGTAAGTGCCAAGAATATAGGCGAATAGACAATGTCTCCAATGTCGTATTACGTGATGAAAAATGTAGCAGAGACACTCGGGCATGAGTCGCAAGTTTGAAGCCTCTCCCCATATTAGCAGATAAAGGCTAATGTACAGGATCTTTTGTTGTTCCTCTTCTTGCTTCACATCTGGCAACCTTTGTGGGCACAATCAATCAAGCAAGATAAAATGAATAAAATCAACACAAGAATGTGAGCCATTGCGACAAAGGATATATTTCAGAGAACTCTGATTTGCAACGTATTAATAGTAACTAAATGCTTACCAGATATTACTTTTTCGACCTAAAAATGTGCACCATTTTCTGTAGTTTTTGAACAATTTTTCCATCAGTTCATCGATGGCTCGGTCGTCAAGCTGACATAAGAAATATTTCAATTGTTGTAAAAACATTTATGCGAAAAACTCTGTAAACAATTTCAAGCACCTTTGACATCGATGTGGGCTTCGGAATCTGCCTAATATGAAGGTTGGCAAGCAGCAATACTAGATGTTCTCGTTGATTAGCAACATTTCCTTCCTGCAGAGACGATAGTTAGCATGTCTTGGCGAGACCGCAGAACAAACCAAAGAAATAAGTAAAGCCAGAAGGAAGTTTCTCCAAGGAATTTCGCTGCAAGGAGGACTAGCAGAAGATAATCAGCAAAATAAACAAGGAAAGGTGGAAATTACTTGGAACCCAAATATGTGCTGCAGCCAATCAATCAAATCGATAGGAGCACTTTCTTTCCGATAGCTTTTATCTGATGGCAATCCGCGGACATTACGAATGGCAGCAAGGGAAGCTTTGATCTGCAGAAACTTGTAAACTTCAGAAGACCTTATCGTTGAGCTCCAAAACTCTTGATATATTAGCTCTCCCAGGATGCAACCAAAAACAAAGGCCACATATTTGTAAACTTGTAAACTTCAGAAAACCTTATCGTTAAGCTTTATATCTTTCCTACATAATTTTTAGTGTTAGGACTTACAAGATTATACATTTATCCTTCAGTACATTGTCTACTCCTACTTGGTAAAATACATTTCATCCTTCAATCTTGGGCCTCATTTCCAAAATATATAAATGACCACAATACCTAGTTGAGATCTTTCTTCAGTCCTTATGAAACGTAGAAGCATGTGGAAGTTTAATGGAGTAGATAGGCGATATATCTGATCAATCACTGACCTCAGGAAGCCGCATAATTTCTTGCTGGGAACTGTCAGGATGTAATGGAAGGATATTATACCGAAAATAATTGGCAGAGTTTCCTTTGATCTCTTCACCATCAGCAAATGTCTGTTGAACATTGTCAAGAAACGTTTTCGACAGATATGTCAGGTAACTGAGGCTCATTCAACCATTCCTCTCACAGTTTCAAATGAGAAAGCGGAAAAAACGAACCTCAGAATCTGTTCCTGACAAGACTGCCTTTAATACTTCCAGTAAAATATTGATTGATTCCTCACTGAGAATAATTCCGGTAAATATATAAGAAATACATCTAAAATAACGTCCGATAAGATCAATGGAATTCCATAAAATATTAACCGGGAAGTCTTCCTATGTCACCGCAGGAGACATACATACCTACTTTCTGATGGAGAAATTCTACGTTTATTATGATACTTATCATATAAATATTTCAACTCCAGGGCATCACTCGACTCCCTTCGCATTCGTTTGGTGCCTTCCTCAGCCTGTGTGGATTAGAGGCACGTTAAAAGTGGATTACGATAAACTAAATATTCTCTGTTATAAAAGCAAATATGTAAAATGCAAAACAGCAAGTGACACAACTTCTAACACCGATAAAGCTTGAATATTTGATCAATCTAAAAGAGATACCTGAAGAGTCATGACATCATAGGACCTTACGGCCTCACACCATATAAAAAACCCACTCTTGTTTATACTAAGTTATTCGTTCATAACTAGATCTCAACACTCTTGAATAAATAAAATATTACGCATCAAAATGTCGCTCATTTTTTCAATCAACCTACCTTTTTTGTTCGAAATAATTTCTTCTCAAGATCATCATGGGAACATTTAACCAATCAAAATGAAAAAAAAGTAAACATATATATATATATATACAAAAGACAGTAAAATGAAGAGCCTCTGGACTAACTGCCTGCAGTCTTCTCTTCATTTTTTTCATCACGTAGTGCCACTCTGCTTTCTTCATGTGGATGAAAAGAGTAGCCTTTCTCCAACAGAACCTCTTGAGTAAAGCGACCTATCTTCATTTCCTTATCTCAGGCCCTTTAGTGTGCCCCTTTTTTTATTTCCAAATGTATTTGAATGTACACGGATGAAGTGTCCAGATTTTATTTATCATTCCATTTATTCTATCACAGTAAAATTTGATGAATTATAAATTTTCGTTTTTCTGCATAAAGCTTTCAAAAATCTGGTAAAATAAGGGTACTAATGTTCCTAGTATCAATGCAATTTTATTCAAAGACAGAAAGCCCACCTGCTCAAGATGCTTAAGAAGAGCAGTTTTGAACTGTCGTACGCCACGCCCAATTGAGTTTTTGTCCATGCTATGAGCTCTTTCAAAAGCATGGACCCGACCTGTTCAACACAAGCAAAATAATTGAAATTTCCAAAGGAAGATACATGATACTGAGCACCATGAATATGGACTTCCAATATAGAAAAAATCGCAGCAAAACGAGTAAAGAACATAAAAGGCCTAGTCTCTAGCGTGCCGGAGAAACTTTCTGAAATTAATAAACTTGTACAGAAAAACTGGATTTTTTTCAAGCATATCGATTTATTGGTCCATTTTGAAGTCTACAAAAAAGATAGAATGAGAATCAAAGAAACACAGAGAAAACAATAAAGACAGGAGGAGAAGTAAGGTTCAAATTACGTGCAACAAGCAAGAAGAGTGCTTTATGTTTCGAATTAAGAGAAAAATACTTCGGACGATATTACATGATATTGGGAAACATACATTGAAGAGGTAAAAGAGCATTCATCAGGATTTACAGATTTTACGGCGATGAAGGGACATCGAATTACAAAAGTCCTAGCGCAATAGGTGTTGTTGTAGCGGCTCCGAAGGTGAATTGAGGAGTCCACGAAGAATGGGATGATAATGAAGCGAAGAGACAGAAATGGGGTAAACCAGATAGAAGAAGAGGACGTGTGAGTCGCCAAAAACAAGTCGACCATAATCAGTGCAGTCTCTACTTCATGTTGGCGACCCAGAAGACAAGAAAAAACGGTTTGAAGCGTGAAGGCTCACAATTACAGAGAAAGATCAGTTTGAATAAACATAATACGATCAGTCATCGGTCGGGGGGCTACAATTATGAGTAGCTCACAGAGATAGGCAGCACGAGGGGACTCGGCCTCAATTTGGTTGGCGACGCGAAGGAACCTCCGGACCTCGAACTCCAGTATCAACGGCACCTTCTCGCTGTCAAATGGCTGCGGCACATGCCCCGCGGTCTTCGTCCTCGCAGAGGCCCGTCCAAAGTTCCTCGTTCCCGGGCGACAGGAATCCTTCATGGGAATGATCTCTGCCATGGACAATGTGGGCTGGGTGCAGCAGCAGAGAGGCAGCAGCAGCAGCAGAGGCGGCAGTGGCAGCGAGAACTGGGTGCAAAAATGAGGATCCGTGTCCTCATCAACAGCAACAATGATATGCGGCCGCCAAAGAGGCGTCTTTTGAAGAAGCTTTCACGAGTACCACCAAGTTGCGCTGACGACCACAACTTAGTCTTGGCCGGAACAGGCATCCACGGCAGTTTTTATCAGCCTCCTTTTCAAGAGAGATGGAAGTGGGCGACGTATGTTACTAAGGAGAACTGGGAGGGAGAGTGGTGGGAGGTCTTTATTAGGCGTAAGCTTTCCTCGCTTTTCAGCGTTCTCGTTCGTTTCTCTGCTCTCTTCGATGCAGAGGGCTTCGGGAAAAGGTGGCACCAGTGCCTTTCCATCTCCCCCGCACAGCTTTCCTGAAGGGGTGGGTGAAGGTCTTCGGGGGGAGAGTGCAGTTTTTAACTCATGCAACGGGAGACTCCGCTTCGTGTGGAGCACCTTCTCGTCACCCCGATAAGCACAAAATTGGAGCAAAACCCATCCCCCTCCCCCGCCACACACACACACACACACACCACTTCACAGAGGTAGTAGTAGCTCAGAACCCAACAATAAGGGAAGGAACTAGTTTAAGCAGATAATGACCACACTAACAATAAAAATACGTACTTCCTGACAGAGCAAAAGACGTCGGCATGACATACTTTTACACAGGAACAAAGAAGACTTCAGAGATCTTAGAAGAGAAGCAACCACTAAGTCAAAGTATATCCATAAAAAGCATTTAAATATAGCGACAACTCTATCCCCACTTAAAAAGTTCAATGCGTGCGACATTATGGGTGGCGTCCCTTTTGATATATATATATATATATATATAGAGAGAGAGAGAGAGAGAGAGAGAGAGAGAGAGAGAGAGAGAGAGAGAGAGAGAGAGAGAGAGAGAGAGAGAGATACTATTGAAATCCACATAAATATACACAAATGCAAAAATAGAGCAAATAATCAAATGAGACATTCAGCCAATAATTTGTAATCCACCAAGTAATTTGTAATGCACGCCAAAACATCAAATATATATTAACACAGAGAAACAAAAAACTCAAAAGATAGAAACAACACGATAATATCCATGTCATTCATAAAAATCATCTACACCTGCTAGGAAAGCCAAACATAGAACTCGCAATGATAGAAGAAAGGACTAAGAATAAAGGCACCTCATGTGAAAACAGCTAGGACTCCTTTTCAAATTGATTTTAGCATCTTTTGTTTCATTGTGGCATGGTGCACCTCCAATGGTTAATGAGTGGGATAGAAAAGAAAATGACAATTATATTTATGTTACCCCTTACTTTACTGCCCCTATCTTTCTCAATTAATTGAACAAGGCAGGGTAAAAAAGCAGTCAACACAAACGCTCTCTCTCATTATATGAGGGTTCAACAAAAGATGCACTCTCATGCAGGAGCTCCACTCACAATAGGACTATTTTCACCAAGCCAACTTAGCACATCACTTTTGATTCAATGAAATAAAGGCTCTAACAATGTATTTGATAACAAAAATCTAAAATGATAATAAAATTGAGGCCATGATAATAAGATGGACACTGTATTTGAGGCCATAGCCTCCAATGTTCAAGATCAGTAGCAATTTAAATAAAGTTGGTGATATTGACATTGAGATCATGATAATAATATTCTCTCAATTGATGACTTTGTCAAGTTGATTGTATTCATCTAAAATGAAATCTATCAGTTTGCAGATATAATATCAAAAAGCTTTGTTCTTATAATACATACAGATTTTCTTTTATGCAGCAAATTGTACTCTAGTTGTCACTAAGCAAGAACACCCATTTGATTAGTAATAAGTTCTTTCACCACACTCTTAAGCAAGCAGGCTACTGTCCTAAGCAGAGTCCAATAATATTTTCCTCTAATTGATAAGTGATCTTCCTATAGAAAACACATTGAGTAGCAGAGCTTACTCTGCTAAGGTCACCTACTTTACCTAGTTATATTTTGTATGAATATCAAAATTTGTACACATATGACGTAATAAACTAACATTAAATGTGCCACATAGGCAAAAGAAATTCATTTCTGCATCATTTAAATATTTTTTTCATTGGATTTTCTACACATATGTTAATGATACCTAGCCATATTCGTTATAATGTGAATTATAGCACACATCATACAATTGTAAGTATTAGCATAAGATATATCAAGGATACTATTACTCATTTCGTGTAACTTCTAACAATCTGGAGCAATGATTGAAAATGTTGGGCTAAAGTTCTATTTAGAATCATACAATGACATTCATTGATGTAAGATATCTGAAGCATCTTATTGATCTCTTCTTATAACTTCAAACAATGGTCAATTATAATTGAAAATGATCAAATGAATGTTCACTAACAACTTACCTATTTTTCCTAATAAATTTTCTCAACTTTTGGATGCACCCTATCAAATCATGCGAAATCTTCAAACCCCAATGAAGTTGATGGAACTCAATTCTTATGAAATGTTTTTTTCACAAATTATATGTTGAATTATTACTCTAACTTAGCAATCCTTCATGGATTTGCTAACTTTCAACGTAATGTTGACTTGGATTGACATCTTAAAGATACAAATAGTTGAAAAAATGACAACATGTTCAATTCCCAAACATTTGTATTGTAAGTACAGATTACCATAAATATTATTACAAAGCTTCTTTCACAATATCAAGATAGCCTAAAAATTTACAAGCAAACATTTTCTTGAACTTTCTTAAGCAAACTACTTGATTGTAATATATTGACCTCTTCACGTAAATTATTGGATAAAAATACATTTTTACATTGAGATAATTTAAATCACAGATAATTATTTACAAAGAGTAATTCTATCCAAAAAATAATATTCTGTTTAGAGACAATACCATTATAATGGGTTCATTTTCTCTATCTATATTCATTTGCTATTGATTATACAATCAAATGAATTCTCCTTTATAACTAAAACTTGTTTCTTCTTTTATACCCTTAAACCAATCACTTTCCTCGTTTAAGAGTAATATATAATCATTGAATTTCACAATCCTAGAGTTTTTTCTATTTTATTTTATTATTCTCATCTTTATAATACAAAATATATTATTTCTTTAATTACTTGATCGAGTCCACATATTGGGCCATTTTCTCAAGGTAAAAAAAGGGAGATGAATTTATGGGAATTAAATATACTAAAACATCACATAACATGTTACTAATATAATTTTAAAGAAAACTCAAGAGTTAGTTTGGGTAAGAAAATGAGGGTGTTTTTTATCTTTGTTGTGTTTTGGAACCCCAAACAAATTCTGAAGTTCACAAAAGGTTCTATTCACAAAAGGTCATTCATATTGTGGAGTAACATAATATATTAATGTCAATATTTTGCTGTGTTAAGTTTATATAATAAATAAGCGTACCAGATAATTTTTTTTTTTGAGTGTATCAAGTTCAGCTCACATTATAGTGACATATACCAAAGGAATTTTTCTAGTGTATCAGGTTTATATTGTGGAGTTATGTAGCATACCAAAATGAAAATTGTATTATATGATGCTCATGTTGCATGATAGTTTAATGCATCATTACTAATATCCCAAAATGACAAAGAATTATATTATGGAATAACAAAACATATGAAGGTTGATATTCTACCATATCAAGTTTGTTTAAATAATAATATTGTAGACTGTTTATGCTACAAAATATTCTGCCCATGAATGGAGATATTTAGCATATCATGTTTAAATTACATAATATCTTAGCATATCAAAACCAATATTTTAAAAATAAATTTTATGTTTCAAAATAGTGGATTACATTAAGAGGTTACACTGCATATATCACAGCTAATTTCTCAATACTTATAAATTAAGTTGTAGAATTGCATAATGAAGCACGAGAACGGTAGACAAATAACTTAGTATATTAAACACAATTAAATTAATATATCAAACACAACATTTCACCAGATAATAACATGCTGTAATATAGTGCATATTTCAACCTTATATATGATAGATTAGATTTCAAAATGACAATATATCAATCTAATATAATAATATATAACTATTTAAATCATAAATCTATAGATGATATCAAGTGTAATATGTTGATCTATGATGTCTTATGTCACCAAATGGAAGAATATAGAAGTTTTAATGTCTTTATACATAAAATTCATGCTGAAAAGTTCAAGTGTTGAACTAAAGGGTGATGTGTAACTAGTTCTAAATATCCAGCACAATATTTCGCTAAATGAGGATTAAGATGTTGAATAGCATAGTATATGGATCACAATATCTCACTCAATACATGGTATTTATCATCATATATAAGTTAATATGTCAATTTAAATTTCTCGGTTCATGGAACATTTGTTGTGATATTAAATAGTGTAATAGTACGTACACATGAACTTCTGAATCATGTAGTAATCTTAGATTTATAGTATAACATATTAGTAGAAGAATGATATCTCGGTCTAAAAGATGTATAAAAGTTAGAGCACAGCTTGTATGTAAGCAGGTATTGAAAAAATAAATGTAAATATATTTGAAGATAATTTCACACATTTGTAAGAACTAAAAAACTCTTCTAACTTAAGTCTTTATCTACACTTTTTCGAGGAGCTAAGAGTATGAAGAGAACTTCCAACTCTAAACCAACACATCACATTGTAAGATCAAGAATCAATAACTTTTAAGTTCAACTGAATTTATCTTAATACCATTAGATACATAGTGGTATATGTTTATCACTATCATAAGAGGTGTTAGTAGATAGTTTGACATTTTCAGAATTGTAAATATAACACTATAAACCGGCACTTAATTTCATATTGATTTGTTGCCTAGAATTGTGAACCTAAAAGTAAATATTGAGGGGATTTGATTTATTACAAGTCCGAACTTAATAAAGTCAAGTTGATGCCTAACAAATCATTTGCTGCACAATTTGTAAATATCGAAAAGGGCTGGAACTATATATATATATATATATATTCGTTTTTCTATATCATCTTAATAATGTATGAAGAGTTTACTATATCTAACCTGTTTCTAGGTTCCCCCTTGATTTCCCCTCGATTTCTTTGTAACCGGATGAGATCCAGCATTACTTTAGTCGACGCATAAAATAGTACGATCAGATGTACAACTATGGACATCGCCGCAAGTTTTGCTGTAACCACTCTGTGTGCAGCCGTAATAGAACGCTCACATTCACATGGCTCGCGTCCATCGTGACGGACAGGACGTGACCTCTCTGTCCTTCACCCGTTGGACCTCTCCGAGTGAATAGATCCCTTGCCCTCTTGGTTGCCACTTGCTGGAGATGGACAACCTTCTTCTAGTGGCACTACGATGGATCCTGCACCGCCGACGGCGAGCGACGACTACGATGGATCAGTCCACGGGGACGGGCCGGTGAGGATTGTGATCCCCATGGCATACCGTGGGACACCGACAGGCGCTGCCGGAGGCTGGCTTTCTGCCTGCACGCCGGTGACCCTCTGGCTGGCCAGACGTGACACCAGCGGAGATGTTAATGCACCCGACTCCTACTGCTGCTGTTGTGATGAAAGAGGGGGGGAGAGAGAGGGGCAGGGAGGGAGAGACTCTCGTATGAGCAAGATAATATATTGACCGGGGTCGACGATGACCTTGCAAGCCAAGGGTTCTGGGACAAAACATGTCTGAGCACAGAGATTTTCCTAGATTTCGTCCGTGGGACGATCCAGAGGAAGAGAGAGTGAGAGAGAGAGAGATGCGATGCCTCTCGTAAGTATGTGTCGCCGTGGCTCTAAAAATCCGAAGGCTAGTGATCGAAGAGAGGAGGGCGGCCAGGACGAGATTCAAAGCCGACTTCCCTAAGCCGTCGTATAAATGATAGAGGGAAGATTGCCTAATGAGGGCAGTGGCCTCCTGTATTTTGACTAAACAGGAGCCGTCTTCTCCGTAGGACGTATAGCGTCCGTTGGTAGCTGGAATTGATGGATGGGACCCCGGCCGGGGGCTGTGCTTGCTTCCAGAGAGTGCGAGAGAGGGCGAGCGAGCGAGAGAGAGTAGAGAGGGCACGTTTGTCAGGTTCGAGAACCAGAGAGAACAAACAAATGTTGAGAGAGAGAGAGAGGTGACGCGACGGAATAGAAAGAATGGAAGAACAGTTGTAGCCACTAGCAGCTGCAGCTGCAGCTGGTGATGGTCGCGGCGCGGGACCCCCTCCTCAGAAGTCGGGGTAGCGCTTGCAGCGGCGGGCGAGGAAGACCCGACAGTCGTCCCTCGGCACGATGGTGGGGACATAGGTGATCTCGTCGCAGCCGTCGGTGCGGTGGCGCCGGAAGTCCACCAGGGAGACGAATATGGTGACGAAGAGGACGAGATGGTTCACGGCGTAGCGTTGGCCCACGCACTGGTGCGCCCCCGCGCCAAAGGCCAGGAAGTTCTTCTTGTGGAGGCGATCCTCCTGCCGCTCCTCCGAGAACCGGTCTGGGTCGAAGCGCTCCGCCTCGGTGAACCCCTGGAACGAGGCCTCCAGGAGCGACGGGAACACGATCGCCCCCTTGGGCACGGTGTACCCCGCTGCCGGCAGAGGCACGTCCTCCGCCGCGATGTGTGGCACCAGGGTAGCCGGCGGCCGGAAACGGATCACCTCCCGCACCACCGCCTCCGTGTAGCGCATGCCCCGCATCATCTCCGCCGTGATGGCTGGCCAGGTCCCATCCTCCGCCGGCGACCACAGGGAGGAGACCTCGGCGCGGACCCTGACCAGGACCTCCGGATGAGACTCGAGCAGCGCCACCGCCCAGAGGAGCGAGGAGGTGGAAGCGTCCTGCGAGGCGAAGAGGAAGTCGAAGATGTGCCCGCCGATCTCTTGGTCGCTGGACTGGGGCGGCGGGGGCCCGTCGGCCTGCTCGGCCTCCGCGATCTCTCGGACGGTCTCCTGCATCCAGAAGTCGACGAGGCAGGAGGGTTCCGTGGCGGGGGAGCGCATCCGGCGCTTGCTCTCGGCGACGCAGCCGGCGAGGGTGGACACCAGGCGGTGGACCGCGAGCCGGGCCCTGCGGAAGGCGAACCCTGGGAGGTCGAACGGTACGGCCATGAGGCCGACGTTGAAGAGGTTGTAGTCGACGTTGAAGGCTCTCCGAGCCTCCGGCGAGAGGTACGTGCCGGCGAAGACGGTCTGCGAGGTCTCCAGGTTCATGTCCCTGCACAGCAGACGCAGGGGCATGGAGGAGGGCGATGGCGACGACTCGCACATCTCGATCCACTTCCTGATGTGAGAGAGGATGATGGTCTGCTGAAGGTCCAGGTAGGTGGCGAGGGCCTTTGGGGTGAAATTGGGGGCAATGCGGCGGCGAAGATCCTTGTGCTCCTGCCCGAACATGTAGATGAGGTTGTGGTCGCCGAAAAGCTTGCGGCCGAAGGGATGGCCTATCACTTGGAAGGCGTCCGGCCGGACGTTGGAGAAGACGCTATGAGATAGATCGGCAGATCGGAGGAAGACGATGAAGCGGCCCATGAGGTAGTCGGCGCATAGCCCGCGAGTGGCGGCCGCCTCCCCGAGGCGCCGCCAGTAGCCCGTGGGGTTGAGTATCATGGGAACGGCGCTGCCGAGCAGGGGGACGACCAGTGTGGAGCCTGGGAGGGGGCCTTTCTTTCGGAGGTAAGACAGCTGCTCGAAAAACAGGAGGAGCGCCGCCAGCGCCACTGCCCACGGGAGGACGGCGGGACCAAGAAAGGAGCCGCCACCGCCCGAGCCTTCGGTGAAGGAGAGGGTCGCGTTCTCGGCTACCGCAGACGCCATCTCCTCGAGCGATGGAGGGTAGGCAAGCAGGCAGGCAGGCAGACAGGAGGCTGGCCGCGTTTCTCCTTCCCTTCCCTCCGCCCGAGCCTCGCCGGCTATGCCTCGAGGCAGCGGGATCTTCTATCCAGGTGATGACGAAGACGACTTCGTGGGTGGGTCCTAATCTCGGAGGAGCTGGCTGTAAAACCGCTAGCCGCCGCTGGACCTGGGGGTAGAGAGAGGGAGAGCTAGGGCGAGGAACAAAGATTTGAAAAATCAGAGAAAGGGTGGGGGCAGTGGGGGGGGGGGGGATACCGAGCGGCCACTGCTAATACTACTCTACTAGCACTTCTACTACTACTACTCACTACTACTAGGCGAGAGGAGGTCGGTCAGCCTATCTCTCTTCCCAAGCCGCGGTGTAGCGAAGTTTCCCCCCCTCCCCTCCCCTCTCCACCTGTTGTACGAACAGCGGGGGATCTTGTCTTCTTGCAGAAGCGAGGGGGGAGCGCATGCGGCGAGGGAGTGAGGAAGAAGTGAGGCGCTGTCGGCGGCGCACGGCGCATGCGAGGAGAAACGTGGGCGAATGCGGGATAGGGGCACGAGAGGGGGCGGGATCTAATTAACTCGCGAGGGTCGTAGCCTTCGCCTAATTTTAGACATGGATAGATCGTGACCTGCTCATCACGTTGACTTTTCTCCTTGTCGACTTGTAGGTAAAAAGCACCTTTTTTTTTTTTACCCGATTTACTACGGACTGGGGGCCGGCGCACGGGGACTAAAGTAACGAATAACTGAATGCGGTTTTTTCCTTGTCCTAACTCGAGGACCAATCACATAAGTAAATTTGAAAATGCCCGCATGTCATTATCTCACGTGGACGCTCCCCGTTGGCGCCGATCGGAATACAGCTGGCGGCGGAGGGGGACAGGCCGATTGCGCTGTCACGTGTGCCGGACAGCTGGCTGTGGACTTATTAAACAAAGCGAAAGTGCCCCTTTTGAACATACACCGGAAGGCAGAGAACCCGCCGCCAGTGCCGCTCTATGTCCCGTGAGAGAGGGCAGCGGAGGGAGCACAGAGTATGAGTCGGGAAGTCCACCCAGCCGAACCTGGTTTTCCTTGGGTCGGGGGTTGCGGGGGGAGAATGACGCTGGTGCCGAGGTGGTGGCAGGCAGCGCCGCTCTGGCATGCGCATGTGCAGCCGGGGCAGGACTCGGGCGGCCCCGAGATGGCCGGGCGTGGACGTTCGCCTGCCATCTTCGTCGCCCGGCATGGCCGCGTGGAGAAGGCCGGCTAATCTCGCATGCCGTCCTGCGGGAGTCGGAGCCCCCACATCTCGTCTCCTCTTCTCATCCGCATTTCGCCAGAAAACGGGGAGGATGAAATTGGGTGGGCCGCCGTTGCTTGCTATGAGGACGGACGAGGCCCGCCTGCCCGGCCCTGTATGTAGGTTGTCTCCATCGCCGCTTCTATTGGCGATTAAGACGGGGCCAGTAGGTCCCCACCACCTGCCATGCCCTGCGTGTCCGAAGGACCCAGCGAACTGAACTATACGATGGGCATGTGGTTCATTGGCAGTCCGGATAGAAGAGGTTTATTGGTCACATTTCTAAAAGCAAGTCGGCGAATTTTTATTGATCATGATAAACGTCACGAACAAGGACGCCGCAACTTATTGATTTACACCTCCCGTCTCGCGGCTGCTTCCCCACGTTGGCGCCGCCTCCGCCGTTGCTTGCGTCTACTCTTCTCTCAAGTACCTACCTGGGGCGAGCACAAAAAGGAACGACTGAATTTGTCAGGAACATTCTTGGTTCAAAGAATCAACAGAGTAGTGAAACTAAAGCGGAATGGTGACGACTTCTTCGGGGGGGCGTTTGCTACTGAACTCATCCATGTCTAATACTAGTAGCCTCAGTAAGATCTTAGAATGAAAAAAAAATCCCAGATGCAATCTCCGATGTGTTCATTTCGGCTGGAAGCCTTACTCGGCCCTGCTAAACGGCTGACCCTCAAGGCAATAATTGAGCGAAGCTATATTTTATACAGAAGTAGTTCTCTTATCGGGATACGTCGACATTTGATGGCCCTCGTTATAATAAATCTCCTATTTGTTAATGAAGTATTGAACTCTGGGCGTAAAACGTCGCCTCTACGCTCATGATTAAGCGGGCCAAAGTTGACTGATCCGATATCTTCCACACCCTCTACTTTGGAGGATCTGTCGCCCGGCTCCACAGCAAAACTCCAGGGATTGTGTGGTTCCTCGTCATGTCCTTGAGCTGCCTGGTGTCCGATTAAGCCAACATCAAGGCCATGACCAGAGATTAACACTCCAACTCGGGGGCGAAAGGCTAAGAATTCGGGCTAGCGAGGAATGTCCAGGACAACGACGACCTACACCCGGGTATCTGTGAGGGAGTGGGGCTTTTGTCTGTCAGCGAGCAGAGGGGACTGTTGTCCTCACCAGTCGTATACGTGAGCGGAAGTTTTCAACATTTTCGAACAGGTGAACCAAAGAAGCATCAGCACCATCGTGTCTATGAGGACAATCAAGTCAAGGGATGAACCTATTTCACAAATTTTCAGAAAAGGAGAAGAAGAATGAGATGATATCAAACGCTGCGGACGAGGGCGAAGACGTTGAGCGCGTAATCTCAAAGGATACTGAAGATGTATCGCTCCCACCATTCGAGTCCATATAGCCCAATGGTGACTTCATATCGGTACAGCTTGTGGCGCAGCCAGCTCATCCTCATCTTCAGAGGGGGAGAAAAGAGTCGCGGCAAGGAAGTGGAAGAGGGTGCGGGAGACCAGCAAAAATCATGAACTGAAAGATGTCGAACTTTTGGGATCAGTGGAACAGAAAGCCCCGGATACTATGAAGATATAGAGGAGGGGAGGACAAGTTCTACGGCCCTCCCCTCGTTTCCTTCAATCTCAATGATTTTCTTATCTCATCTACTTTGTTGACCGGAGTTAGTGAAAGGACACCGACCTACTGGTCACGCGAACGGGTGGGAGTTGTGCGAGCATATAGTTCTCTATTCGGACCATGAGAAATGGAAGATTTGAATAGCCAATGAGTGTCTGCGGAGTTCCTCGTCGGAAATAGACAGGCCTCGAGACCCATTCTTCTGTGTCGACCTGCTTTAACAATTCGCCTATGAATGACCATTATCTGTCAACGTGTGTTTCATTGGATTTCTAATCATGCAGTTGGAGGATCTCAAGGAGTAGTCGCCGCCTAGCCCTGATACTCGGCTGCTATTCTTCCGTGGCATTGATTATACGTAGACGGTCAAACACAACTTTGAGGACCTTCAGTTATCAGCATAAGATCAGTGGGACGGGGTTGGTTGCTCTTCCATGGTTATCACTGCAGGCCACGCAGGAGTCACTTCAATGCGGGTCAGAGAGTCTATTGACGCTAGATGCTTAACATTGATAAAATGGGAGACTGCTGACCGCACATTGAATGTACCAATTGTTACCAATTTTTGCCACAGTGCACTTCCTGCCAATGACCTGTAGGGCCCAAGATGAGTGGATTCGTCAACAAAGAAAATCGTCTTCGTCTCCACTCGAGGAAAATTACAGGCTGAGCAAGACTCGGGGTTGCCGTGTTTCTGTGGGAAGGAGAGGTAACCCAGTCGCACTCTGCTGTCTTCCAACTCTGTCGTCTGTATCTATCTATATCTATATATATATATATATACGTGTCCAGGGATGAAGACTGGTCCCATGGTCCATTCCACGTCGAAAGGGACGACTAGGCAACCTTCCCTATGCGTGTGAGTGAGCCTTACACAATCGGAACCGGGGGAAAAGATTTTGGTTCCATGGGCACAGAAACCACCGTTGACAATTATGCCTCAGAACATGACCAGCGAACACTCGTCGTCTAGGACGAGAGAGTGGGCTTGAGCCAGCTTGTCCATCGGAGGCCGAAACAGATCTCGGCATAATTCCTTGGGGAAGAAATCCGCTCATGGCCCAGAAGCGGCCCGGCTTGACTCACGATGGCGAGTGTGGGCGACGTAAGAAGCAGGTGCCAGTGACGGCTAAACGAAGCGTGTGATGGTGGAGAATTTGGCTGAGAGAAGGTGCAGGACACGCGAAATAGTTATCCTAGAACAAATTATCAACGAGTATGCAAGGGCAAATACGAGCTTTAACATCATGATAGCCGTACATAAAACAGTATAGGTAGAATAACAGTAGACCCTTAGTCTTTAGAGAAAACATAAACCGCCCATCGGGGAGTCTGGAAGTAGATTGCCCGCGTTTAGCGATGGTGCGTGAACAAGGCAGTCTATTCTTCTCATGACTCACCGAGTAATCAATCATGTATCTCTCCATCTTCAAGGTCTCATCACCAGTTTATCTACTCTTTGGTTCACAATGAAGACCACCGTATTATATTCTCTCACAGCACCACCTGTCGTTTTCATGCTGATGGACTACGAGGCGAGCTGGGCTCAAGTAATGGGTTATGTTTATTCACCAAGCTTAGGAAAAAAAGCAACATGACCTCCATGAACAGCAATCCATGGAAATTTCCAGGAAACACAACGTCTATATTCGAAGCGACTAAGCAGCTCACTCCTGATTTGAGAGTACCTCAGCTCACCTCCGTCGTTACTTGTACCTGCCGCCGATCTTTGAAGCACGTAGGGTGACAAGAAAGCAAGAACAAAAATAGGGCCAGAAGAGATCTTTAATGCGAATAACAAAAATGCCAACAATATGAAATAACGACAATTTTAATAAAAGGTCCCGTCTTCGTGGTGTTTCACAAGATAAGTTCGAAAGTGGAAAGTCTTAAAATTTTTTCAGCAAGATACTGCCGGGTGAATGTGCCAGCGTTGAAATGATCACTGGCCGTACATAGTGAGATCTCATCTCACTCTTTGCGCATGAAGCCTGGGACGAATTGTTGGTGCATGGCCCGACAGATGCATGGATTTCGGGTGCAGTTCTATTAAGTCCTCCTCAACCTGTTCTACCCGTTATAACACGAACAACAACACTTTTTTACGTGATAGTAGTGGGGAACTCTATTTCCGATATCAATCCGCGCTTGGGTATCGGAGTGGGAGTGGGGATGCCCTCACCAGTCGTAGAACTGCACCGAAGTCTTCAACATCGCGGAGCAGATGAACCACAGCAGCGTCAGGACCGCCGCATCTAGAGACACACTCGAGTCAAGGGCACACCCTTCTCGCAAACATTAAATGAAGCAGCAGAAGAATAAGAAAACCTCAAACGATACAGACGAGGGGAATCTCAAAGGATACTGAAGCTGTAGCGCTCGCACCAGTCTAGTACGTAGAGCCCAAAGGTGACTTCGTACAGGTAAGGCTTGTGGCTTAACCAGTTCATCCTCTTCGGCAGAGGAGGGCAGAAGTGAGGAAGGGAGAAGGGAGGAGGCGACCTCGCAAGTTCAGGAACTGAGAGATGGCGCGTCGGTTATGGGCACAGAAAGCTTCCGAGAGTGAGTAGATATAGACATGAGGAGCCCGAAGGCCTACTCCCAACGCCCTCTTAATTTCTTTCTTTCTTAACGGCAGTTTAATATTTTCGACATTGTTGACCGCACCCAGCGAAAGCACACCACCTTGTCGGAGCCAGGGGGGGTGGGTGGGTCGTACACGGACCGCTCCAAAAGTCTCCTTCAGACGGTCAAATCCCCTCTCGGGGATGCAGAAGACTTGCTTTGCTGTAAAAGCTTCCGCCCTACTGTCAACATAAAGAGGAAGAAGATCTGAGTTTGAGTATCCGAGCGAGCAGCACCGTGTTCGCACTAGGTGAGGAGGACGAGGAGGAAGCATTGATCATCTTCAAGTTGGGATCATGCTTTGTATTTGTCTTCTGTTTTTCTGCTATTTAAAATATACACAAACACATCTGGGAGGGGCAGCGAGCTCGGGACTACCTTGCCTTTCTCTTAGTCTACGTCTCTTGTTGAATGGTTGGAGGCGGACGAGATGCCCCTCACGGCCAGGACCAGGCTGTCGGGCTTGGAACCAGATAGTCCGTGGGTCGTTCCACTCAAATGGCCACGCCCCCATCCCTCCCCCCCGCGCGCGCAACTAACTTGCTCCTCCTCGTCGACCTCCTAGATGATGAAGAGCGAAAGCTCCAGACTTGCAGGCTTTGCGTGTATCTCGGAGGAACTTGAAAAGGGAGAGAACGAAGAAATAGAGCAAGCGGACCAGACGCCTCTTCCAATGGCCCGCGGCGTTACCCGCTCATCGCAATCTAAGAGTGGTGGGAGTGGTGGGAGTGGGAGGCCCGGCACATCCTTTGGTGACGGCATCCTTCTTCTCGGTGGCAAGGCACCCTCTCTTGAAATCCTGGCACGTATCGTCCTCAAGATGAGCGATCCGCCGAGAAAGAAGCCCAACCAGACCAAAAAAAACAGCCATCAGGGCTGCTGCGACCCTCTCTCTCCCATCCGAACGGCATCTCAGAGGATCACAAAGGGAAGGAATCAGCTGACGAAAAAAGCAAAGCTTCTTACGCTTAGCGTACCCAGTGACGCAGCAGGTATATGCACAACCAAGAGTCAACGCATCTTTGTACAGAAGTGGGCGCCGCGCTACAGAGGAACGCTCATCCCGAAGGCAGCCCTAAGCCCGCTTGCCACACCCAACAGAGAGTTCCATTTCTCTTCCCCGACCACGAGGAATAAACACCAGGCTATTCCACTTCGACGGAGATTGGACAAGACTCCAACCAACCACGTTCAGCACACGGATCCCCGCGGGCAAGCCTCGTATCCTTCCATAACCACGTTCTTCGAGGTGCGAGTACTGCGCCAAAAGGAACTCCGCGGCCCAGAAAAGAAGCTGCGATGATGGCTTCACGTGTAGCGCTTTTTGAACAGGGCATGCCTCTTGGAAGGGTCCTTGGGCCTCTTCTGCTGAGCTTGTCCTGCTTGCCTCCCCTTGCCCGTGCTGAAAGGAATCGTCCAGTTGGCTATCAGAAACATGAACAAGGGCCCCGATTGTTAGGAAGACTAAAGATAACACGTTATCAGATCAATATTACCTGTATTCCATGTAAAACATCCCTCTGGCCCCAGACATCGCACTCATTGATCCCACGGTGCGCCGTGCCTTCTGGAGAGCCATGCCGTCAGTATCTTCCTCCAACTGCTCTAGACCAACAGCATCATCCCCAGCATTTAGAACCTGCCAAAATGGAGGATTGGATCATTCGAGGTTCGCCCCAACGTCGTGTCCATAGATGATTTCATATGAAGCTCGTACATACCTTGTTCAAAAGATCAAGCTGATCCTCAAGACGGTGGTAGCTCAGCTCAGCTCCAGAATCAGGGGGCGGCAAGCTCGTAATGATCTGTTTAGCCATCCAAATGCATGTCACTTAGTTCCAAATTAGAAAACTAATTCTCACTCATGCTTGACAATATCCCGATGCAAAAGCAAATAGGCCAACAGTGATGGCTGATCAGAGAACACCATCCAAGAGGCCACAACATACGGAATACTACGAAAACAGGCTTTAATTGGCCCACTGAGAAGGATACTGATCTTCAGCTCACAATAAGAAGAATAAAACGAGTACTCTAGGAATGCATTTCCATAGGATAGAAGGCCACTCGAAAGGGGTTGATCTGTCCCCGAGTCAATCAAGGATGTGAGAGAAAAAATGACTTAAATTATATGGATCTACAGCCTTGTCGACTCCAAAGTCATTAGTTGAAGATCTCGCCAGGCACCACCACTTCGAAAAGGCGGCGCAAAACAGTAGGAACGAGAATGCAAGGCAAAAAAATGCCTCTGAATTCCTGTTTTTTCAGACATCAGAAATCTATAGCTAAAGCCCACAACGATGCATAATGGCGTGTAGCAACTCACCTTAAAGCTATAACCTTGGTCAATCAAGAACTGTTGCCTTTTTGTGGAATAAAACATCTCCTGAATCCAGCAAAGACAACCAACATCACTTGTTGAATGGAGCAAGAATTTAAGCGAAGCTATATTTTCTGCTGTCTCCGGATGAGACGAACCAATAAAAGGGGGACTCCAAACCTGCGTATCTGTGGAAACCAGAGAATAAAAGAAAGCATTGTATTCTTCTTTCCCACCTGCCATTCGATCCTGAAGTTTACCCTGTAAAAGCACATTCAATGACAAAAAACAATAACTGAGTAATGTTTCTAAATAACAATTGAAGCGAGCGAATGTAACCGTTAACTAGAGCTACTTTCCACAACAATTACGGAATACTATGCTGGGCATGAGTTTCTACTCCAATTATGGAATAATTGAGAACAGATCCCAGATTGACATAGGCCTCATGAAAATTAAAAATGAAGGAATAACAGAAAGAAGGTAAAATAAAAAATTACTTCGATGAATGAAACAGGTGTATCTGTGGGTATTTTGAATTACATGATATAAAGTCAAAGGGTCATTATTATATACCACGACCAATCCAGTTTCAATGGGGGAACGTAGAAATCCCCCTCAAAAGAAAAAAGCCTCACAACCACCCTGAAATTGGATGATCTTGGGACCCACCAATGCCCCGAAGAACTGATTTCAGCCTCACGTGATCAGATCTGACCTACACAAAAGCCGCTGGACAGAACTTAATCTGGCTATTTTCTGTACTCTCTATGTGACAACAGAGTTCGGCCTCACTAGACTATCCCAGGCTAACCATCTACTTCATCCTGGTTGTTCATTCCCATCCCATCCCATCTATATGTTCTATTTGATGTTTCCGTTAACTATCTCAGCCAGCTGCCCAAGGTAGGATCCAGATGATGCTTTGATTATGCACATCAATACAAAACAAGCTGCCTACACTTTAACCATGAATACATGCATGCATGCATATATATATATATATGCGTGTATATGTGCATTAGATACAAAATTATCTCTCGAGCGTACCTTTGCCCTCAGAATACGGCCAAGACGTTGAGCTTCTTGTCGTCGCGAGCCAGCATGAGACGATATCTGGATAATTACATTAGCTTCAGGAATGTCAATTGAGTTGTCACCCACCTGTAGAGAAAGCAAAACGTTAGCAATCTTATTGAAAATTTGAAACATTTAACAGGATTCAAATCGCAACAATAACCTACAAAATAACTAGTATCAGCATATCTCAAAAATGTTACAATCATAAAAATAGGAGAACCCACAATTTGCCGATCACTCTTTGGTTGCCAAGGAATCCCTCAGACATGAGAACATCGCTTGTTGACATGGAAAGACGATGAATCTATAGTTTCTAAGCAGGAGAGATCCGAAGGGTAAGAAGAGTAGGCTACATCAACAGGTAAAACATGTGATGGATCTCACATCAACCAGTAAATTTGAGGAAACACATCAAACAGGATGACCTCAGAGTACGTGCAATAACTCCTAATAATTATTCTATTAATGGCACTGAAGCTATAGTCTAGGCTTAAAACGTAGGTTGTTGAAATATATCCACTGCATGCTTATGTTCAGACAAGTTGTCTACATACGCAGGTTGATTATCTTATCCTGATGAGAAGCAACACCATAAAGCAGAAGATGAGAAGCACACGAATAGGTTGGGGATTCTAGGCGCAAGATAAATGCTTAGAGAACGGAGTCTCAGGTGAGAGAACGGGATAAATTAATGTTTTCAGCTACAGGCACTTCTGACAGGACTTCCAGCAATGAAAATTTCTTTTCCCTCCTAGCTCCAGCAGAGTGATGGTATTCTGATATATATGTACATATATATATATATATATATCTATATATTATAAAACTAAAAAAGTTCATCACAGTGCCACCAAATGAGTACGTCTAACTGGACTAATCAAAAAAGAATCCTACGACTTTTCAGCAGGAACCTAATGAAACAAATGTACAGGTATCAGACTCAGACTTATTTATCACATCTGTGATAAATAGAACACAGGTAAATATTGCATTCACACCATTGATAATGCAAATATGATTGTATTCACATCTGAATGAAAATATGAATGAAAATAAGTAGAACACAGGTGAATTGTCACACCTTCGATAAAAATATTGTATTCACATCTGGGCTATGCTTGAAAGCATAGAGAATTCTTGTCCGTTCTTGGTGGCTACATAAAAGATATGACATTGTTAATACAGAATGAACCAGGATCATGCATGAAAGAAACAACAGAAATTCTGCAAACATAAATCAACCTCGTTGCACCATAAATCATAGGTTTGCGAAGCTTCATTGCATATGCAGTAAGTGCAAAAAGGTTATCGGAAAAGACAATTATTTTGTCACCACGCTGCTGCTCGTGAAACCTTATCAGAAACTCACAGGCTCTGAATTTGTTTGGATTCATAACATAAAGCGCCTGGTGGAAAGAAAAGTAGCATAGGCATAAGAATCACTTGAAAGGTAAAGAATGACCGATAAGAGTGGAATGAATAATGGAAAATAAATGGCTCAAAATGTATGATATATTTCATAATAAGCAACATTGCGAGAAAATTCTAAAATGTTTTTAAATTGCCACAAGAAAAAAGTGCGCAATATATGGAGCGCTATATGGAGACCAGGATAAAGAAATGTGGAGAACTGACATTAAAAATCTTGTTACCAGTTTTTTTTTCAATATGAAGAGACCAAATCAGTTCAAAATAAGGTATTTATAAGTATATATAGAAGCAACAACTTGGCTCGCATATCCCTATTTAAGATTGAAACTATGTCTAATGCATTAGAAAGACCACCCTTGTGCCTGTGGAGGAAATGTTCCTTTTTATTCAAAATATTATATATACAAGTTTAGAAGGTTCTAGACACTTATAGGTATCCTCAGGATCATGTGTCCTGTCAGCACTCCCCCTCAAGTTGGCAAGTGAATGCCATCCATTCCTAGCTTGGAAATAAGTTTTTGTAGTTGCATGCCAAAGACACCTTTGGTTAGTATGCCTGGCAATTGATTGTGCATTGAGAAATATGACATACAATCAAAATTTTCTTTGATAAAATGATGATCAACCTCCACATGCTTAGGATGATCATGTTGCACCGGATTATGCTCACTATTAATTGCTAACTTGTTGTCACAATAAAACTTCATAAGACTTGTCAAAGAGATTTTTAGCTCATCAAGTAAGATCTTCACCCAAAGTAACTTCCACACACCCAAAGTAACACCACTAGATCTTAGGTTTGATTTTTTCTAGGGCTCTCATTTCTTCATCCATGGTTTCTTTCCATTCCTTGAATAGAGCTCTTGAGACATTTGCTAGAATGGTACTATTGTCTAAGGAGGTGAGGAAGGACTGATAGGATGGGGAAAGTTTTTGGTAGGATAACAAGTTGGCCGATGGGTACAAAAGTCTCTTTGTACACTCTCATTTTGCTATCCTCTAGGCAATGAGAAGTGGGTTGTAGTCTGGGATTTCAAGATCAACAAATTGTATAAGTGAGGTATTCTGGATATTCTCTAAGGTTGGATCAAAGTCTTGGATTGATACAGAGTTGTGATACAGATTTGTGGATCAAAGTCTCTAAGAGCAGACTTTGCTAAACTTGAGATGTTTAGGAAGTGGATCTGGGTTATAAAGAGTTTTCTAAGAGACTAAAATGAGAACAAATAAATTACAAGAGGAGGAAGCACCTAAATTGTCTAAATGATGATCATTATGATATATAGGCGAGAAAGCTTGATCGTTTGATAAAGATTTTTTAAATTAGGCTTCCAATTCACGAAATATAACATCCATTGATACAAAAAAATTCCGAGAGGGAAGATAAAAACATCAATAGTCCTTTCGATTATTTGAATATTCAAGAAATATGCATTTAAGCCATTGTTGGTCTAGTTTCCTTTAGTCTAATTGAGGTGATGAACAAAAGAGACAGCCAAATATCTTTGATACCAATATAGTGTTAATTTTATTATTTGGAAAGCATACTACCAACATATCTAAAGGGCTTTGGAATCCTAATGTCTGAGTGGGTAATTGTTTGATAAGATATTTTGCTATTAAGACAGCTGCACTCCAAAATATTTTTGGCACATTACTTTGTTAGGAGTATGTACATAGGAGGATTCATGTACTATACCTTCTGATTGAAAATAATAATTCAAGTTTTTACTGAAATATTATCTAACATTATCGGAAGTAAATTTCTTTATACATGTGCTAAACTGATTTTTAATCATAGCACAAAAAAAGTTTTAAAGACTAATAAACATCATCTACTTTAGAAGAAATACGCACATCCAACAAGTACAATCATCTATAAAGGTGACAAATCACTTATTTCTTAAAAGATCATTATTGGGACACGATCCCCAAATGTCACTGTGGATGCACAAGAAATGAATCTCTCTTTTATCTTTGTGTTTGAAAAGAAGCATGAGTGTTTTTAGAGAATTCACATGTATCACACTTAAGGGTGATTAAAGACACCTTTTGAAATAGGGAAGGGAAAAGGATTTTCATAGTGCTGAGGCAAGGATGGGCCATTCTTTGGTGGATAGCCATATTTTGGGGAGGTCTCTTAGGGATCTTAAGGTTGATTTGGTTCCACCAGATCTATTTGGCTAAGTGCCTCTGGGAGGTAGAGTCTGCCATGTTCTCTAGCAACTTCAATCCTTTGATGTTGTACCTTATCAAATATCACACAAATATCCTCATCAAAATAGGCATAGTAAGGTTAATTATTCACAAGTTTCTTTATAAAGATGAGAATCGTAAATAATTTTGGGACATGAAGTACATTGCCAAGTATATTAAGGGGCTTAATAATTTTGGGAAATGAAGAAAATTGCTAAGTATTCTAAGGGGCTTAATAATTTTGGGACACTAAGTACCTTGCTAAGTATTCCAAGGAGCTCAACTTTGAGGTCTCCTATTGTAGAAACTATTAGAAGAGATCCGTTAGTAGTGGATATCTTTTGGTAACTAGAACAAGGGTTGTATTTAACAAAGAGATGAGAAGAATTTGTCATATGGTCTGCCACTCATGAATCCACCTAATTACTAAAACTGTCCCAAGATAGAGCTCTAATTCCAAGAGAGAGTGAGATTTATCAGGGTGAACCAATGAGTACTATGTCATAGTCGACTTCAATATTTTCAATACAACTCGAAGTTGTTCTATCTCATCTAGTTGAATTATAGAGAGATGATAAACTTGGATGATGAACCAGAAATTTGATTAGCAGGTAGGTCAGCCATCTAATGTGTTTGGCTTCCATGGTTTTCAAAGGTGGGGTTTGTGACTTACCATGGAGCTTCCAACATCTATCTCTAGTGTGATGAGATTGTCTACAATATGTGCACCAAAGATTATCCTTATAATCAGACTTCTGATTTCTTTCTTGACCAGATTGGGGCTGTCAACTTAGAATTGCGGCTTTCTTCATAGTAACCCTTTGTTTAGTCATAAATCTAGTATTATCTATATCAGGCACTAATAGCATCAACTTTCATTGGCTCTCCTCATTTAGAACGATTGAAATAGCCTCATTCAGATTAAACCTTTTCTCACGACTCAAAATCTGTTGTCTGACAGGGTCAAAGAAGAACTAAGTCCTACAAGGAATTTAAATACTCTTCTTTGTTCTATGAAATTCTATAGAACAAGTTTTTCCCCTGGGTTTTCAGGGCTGAGATTGAGATAATAATCAAGTTTTTGCCACAAATCCTTTAATTCCCCAACATATTCCACCACCAAATATTTCCTTGAACTATAAGACACGGACTTTGTCTCCAATTCATATGTATAAGCCTCATTATTCTTTTGCGAGAACTTCGTATTGGACAATTTTTCATAGATCTTTGACCGTAGTTAAGAAAAAGAAATTATGACTAATTTGGGGAATCATAGTTCCCTAGATCCAAGTCCTTACCAATGCATCCTCCTCCCTCGACCTATGGAATTCACATGATGAGGGATCTGGGTTCAAATCTACCAGGTGACATAGCATTGCTCTCCTAGTTAAAACCTCTCTGATACATTCTAACCACTGGATTAAATTGTATCGAGTCAGTTTGAACTCTGTAGGCATTGTAGGGAGTTGTACCTATGGTCTTGGGGCACCAGGGCCAAGATTAGAATCCATCAAGAAAGAAGAAAGATCTCTCACATGTGACATAGAATCACAAGAAAAACAGCCGTATTTGCTAGATCTAGTATCCCATTAATAATCACTCGACTCAAAGGAGGACAAACGGCTCAAGAACCATTACTATAGAAAAATAGAACACTGTGGAAGAGTAAAAAAAGGGAGCGATCAAACATCAATTCACTCTGATACCATGTTGAAGATTGAAACTAGGTCTGCTGTGCTGGAAAAACCACCCTCACATCCCTCGAGAAAATGTTCCTTTTTATTCAAAAGATTATTCACAATGTGTGGTATTTATCGCAGACCCTAGAAGGTTCTAGACACTAATAGCTATCTGCAGGATTATGTGTCCTATCAACAATCCCAAAGACAGTTCATGAAGCTATGTCATAGGCTTTTCCTGGCAAAGGCAACTGGCATTTAAGAAAGCTGTTACTTCTCTAGTCATTAATTATCACAAGTCATTCATCGATTGGCTCAAATGAGGAAACCAAAATGCTGTTGCTCAGAAACAAGATCATCAATTCTCAGGGTCCCTAACCATTGCTTCTTAATCACATCTTCTCAATCTATTATCTACACTGTTTCTCATGCCGGAGAAACAGTGCAGATAATTAATGACTTCAACATTAATTGACATTAGTGTCTAGAACTTATGCCAACTCGCATCGGCCCCTACAGTCCACCCTACTATAAATCTAATAAGTCAGTTACAGGATAACACAAGACAGTTTTTCATAGAACCATGTGAATTACAAAAGAACTAGAGATTTCCACCCAGAATCACCAGAGAGAAGCTAAAAGAGGAAATAAATGGTCATCGAGTAAATAAAGAATGCTAGCCCACCACATAATAACGGAATGATATGCCAGCTAACAGGTTTAAGTAAAACTGTACCTGTTTCTTTTTTGAATTTTCCTTTTTCAAATATTCAGCAAAGAATTCTTTTGTCATGGGACACCATACTTCCGCACATTGAACATTTGCAATAAATCCACCTTTTACCAAATCCAACCAATTCGCTTCATATAGTTTTGGACCGATGAGAAAATTCAAATCCGTTATACGTTCATCCTCTCTGACAAGGGTAGCTGCAAGTTGAAAGGCAAGTAAACAACTCCTTGAAATTACAGCAACATCAGGGTGAGGAGGGTAATCAATTGATGATACAACAGCGGTATGTATTGAAAATTGAATGCAAGCAGATTGAGCTTATTCATGAAGGTTCTGAACCTGATGAGGAATAAGAAGTAATAGGACATTGAGCAGGAGGTTCACAATGCAAAACAATAGACATAAACAGAAACATAGACATGGATGTTGTCCACTAACATAGAGTTCTCAAAAATGTAGACATTTTAAATTCATACCAGTCAGGCCGAGTTTGCAATGGGATTTGGTAATGCTAATCACCTTCCGAAACATATGAGCTGGAACCACATGAACCTGCAAGGAGAAAAATAGTCAGATAAACAGTGAAGGCATCAAAGGAACACTTTACACAACTAAAAAATCAAGTGTGGTAAGAAAATAAAAAAAATATCACATTGGCTTCAAGAAAAATGAGATCTGAGCTCGTCATGAACAAACACTCAAAAAAGGGACTTCAAGAAAACAAAGCCATCATAACGAGGGAAAACAAAAGTGTAGCTTTCTTCAACAAGAAGGGATCAAGAATGCTGAAAAAGCTAGTTCTCTGTTGGGATCTACTTCACAGTCACCATGGTATCATCATGTCCCCGTTCTATCCAACAAATTATTTTTTGCAGTGAGATCCGCACCTTCATCATTTTTAAGTTAAATCATAGGAAAAAAAAATACCTCATCCATAAGAAGCAAACCCCATTCTCTATTTCTTATTTCTTCAATAATTTTCTCTGATTCTTCAGACCGTTTGCCTCCAAATGCAACCATGTTGTATGTCGTCACAACAACACCAGCATTACCACGAAATGACTCCTTGCTGTCAGAGGTAAAACGACAAATCTGATCATCTCTTATGGTTGACCAAAGTTTGAACTGGAACGCCCATTGATCCACAGAAACTGCATTTGTAGCCAGACAAAGACAGCTTTTTCGTATTCGACAGGCAGCAGAAACACCAACTAAAGATTTTCCTGCTCCACAAGGGAGTACAATAATGCCAGACCTGGCACGTCCTGCAACATAAAATTGGTGAGTCCTTCATTCGAAGCAAATCTTTATCATTTTCATATACTATACGGTAAAGAGTTAAATAGAGCACGAAGAACCTCAAGAAACAGAATAAAAATTACAGATAGGAATCAAAATAGACGTGAAATTATTACTGGGAATTAGAACTGTTGGATTTCTAAATCGTGATGCACTGTGTTTGGGAATTCACACCATGATGATGGTCATCACAGGAATTTTTAGCTGTTAGGAATTCTAGGTCATGATGCATCATGTATGGGCACTCACACCATGGTGATGGTCATCTCTGCACTTGTAGCCTGAGGGTATATTGGGAAAGATCATGTAGGGTTCTCTCCTTATTCAAGGGGTGATAAATGTCAATGAAAAGTGAGGTGGTCTGCCAATCCTCCACTCTATCCTCTGAGACAAAAGAAAGTTCCTCCTCCACACCGTCCATTTCCCTCTCTTCGTTTCAAAGGAACGTTCATCTTATTCATTTATTTAACTAATACAAGAAATAAAAAGGCAGTTTTCTCACTTGTCCAAAGAGGTACTTCAGTTCAAATACCATAATCGCCACCACAAAATTTAAAGGTAAAAAATCGAATTTCAGGACAATCCTATTGTCTTACATAGCTTTTGGATCAACATATTAGATAACGAGCCTTTTAACCTGTTTCCAATAACCATTATTCTGGGCATAGTCGATAACACTCCGTTCTAACTTGTCAAGTGTCTAGAAAAACTCATTTCCTGCTTTGAACAAGATGAGTATCAAGAAATAAATCATTTATGATGCGTGAGACAATTTTGATATGAAAAATGATTCCAACATCTTATCCCTGCAGAAAAACGTTTACCCAAGATAATGTGGCTATCATTTATTTTTATCAGTGATGTAATTCTGTCAGTTTTATGACAGGTTTAACTTATAGCGATAGGTATTCAATATATTGATATGTATTCTACGAAATGATACTTGACTTTGAGTAGATTATAATATAAACTCCTCTAACTATACATTTCCCCAAAAAAAAAAATCGCCAATAATAATTGAAGTCACACTTATTGAAGGCCACATTCTTCCACATGATAGGCTAAGTCAGATTGTCTCCATAAAAAAGGCAGATACCACAATTGTGCTTAGGTATCCATATCTTCATCGAACATTTATAGGATGACACCCGTTTTGGGACATCTATGACCCATCACCTCAGATTCTATGATAGTTACACATGACCAAGTTGGGTCCCCCGCCCAAGATTCCTAAATCCTCATAGCTCCGTGAAACCCTCTCTTCTCCCAAGATAACCCTCCCACGGTCCTCCATGCCATCCGTTTTGTTTTCTTGGTTTTGGCCAGTACGCAAGGATGTTGCAGTGGCCATTGTTCTCTCACAAACACACAGACTATTCCCCCCGTTTGTCCATCTGCGCCTCTCTCAACTCCCTTTCATCAATTTCTTATCATTGCTAAAGCATTTGTCTAGATTTGTGATGGCAAGCTACAGTGCAAAGATTCGTCATGGGATACATAACATCCCCTTTGGAAAGACTAAAAAACGTGATAACTTTTCACATGGAATATACTGAAATGATTTGGTAATAAAAAAGTATACGTTTGAAATTGACTACCACGAAAGTTTCAAATATTACACATTAATATATAGACTGAAGGGCGGCGATGGTGAAGCACATCCTAGATCAAATGTGGGATGGGATGTGCAACATGTCAAACGACCAGATCATAATCCAGACTACCACAGATGAATGAATCCAGCAATAAACATATAAAATGGAATATAGAGACGTAAAAAAAAAAACAAACTTGCCATTTCCAAACATTTTACTGAGACTTTTTTCCTGGTATGGTCTTGGTTGTGCCTGAGGTTTCAGTTCCATGTTTAGATCAGGGTTCACCTGCGCAACGAAAAGGATGTCATAATGTTATTCTACGAAACTAACCTCAGTGGGAACAGATTATTAGATAGCACCATAGTCAACTTTATACCTAAAACTTCTCCCTAGTACAAGCAATTGTTGTGGAGCCATTTATGGATTGAATCTCAACACAAATCTATTAATCGTTTCCTTAAATATTAGCACATTTATTCCTTTTTGAATAAAAAGCAGTGTTTCTCTTACCATTGGAGAATACTTAAAATATTCAAAAAATGATGGCTAATTCGGCTCTAAAAGACGTTAGGTCAGAGCTATTCGCAGCTACATTAAAAAATAATCAGGCTGTTTTCTCTTATTCTGTTTCTCTGAGCGCTATTTATAGTACTTGGTCAATCTCGTCTGAAACCTCCAATCAATGGAAGTCTCCTGAAGTTTCTCCCACATGCTGCGCACTTGTCTCCCTCTTCCACCTTCTATATGTTATTAATGGGGTCGTAACAGAGCTCAACGGTAAAAAATAATTAGATTGGTGAAAAACAACACTTCCCACGAAACCACATATACTGGCAAGGTATAGAAGGAATAGCACCACGAATAAATTGCATGTGAGCACAGGAACTATAACGTACTGTATCATTTCTGAAGTCATATTCCTCCAGCATGGGATAATTTAAGGCATTAGGCAAGCAACGTTGCTTGACATTTTCAACCTGCGGCATCACATTTGTTCTAGTTATGAACGGGATAACTCCTGAAGACTATGGAGTAACAAAAATAACACTCACCTGGGCGGGATCAATTTCGAATGAATGACTTTCCTTCTCCTCAATAGCAGCCAGGTCTGATCCACCCAACAAATCCTCATGGCCACGTGACATTTCACCCAATGTTTTGCTTACTGTGAATGTGTCACCTCCATGGGAAGTCTAACCAGCCAGGGCAAGCACAAAGAACATGCAACCATATTAAATACAGGAGGCAAAATATAGAATTGAACCAAATAACAGAGGAATATTAAACGGCGAGTGCAGATAATGAAGCCACATCAAGGCACATGGCATGTAGATGCCAAAAAGATTTCTTGGTCACAAAGAGATGGTGATCTGCTTTCCAGACAATACACGGCAATGGCATAAACAGTGATTTGAGGTACTTTGACTTCTGGAACACAGTTCTCATTTGAATTACGTGAGATCATGCCGGATGAACTGTTCCTGGGGCTGTCCTGGTTAACATGGCATTGTTTTTCTAAACCACCATGCCCGTTGAAAAAGGCAGCTTCAAGAGTTACCAGCAGAGTTGGAATCTGTTTAAAAGATTATGCTACATGATATGGTATTACTAAGTGGCAATAAGATTGACATTTACGCTATGGTACACCACATCGCATTACTCAGTTACAATTGCTTTAGCAAAAACCAAAGTTATCGAACGGAACATTATGTAACATAATCTTTAAAATAAACTCCATATCATCAAAGAAATATGCTCCACAGAACCGTCAGTACAATTCGTTAAGACACAAGTAATGCTTCACGGTGCAGGCCAGAAACAAAAATTAAGCTAGGTAATATGTTTCTTTAGAGGAGACACTCTTGGGGTACCAGAAGAAAACATAAGGCACTCTGGCAAAGGTAATATACATGAAGGTAAATCAGATAAATCGTAATAAGAGAAGCATAATAGAAAAAAGAAAAAAGGGATATAACCCTGATAGGAAACATCAGCAAGGAACAAATTTTCTGTAATTTACAAAGGGAAGATGCAACGCTATGAAATACATAGCATGGAGAAGATGAACACCTCAGATGAGGAGATCCTTGCTCGAGAGACAACCTCATCTCTGAGTAATGTTTTCAACACCTGAACCATCATCATGTCAGCAATCGTACAAAACCGAAAACAATAAGGTAGTGACTTTAATCCGTAAATAATGGCCTGCTGGTGAAACAGAGGAGAGGAAAGCAGGATGTGATTCCGTGTATCTTGCCTCAGGGAAGGGTGACTCGATGAAGTATCTGTTCTTCTTCAAGACGAGTTTTACTTTGCCATAGTTAGCAGTCGACGCGTAGATGAAATCAATCATTTCCCGGGGAAGCTTTGTTTTAGAGAGTTTGTTCAGAACATTTATGATCGTCTCTGTCTCGAGCCCAACAGATACAGCCGCATATAATGAGTGGGGCGTCAGATTGTACTCGTGCATAGACTCAGGCCTGCTCCAAAACAAAGTGATCACGGCACAAGCAAGAAATCCAATCGAGTGTTTGGCAAGCCAACCGCTTACCTACAAACAGGCTCAGCAATGGCGATAAGGAAATCATATGCCTGCTTGTAGAGGGGAGAGAAGGTCTCCAAAAATATGCGGCCGTCAGCGCAAGCCCACAACGGGCGGTTGGCATGGTCGGGTTTCAACTCCAGCTTAGTGAAGTCCCTCTTCTTCCCTTCCCTCCCATCAACTACTTCCCCGCACGTTCCCAAAATAAGTCAAAGCCTTCAGCCACGGAAGTTTACAGAGCAGAAATGAGAATAATCCGGAAGCGGAATTCACCTTCGCGACCGTCCTCGTCGAAGTCCTCCACTAGTGCCATCGTCTCCTCTTCATCTTCCATAATCTAAAGAGTACAGGGCATTGATAAAGTAATCGACATGTTGAGATATTCGCTACTCCGCAGAGGGAAAGTGAGACACCCAATTTGATAAAAAACTGCACCTTGCCGATGGTCTTATGCTTTTTGGAAGGTCGTCCCCTGTCACCTGAGACGAATCCACAAATTTTTATGGAAATTTATCACAGACATACATTCATTCCAAGAACGGGTTACAATTCGGGGCCAACATCCTCGTTGATAAGCCGAGGAAACGAGAAGCGGCAGAGTGGTTGAGGATGCCATCAAGGAGGGAGAGGTACAAGAAAGATGTGTCAAAAAAGGGATGATGTTGCCTACCATGGACGCTGGCCATCTCGAGCGTCTTGGGCGAAACCCTGGAGAGCGGCACAGAACGAGGAAGAGCGTTGGGCTAATAAAGGGTGAGGCAGACGAAAGGCAGAGGCGGCAAGGTAGACGGCCCCTTCGTCGCAATCGGACGACAAGCACCTGTTAACCAGCGTGTGAGCTTTCGAGATCAAACTATCGTCCGTTCCATCACAACGAAGTCCTCCTGACGCAAAAGTCGAAGGTCTATATTTATTGTTGATCTTCTACCCATATACCCATAAGACCATTTCACCACATGACCCACCCTGTGATATGATTAAATGAGGGTAATAAACATCTGATTCATACGAACCCACCAAGATACCTCTAGTTCAAAACAGGATTTTTGAAATTTTGATAGTTAAACTTCGCAAATGCCATAATTCAGTGTACAACGTCAGCCATTTCTCTTCTACAGGTTCGTTTTCTTCAAACGTTAGTTTATTTGTGGACCATGTATGTTTGACTAGAGAGTTGTCAATGAAAGCATCATCAAAGGTATGCTTCGTTTTATAGCAATCAATTAACATTTAGAGAAATAAAGTCTGATCTATATGACTTTTGAATCTAAATCAAAGCTATAGTTATTATCAAATACAAGTTAAAGATAGTGCTGTGTGTAAAACAACAATTCCAATAAATGTGAAACTTTATGAATTCTTAGTTATATCATACAACAAATTAGTTCCCACTTCACCTTCTAACATCCATGAATCTTACTTGAAGATGTAAACCATAGAGCTTTGTCATAATTTTTCTAGATGTTATTAATATTTAGTGAGGGTTGGATAAGACATTTATCTCATCATAGATATTATCCTAGACCCTAATGGAAAACCAATTAAATGTGAAGATCATCAGTAACTTTGAAGCCATTTAGGTAATTTAATTTTTTTAAGTGAAAATGGGCATACTCCAAAAAGTGATGATAGCATGGATAGTGATACAAGTTATAAAAGTATATATGATGATTTTTGGTTCATATAGGATCTTTTTGAAAATGTGTTAAAGGATACAACACCATTGGAGAGCTGAGGTTGCTATTACGTTTAATGTATTTTTAAAAGTAACCACTGTGTCATTGATCTAATACAGAATTTAGCATGATACTTAGAAATCAAGTATTAAAAGGATTCCCTTTATTTATATACATGAGAGAGAAATGTGACAATATGATTAATACAAATAGAACTCAAGACAATACTTGTAAGGATAGTTTTTCATCCAATGAATAGATTAAAAGAGTCTCAAATTTGCAATGACTATGAAAATTACTTGAATTTTGCCTACAAGGTAAAATGTAAAATTTGCATAGGTAACAAGGCAATGGATACTCTATTGAGGTGGAAATAGATTAATCAAACATATGTCGCTCAAAAAGTGATGCCCTTTTAATGGTCTAAGTGGAGAAGGAAAGAGTGTAACATAAATCAAGCTTTATTGCATCAAGTGGGGGAAACTTTTTTTATTTAAAAGGATTAACAATAGTATTATGAGGATGGTTGAAAAGTGCATCATATGTCTTGTAAATAGCTAAAGTTTTATACAAAGCTAAGTTGTCATTAAAAACCTCAGTTTGTATAGTATTTGTATAAATTGATAAATCATTTGAATATTAACATTTCATACCGAACACACATTACTTTTTTGTTGACACCATTGTTATTTTTTTGTCAAATTCCTAAATTGATCTTAAATAATTGTAATCTAACTTCAAGAAGTTCAATGTGAAGAGAACTTTTCATATGACAAGGTAATTATCAAAAGCTTAACATTGTCCCCTGTATCATTGTAAAGTGAATTGTCAAATTTGTGTGCAAACAAAAAAGGAAAATAGAAAATTATATTGGCTATTATTATAGTGAAAAATTTAATCCGTGGACCAGGGTGAATGACGTTATAATGTGGTATCTAAGATGATCCAAAGTAGTCAATATTGCAAAAGTATGCGACATATATCCTCTCATCATATTCTCTAAGTTCTATGCTAATAAATAGGCAAATGAGTGATTAACATGTATGTCTCAGAAATTAGATTTTGTAATTGAGAAGGTCCCCTATCTTCTTGACACATTCCAACTGAGGGCAGCATGCCATAGTCCAAAAGATGTCTTGTTTTACATGAAAATGATATACCTCAACAAGTTGATGCTATCTTGTGTAAGAGGTAAAATTCAACTAGGACATAGTGGTTGATATATCAAATAAATTAAACCACACAAGAAGCTTATTCATCCCTTTTCATCTATCTCCTTATGGTGGACAAATCAGTCTACATGCATTAAGACAACACCAAGATCAAATTCCAAAATGTCGGTGTCTAATTCGAAAGTTCAAGAGGCACAAGGAAGAGAAAGTATAAGGGTAGATGCCATGGGCTACTTGAGACATCAGAAAATTGTTTCAATCTCATCAGTCCAATGAAATGCATCTCGCTTCAATTGTTGTGTTAGAGGCTAGACTATCTCACCATAGTCTACCATGAACCATGAGCAATATTTTGTCAAACAAAGAAATCTACATAGTCGATAAATGTTAGCAAGCGTCCGCTAGTTCAACATCACCCTTACCTTCCTGCTAGCAGCATCTATGCAAAGGTACACTTTCGTATGCTCAAATGTAGCTATTGTTGAAACAAGATATTCACCATGGTTTCCAGGTGTTCTTCATGCTCTTTTTCATCTTTTTTGTACACAGAGATGTCATCAAAGAAGATGTGTATAGATTTTTGTAAATAACTTCGAAAATTCGGCACATTTGTGCTTGGAAAGTAGTTGAAGCCTTTTTGAAATCAAAGGACATTATTATAAATTCGTAATGGCCCTCATTGGTATGAAATGTCATCAGCCTTCATATGAATCTAAAGATGATTTGATTTCAGGTGTAATTTTATAAAAATAATTGATCTAATATAATTCATCAAATAGTATATCCTGGTTGAGGGTGTGATTGTCAATGCAGTAACATCATTCATCTTTCCTCCTCATTAGTAAGCTCGAATTGGAGTATGAACTAATTCATGGCCATATGATCCCTACATCATACTTATCTCTCACCAATTTAAGACATCTAAGACTCTCCTCATGCAACACAAATTTATTTCAGCAACCCTAACCCTTCCTCAATCCTTTGTCTAATAGCCTCCCTCAAACTTGTCCTATAACTAGAAGTTTGCCCCATCTCTTTTGGCAATTATAAGTGAGATGGGTTGTGGGTTGTTGATGATGGACAATAATTAGGCTGACCTGAAGACCTATCAGCTCAATTGAATTTTTTGTTAGATCAACATAAGAGGAAATTGAATTGCTAGAAGAGACTAACCAAAATTGTGCTTCTTATAGAGATACATTATCCCACATTCTGCTAGCGGCCCAACTTCAACTGACTCATTATGTCAACTCTCCTTACTCCTAATGCCCATGTGATGACACAAGAAGCACAGGTCAACCTCATAATGCAATAAATTAAGAACAATCTAGAAAAAAAGTAATTGACAATGGCCATACCACCACCACCTCCACTAAGACATCCTCTTACATCGAGGACGTCTAGTCCTGCCAACAACATCTTCCATTCCATCATTATTGAAAGAGTACGAGGACGGAGTGCCTAGAGGTCGTTCTAGATTCCTAAGGACGTATAAAAGACTTGCCCAAGATTACTTCTAGATCTGGATGAAGAAATGTATGAAAGATTGTGTAGGCATATGAGATATATGAGCAAAGTAAATATAATAATTTCATAAAAAAGCTGTCACAATCATAGAGGTATGACATAATAACAGTGGTGGTTAGTAGACTCATCAAATATTCACATTTTCTTCCCCTCAAACACTTGTTCTTGATGTGGAGGTGGCAGAAATTTTCATGCAGAAAATTATTCATCTTCATGGATTTTCGAAATCAATTCTCAGCAATATATGTTTCATATTTACTAGTTAGTTTTCGAAGAAATTATTTCAACTACAAGGGATCTACTTGAAATGAGGCACCTTGTATCGTCCACAAATGCCTTGAAACTTACTTACCATGCTTTTCCTATCGCAGATCTCATGCTGAGAAACATTATCTAACGTGAGCCGAATATTTGTACAATACCACGTATCATACTTCAACACACTTCAGACCTTTTCGAGTAGTTTTAAATATCGAGATCATCTGCTCATAGCACACTCTGGTGCCTTTTGTAACTTCATTGGAAGCCTATTTACAAAAAAAAGACCGTATTTGGAGTGAATTAAGAGAATATCTCAATCAAGTTCAGACGAAGATGAAAGCGGTAGCTAATGACAAATGATGACATCTTCACTTTAATTTTGGAGGTAAAGTATTCCTCAAGATCTGACCGTACCGCATATGGTCCCTTATTGATCGCCACTGTGAAAAACTCTCCCCTTGGTATTACAATCCCTATCTCATTGCTAACAAAGTGGCCCTATTTCTTATAGACTATAACGTCCAAAATCTGCATCCATCTACCATATCTTTCATGTATCTCAGCCATGTCAGACACGCCACCCAAACATCTCCACCCATCATTCTACTGCACCCAACTTTGGATGATCAATTTTGACTCGTAGTCCAACCCCAAGCAATTGAAGGCACCCAAGGCGCGGACAAGAACTTCTTATCCACTGGGAGTATCTTCAACTTTCAGATGCATCTTGAGAACTAAGAACACAACTCCAATGCCAATTTCTTGGGGAACGAACATGGGCACCTGAGTCAGCCGAACAACCTTACAACCCATCATCAAGAGCCCAAAACCCATCTCACTTATTGTCGCCGAAAGAGAGGGGACAAACATGAAATTATTAGAGGCTTGGGGGGGCGGCTAAGATAGAGAATCGAGGAAGGGTTAGGGTTCCTGAAACACTGAAAGTTTATGTTGCGTAAGGAGAGTGAGAGAGGCCAGCTACAATTGATCTCTCGAGGGTACTAGAAGCGAGGTTCCCTTGCTATGAGCTTTTCCTTCCGTATTTCTCTCTATTCTGCACGATTTCAGCATAGGTGTTGTTCAGAATACACACGTTCTTGGCTACTAAGGCCTCTGAAAGTTCATGCTTGTAATGAGGTCAATCAGGAGAGCAGCTCACCTTTACGATCCATCTACTTGGCGCTGACACCGCCATGTCAACTCTTTACTCTAGCGTGGCAGTGGAGTTTCCCTCCTGACACTTATCAACTTGGCGGCTAAAGCAAAGGTGGGACGGGAAGACGTAACCAGACTACCATCCCATCGCTCTCTCTCTCTCTCACTCTTCATTCAGAAGTTGAAATTGTAGAGGACTTTAATGTTTGGCCATTGAAGAGGTCTGATGCCGGTTTTATGCGCCCACTGCGTCTTAAGCCGTCGGCTAAATCGCTCTTGTGACGTATTTTGAATAGTGGTAGAAAGCTCGGTTATTCTGGGTGATCAGTGGAGTCGGATGAAGAGAGAAGTACTTGGGAGGGGACTGGGGGGAGGTTCAAATCAGCATGGGAAGTTTCCTTCCTTTAGCCGAATAAGTGGGTCCCATGTTGAACAGAATCCTGAGGATTTTTTTCTCAATTTTCCAACGCTTTCGAAGAACCCCAGTCCGTTGAACCTGCGATAAAATGCGATCCTACTTAAAAACGAGAATCAACCGGCTATGGGGAGTCCTTACGAAGAAGTGTACGATCACTAGAAGGCGGTGTTCGGCGTTGTCGCCCAGGAAATCTTGAGTCAGGGGGATGATGCGTCATCAGCTGCCTTTCTCGCGGCTGTAACACTGGTCAAGAAGTCGAACGGCCAAAAAAGTCAACAAGGGGAAACGGGTGGTCCTGAGACGAGGAGCACAGGACAGAACGACATCTCACCTTGTCGGCCTGCGTTTCTTTTGACCGTGTCGTGTTTCCAAGAGGATTGGACCTGCAGCCCATGGACTGCGTCGTTTAAACAAATCAAAGGTGCACCCAGCCGCCAAGTGGCGCAGCTAAGAAGGGAACAGGCCAACGGGAGTTTTTCAAAGGCACTTGCTTGATGCCGGAGACGGAAAGTGCTCAACTACCCTCTTGTGGTGCTCCGTGAAGAAGGGAGATCGAGGTGGAAGTGGAATGGTCAGCGCAATGGGCGTGGAAATGCGTAGATGCCACTTGGCAATACCGAGAGGATTTGACCTGCAGACTAGGTCAATTAGGAGGGAGGCGATGAATGTTGCGAGAATTCTCGTTTCATCGAGCAGGTCGGGATGGGGGATTCCTGTAAAATGTCGTCGGTCGATCTGTGCTGAACCGCGTTCGGTCAGGGGCTTCACGCCTCATTAAATCCAATGGCTTGGTGGAAGAGCCGTCATGTTGTTAGCGTCGGGTGGCGGCGGAAGCAGGTGGAGGACCGCATGAGTGGGCTCGCTCTTTCTCTTAAGAAAGTTGGATCGATATGGGAGTAACGCGGGGGAGCTTCTGAGAGAGCTTTTGATGTCGCGAGAGCGTGAGGGAAGGTGATGCTAGGAGAAGAGCGAAAGGGCCGTGCTCGTCAAATCACCGACTTGCGCTGAGCATACACAGGTGTTGATGGGTCCAATTGGGACCCCTCCTCTCGTGCCTTCCTTGTTCCCAGCACCGCTTGGCGTGCAGCGACTAGGGGTCTGGTAGGTCAGCGCCGAAGATGTGCTTAGTGAAACGTACGAGGCCGAGTCAGCGTGGACCGGACCAGCGGAACGTCGCTTATTTCTACTCCAGCAAGGAGACGGCATTAGAGTTTTTACGAAGGACGCGGTCGCGGCGTGGACGCCTTCTGTAGCCCGAAGGCCGCTGAAGAGAATTCCCCTGCAGCGATCTTAAATAAGAGCGACCCGGAAGCTGGCCGTTAATGTCACCGTGAGACTAGTTCAATAAACCAGCTTGGCGATCAAATAGCATTTTCTGCTCGCCTTGAACGTTGGCCGCGTGCGACCACGCCGCATAGGTACAGTTGACCTTGAACTCCCTCTCATTTCCTCTCTTCCAAGGGACCGGGGGTACAGGCAGACGCACCAAGAACATCCAGGGATAAAAACTGAAGGGGGAGGAGGGGGGGCACGTTTAATTGTCCTTATATATGAAAGAATTCGCACCAGAAACGAACAAGTACATGGAAAAAGGAAGGACGAGGAAGGGGCAAGAAAGATCAATCGAATGTGATCACGGGGCGGTTGGCGTCGGCGTTCCATCTTCCGGCCTCCTTCAAGTAGGCCAGGTACCTCAGGAACTCTGGCTTTGCCATGGCCTTGTCCATCCGTGGAGCGTGGAGGACGTTCAGCAAGGGGTGGGCGGTCTTACTTCCCCCTTTCGAGGCGACGTCCTTCTTGGGCCAGTTCCCCTGGTCTCCCTTCCACCCCCTCTCGTCGTCCTCATTAAGGGAGTTGAACGACAGCTGCTGTCCGAGGCGGCGGTAACCCCGGCGGCGACTGTTCTTCAGATTGCTGAGAGCTTCCGACATGGAGGTGGAGCGGGGGCAAGCGACGAGTCGGAGAACTATAACGATAATGAGCGTTGTTGCGGAGAGATGGGCTTTAAATGCGTCCCCTCGGTCGTGAATGTCCCTTTGGTCAACGCCGCCGAGTTGAATGAGACAAACAAACATAACATAATATGTGTCACGTCATAGCTCTAACTTCAGCAGGAGGTGAGAGGGCAACGAACGCCTCCGGCGCCTGGCTTTCCGAAAAGTCAAATCATCGAGGCAACGCCTGGTCCAGAAGCGTAGTCCCACTTTTGCGGGCTTGGTCCTTACCGTCGCCATAATTCTAAACATTGACACATCAACTTTAGAAGATTTAGAGGTCAAACTCTTTCTAAGGCTTAATATGTGGAGAATACTATTATTTTTATTTGGTGATTATATTATATTTTAATTATTTATTTATAAGGAAAAATTAATATTGAGACTCACCATTATCAATGTAGACAATTAAATTTATCAAATTTTAGTTTTAATTATTATTTAAGTTTGATTTATAAATATTTGAAATTCGATCATTGTGTACAATGAATGAAGTGATATAATGTAGAAAAACTTCAGTTCTATGTAATACACCTATTGACCAACCAAAGGATGTTGTATTCAAACTTATGGTAACAAGATTAGTGGAAGCAAGGTTGTTAGACTCGCATAAATGTGCAAGGTGTTCTAATAAGAAGGATTTTTTTTTTCACTTGGCTCATTGATTCTAGTGTAATAAATCACATGACATCTTCCACTAGTTGACTACATATTCCACCCCTTCTCTTGTAACATCAATTTATATTATTGAAGGTTTTGCAATGTGTTTTCATGAAATTAACTTATTATTCAACCAAATTTTTTATTTAATAATATATTATATGTTCCTCATTTATCTATTATTCTCTTGTTTAGTAGCCAACTAGTTGATCTTGATTACAATAACATATTTTTTTCTACATTATGTGTTGTGTACAATTCGAAAACTAGGGTATAGATTGGGACATGATGTAGAGTGGTGGATTATGAGTTAAAATAACATCTTCCTTCCTTTATGACAACTGCTACATCATTTCCAAATACTTTTTCATTTAAGCCTCAATTATTCTCACTTTTACTTAAGATATTATGTATAGGTCATGTTAATATGTCTAAACTATATTTTTTTTATCTTTACAGTTGTTTTGGGCTCTATTAATTATTCTGACATTTTTTTGTTATTGTGGGTGTAAGCTTTCAACAATTTCTCTACCATCTGATAATAGAGCTACCTTTACTTAAGCCACATTTCATTTGGTTCATTCTAATATTTAGAGTTCTTCTATTGTTAAGAAATTTGGATCTTAGTACTATGTTGTATTTGTTGATGATTTTACATGATATACATGGGCTTCTCTTTTGTATAAATATTCTCATTTTTTTATATTTATATTAATCTTTCATTTTTCTGACAATATACAATTTGTAGAATCAATCAAAATTTTCTATTTTGACTCTGGTTGAAAGTTGTCTAAAAATATTTGCAAATCTTCACTTTTGAGGAATACTTCATCAAACTTCAGTTCCTCATACATTTCAATAGAATGAAATGGCAGAATACAAACATTGTCGTCTTCTTGAAATTGTATGATATCTCTTCCTCTTTCCACTCATATCTGATCTATATCTTTGAGGAGAAGTTTTTTTAACTGGTGTTTTCTTATCTTACCTCAATTTTTTCTCCTTGTTAGTTTTTATATCATTTTTTTCTTGATTATTCTTTTCTTTTGTCTTTAGATCTACTTGTTTTGTCCTACTTTTTATTTATGAGCATACTAATTTATCAGTTTGTTGATGCATGTATGATTTTCTCAGTTGTGACACATTTCAAATTGATTACAACTATGATCTCATTTCTAAGTGTATTTTTCTATCCCATCATGTTATTTTCTTAGTGTATTTTATATTATCTTGATTATGATAATTCTGTTCACATTGATATCCCTAAGTGACATTACATCAATCCTTTCTCTAATACACAACAATATGTCACTCCACTTGGAACACAAAATAACTCTACTTCATAGTCACTTGAATAATATAGTGAATGTGAAGTGAGTTATTACTCTATGCTTATTGAATTTGTGGCACTCCCTTCTCTACCCTCATCCACTAATCCACTTTTTCTCATCTTTTCTAAGTAGTGTGTTCTTTCACTTCATGATTGTCAAGTATCGACTCAATCTACTTCTCTCTTCTATACATTCTCCTCGTTATCTTTCTTTTCCTTCACCACTCATTCCTTTGAGCTTAGATCTTTCAAAGGAGCATCTTAAGGTGTGAACTAACAACAAATAGTGCCAAAAGATTTTGATACACCATATAACATTGACATTTAAGACCTTGTCTATCATCCGTCCTTTGGATAAATGTGATAATAGTTGCAAATGAGTGTATAAGATCAAAACTAAAGCAAAAGGTATATTGAGCATTATAAAGGCTGACTTGTGGCTGAGGATTTTTCACAATAACATGGCATTGATTGCAATGAAAGATTTGATCATTTTACTAAGGTGACTTCAGTCAAAAATATTTATTCTTATATTTATTCATTTATTTTATGATTGACTATTATATCAATTAGATGTTCAAAATACTTTTCCTATTAGTGATCTATCTAAAGAAGTATGCATATCTCCTCCTCTTGAACTTGCTTTTCTAGAAGGATTTGTTTCTTGTCTTTGTCATGTTGTATATGATCTCCAACAGATTCCTTGAGCTTGATATAAGAAGTTTAACACTGCACTTTATCATCTTGAATTAACAGCCGTCAACTCATGACTCTATATTGTTCACCTCTTTTCTCCTCATGGCTGGATCCTTTTATTTTTTTGTGAATGAGATGATCATTACATGCAACCACACTAATGGAATTACTTACGTCAAGACTAAACTTCACACTTCATTTCGTATGAAAGATCTTAAAATTTTATAATATGCTTTAAGAATTGAAGGTGCTTCTTCTCCCAATTGATATATTATTTTTAAATCTAAAAATACTTTAGATTTAATTGCATGAGTTGATTTTCAAGATACACATCATTGAGACTCGAATTGAGTTGAATGTTAAGGTTTCTCTTGATGATGCTACTTCATTACAGGATCTTACTCACTATTAAGAGATTAATGTCTCACTATTATCCTGGATTGTTATTCATCTGGATTTTCAATTTACAATACATATGGTTAGTTTAGCTCCATTCCCCACTCTGTTCATTTGGTTGTTGTATTATGGATCCATAGCTATCTTCATGGTACATGGTCTCGAAGATTTTTCTTTCCTTCAACCTTTACGTTGATTCTTCAAACATTGTTAGTTGTTGATTAGACCAGTGATATTAAAGATCAAAAATCTATCACCTATTGGCATATTTTTCTTGATGATTCTCATTTCATGATAGAGTGAGAAATAAGATGTTATTGCCCACTCTACTATTGAAATATTGCTAGAGTTATTTGGACTCGTTGGTTTGTTGCTGACATAAATGTTCCTCGAGATGATTTCATTCTTCTCTATTGTGGTAATAAAAGTGGCATTCACATTATATATAATAATGTCTTTTTATGAGCATACTAAATATATTGAGATTGATTGTCACTTTGTTTAGGAATACTTTCAACAAAGACTTTCCTTCTCCCTTTTGTCACCATCCTCCATTTGAAACTCCATCCTTTCCATGCATTTTGATAGAAATCCAGTGCTAAGCGCTCCATATCGGCAGGGTTAGAAATAGAGTTCCCGTCCTCATCTTCAATCTCTGTAATGCTCCGATTATGCTGCACCACCGCATTAAAAATTTGGGTATTCATTCTTGAACACGGACCACTTGCATCTCATCTGATATTTTGTCTTTATTCCAAAGATGACCAAAGCATCGGTTGCTTCCACTTGTGGCCTTCGGCAAAATGACCCCGTAACTTCGGCACATACCAGGGGGTAGAGACTGTTTATTACAAACACAGGACTCTGCTAAGTGGTAACACGATGTATAGAGTCTGACACCTGCCCGGTGCTGGAAGGTCGGAAGGAGAAGTGTGATAAGCTTTGAATCGAAGCCCCGGTAAACAGCGGCAAGAGCTATCATCATCCAGTTCAGCGGGAAGCGTCATCGATCCGGGCCAGCTAGCGAGAAGCAAGGGAACAATTGTTACCCGCTTTAGTATATTGGTGAACCGGGTGGACAGATAGAATCAAACTAACATCATCATCAGGATGTGCTCCCCCAAAGGATGGTTTTTATTAACCATGGCGGGTACATAGTTTGATCTGATCCACAAAGACTGTCAGCCAACTTACCCTTAGTGTAATAACTCATAATGTTTTAAAGTCAATCAAGTGAAAGATCCTTTTCTGCCTTAATGATAATGTGACTTAAGATTTTGCCAGCACGTCAGCAGTACACGCGCTTGTCTCATCCCATCGACCATTCTCTTCTTCAACGCAAATGACTGTAGGGTCTTAATTTTACAAACACGACAAGGGGAGACTATGCCACATCATAGATGAAATATAGTCCTCTCCCAAGTTTCTCCCTTATAGGCACCAGATAGTTTCTTCCGAGAGCTCAAGTTGCGTCCAGCTTCGGGGATGAGGGTTGGTAGAAAGCGTTCTTCTACTTACCAGATTTGCCGCAGCACGCCCCCAATAAGATGGGGGTTGAACGGGGAGTGATCCATTACCGTTGAACGGTGAGTGATCGCACGTCGCACCTACCGCCGCAGACGTTGCTATATATGCCGATGATACTATATATGCCGCAGACGCAATCGTCCCGGAGAAGCTGAATCGGTACAGAGAAGGCCAACTTGGTGATTCGATAAGAGGGACGAGATGGGGGAGACAAAAGGGCCGGTGGTCGTGACTGGTGCAGCGGGGTTCATCGGATCCTGGCTGGTTATGAGACTTCTCGAGAAGGGCTACGCCGTCCGAGCCACCGTCAGAGATCCCAGTTCTGTCCCTCGTCTCGCTCCTCTTTCGCTGCGTCTATTCCCCGTTTCCTTCGACATTCAACCTGTCGGAGAGGAGAGCGCGCTTCGTCTTCTTCTTCTTCCTAACCGCCGATCTGTGCTTGCTTGACACACAGGCAACTTGCAGAAGGTAAGGCCCCTGTTGGACCTTCCCAACTCCAAAGAGCGCCTCACCCTTTGGAGGGCTGAGCTCTCGGAGGAAGGAAGCTTCGACGAGGCGATAGCCGGGTGCTCCGGGGTGTTCCACGCCGCCACTCCCATGGATTTCGAATCCGACGACCCCGAGGTGAGACGACGAGGGCACAAGTACCTATAAAGATGGACGCAAAAAGCCTCGACTGTCGTTGATTGATCGACTGGTGAGAGATCGTGGTTTGTGGTGGGCAGAACGAGGTGATCAAGCCCACGATCGACGGAGTGCTGAACGTGCTGAGGTCCTGCGACAAGGCCGGGACGGTGAAGCGCGTGGTGTTCACGTCTTCCGCCGGGTCCGTCAACGTGGTGGAGCACCCAAAGTCCCAGTACGAAGAGACCGACTGGAGCGATTTCGCCTTCATCCGCCGCGTCAAGATGACGGGCTGGGTACGCTTCCTCGTTGTGCTCGCTCTCCTCCTGTACTACCCTCTCGAGGGCGGGGGGTCGGGGGGGGGTCTCGCCTGCTCTCAAAACAAACCGCCGTTGTTCTTCTCTTGGCGCAGATGTACTTCTTGTCCAAGGCGCTGGCGGAGAAGGCTGCATGGGATTTTGCGGCGGAGAAGGGAATCGATCTCATCACCATCATCCCCACTCTCGTGGTTGGGCCTTTTATCTCTTCGGAGATGCCTCCCAGTCTGGTCACAGCGCTGGCCCTGCTCACAGGTTGGTTGGTACTCTCCTCCTCTCAAGTGAACGCCCTCCCTCTCTCTCTAATACAGAGACACACTGCTCTGCGGATAGCAGGAAACAAGGCGCACTACTCCATCCTGAAGCAGATCCAATTCGTCCACCTGGACGACCTCTGCAACTCCCTCATCTTCCTGTTGAACCACCCTGAAGCCAGCGGGAGGTTCATCTCCTCCTCCCACGACACCACCATATTTGAGCTCGCGGAGCTTATGAGGGGAAGATACCCAGAGTACGATATCCCCACAGAGTACGTACATCCAAGCCTAGAAACCGACCGCGTCTCAGCTCAGCTTACCCTCATAACGCCCTGCTTCTTCCTTGTTTTTCCCACTGAGAAGATTTGAAGAGTTCGACGTCGGAGAGGACAAGAGCCGCATCGATCGCGTGCATTTCTCTTCCAGAAAGCTGAAGGCACTGGGCTTCCAGTTCCAGTACACCTTGGAGGAGATGCTGGACGGGGCCATCCAGTCCTGCAGAGAGAGGAAGTTACTGAAACCCAGAACGGCGGAGCCACAGCTCGAGATGGGGACGCCGTATAAAGGGGCTGCTGCCGACCCGGCGATGGTGCCGTCAAACTGAGCATCCGACGAGGTTTCGTAATACAATAAATCACGGCGAAGAACCGACTCATCTGCAGATCAAACAAATGAACAAATCCGGAAATAGGAGGAAGCTCCTCTGCCTGTTTATCTACTTATTTACTTTGGTATCTTCTAGAGTGGGATCGCATTTACTTGTTTTAGATTGGCATCCTCTTCCGCCGACCCAACGGAGGAAGCTAGTTATTTCTTCTGTCTGGGCGGCACCGTGTCTCCTTAACCCCCTCGAGAGCACGAATGAATCGAACGAACGAAGGGGCTGCCATGAGGGTAGCTCCCTAGCTTCATTCTATTTATCAGCATGTCGGACCTTATGTGTCATATGTTAGAGCGAGGGACGCCTTATGTGGCGTCTGTGGCGCAACTGTCTAGCTGGCCGCCCATATTTATGCACATGCGCTGTGTGCACAAGTTTGTGTTCTGTCGTCCGCCGCACTAGGCAGAGTCGTCTACCTGTCTAGATTTGCCATGCACATGGGTGCCGTGTCGTGCATAACTGTACCGTGCGCGCGCGCCCCGCACCATCGAGGTTCACAGCCCCGCTTTGAGTCGGCGGTGTTGCCCGCATACACGAGTCTGGACGCTTCACACGTGCCGCCTCCTTTCTTTTCTTGTCATATCCCCCTGCGCATGTTTCCGAACGCACGCGTGTGACACACCTCCGTGTGCACCGCCTTTGTTCATACGCACTCATTCTCGCCACTAGTTTCCACGCCATATTTTACGAGCGCCTCTCAAGAGGGGATCCTGGACACGAACGGTGGGCGGTTTCTCGAAAAGGCGGTCATCCCCGCTTTGTCGCCGTCCCTCGCTCTGGTGGTGTTTGGCTCCCTCTCTCGGCAAATATGCAGGGAAGTCGAGGCCGGTGGAGGGGCATGCCCCCCCCCCCCAACCCTCTGAGAAGAAAAAAGATGCGAGCGAGCTTTTGAAAGCAAAAACACAGCAAATTTAATAGAAACTTTTTAAGCCTTTCCTGTCTGAAACACAAGAACGAATCATTATGCACAGAGGGAAGCGCGCCATTCGTTTTCCACATCAGAGAGACGGCCCCCCACCCGTCGGCAGAAGCGGAGCACACGTTGCATCCAGTCCCATCAGAGATCAGTCCTTGGCTGAGCTCCCGCGGCTCGAAGAAGGTTTCTTCCTGGCGTACCTCTGCCGCATTTCAAGATAGACGACGACGCGAGTTAGCGATCACATACGAAGAGGGCTGCGTTGACTCGGTGCGGGAGAAAAGAGTCAGTTACCTTCTTCCCCAAATCGAAGGGGAGGTACTTGTACTTGATCATGTGCAGAATCTGGCGCTTCATCGTGAGCACAAACAAGACTATCCAATAGCACAGCAGAATGGGCCAGAACACGGGCACGTCAAACACAGAGAAGAAAGTCATCACGAAGGCCACCAAAAAGGCCTTGGTTATAGCGTACCTGCAACACCACGCGACGATGGGTGGGTAAACAGGGTGAGACAACACTAACCAGTGCATATTCATTCATATATATATAGATCTATATATACACAGAAAGCAGCGCGACGAATAGAGCCGCTTTTGCAAGCCAAACAAGATGCCGCAGAACCTTAGTGCTACTGAAAGGGGGAGATCAATTACTCCTGAAAGCGGTCTTCATCACCTCCTTCCAACGACCGTAGAGAAGGACTCCACATAACACAGGTATAGCGGACAACAAAGGGAACACCATGGACAGAGAAAATTCTGAGGCGCAGCCAAAAAGGACCCCGCCTTTAACATCAATCTGATCTAAAACTAAGCCCTTTCATGTTTTCTGGGATATCTCCTCTCCGATAGTAAAAATGCTCATTAACGTTTCCACACGCTGTTGAGATCCTTTCAGGATTCGCACCCAGATAAGGCTACAGATTTCGACAAAAGATAAGCTGAGAAAAACTCCAGGGATCTAAAATGTGCAAGATACAACTACATAAATTAAAAAAGAAAGTAGGTTTGCGATAAAAAAGGGAACTGCCCATTGCTATTACCTGTCGGTAATACTTGGTGTATACGCATCATATTCTGCCTACCCAAGACAAACAGATGCAGGTGCACATCAAAACATCAGATCATGTTTCAATGTAGGTTATACATGGCCTCCCTTGCAGTGTTCCACACTCACGTTGGCCAAACATTTGGAATCGGGTATGCAGCGCTCGCAATGAGCGAAGTTCGATGCCATCACCCTCAGCACACCCTAGCTAACTCCATTTAGCCAAGTCTAATGCGTCTTGTTTATTGGGGCCTACAGCTTCCACACCTCAGAATGTGTCAAAGACTCTCCGGACTCATTGGCTCATCTGACGAGTGAATAAATGATTACGGCATTCCAGCAACCTCATCTTGATTATATATGCACTTTTACTTCCACTCATTAACTTCTAAAGCAAAAATAATGAGAGACTAGACAGGGAAGATGCATCCATCACGATTCCACGTTTTTCCATCACTCATGGCTGATTAATGTCCGCTGGGTATACCAGAATCAGCATGATGAGGCTCTCGTTTTTCTCATTCCTCAAAGCGAATAACATGGTCGACTACAACATATTCATTTCCTTCCCAAAGTTTTACAATTTCCTTGCTGCTGCTGTTAGACGGTGCAAGGAGCAACTCCTCTGAGGCCATCAGGACTGCTGTCCGCTATCACATAAAGCAAGCAAAAGAAAAAAAAAAAAACAGAAAACTGCAGAACCGTATGGGCCAGTCCAGAAGCACAACTCAGAGTTCTAATAACTCTAGCCCCGAGGGGGCTTTCTACTATGGATGTTATTATATGTTGAATCCAAAGGGCCTTGGCAAAGACAACAATTATGAAATTCAGTATTAAATATTCAACACAATAGCACGTTGTCATCTAAGAAAGTACGCTGTGACAGAATTTTAAAGCCCTCCAGCGTACAATGGAGATTGATGTTTCATGTTGAATCATCCAACGCTGAATGCCGGCCACCATGGGAGAACATCATAGAGAACGATGACATCGAAATACAAAAGCGAAAGGAATAAAAAAATCTTCCAATATTTCAAATTTGGTCTTTCAGGGAGCAGAGCAATATGATACCACCTAATCCTTATCTAGCCTTGCTCGGTATTCCCTTCAAAACGTCGAATATGACGTTTAGAAGAAGATCAATTAATGTTATAACCAGCAGCAAGGAAAAAGTTAAGCTAATTACTACCATTAAATTGTGGAAAGCAGAATGAGACCGCCATTAGGAAGAAAAACGTTCCGCATGTATGATCAATGCACGAACATAATCTGGATCATCATTAGATACACATCTGACATGGAATCTGATACGGCTCCGGATTTCCAGCAAGAAACCAAATAGAAATCTACTGAACAGAAACGCAGAAATAAAAAGTTGATAGAGAATGATAAACAGGGCTCCATCGGAACCCTAATGGTTTGGCGACCGTTCGAGAGGGCTGCTGCTCTCCCCTCAACCTCAAAAAACTGGAATCCCCCTTCCTTCTGTCGAAAACCCTATTTGTCTCACCAATCCCCCTGGACATTTGGTAAAAACCCCCTTAAACCCATGACTTTGACTCTTTCCCGTCCTACCCTAAATATATTGTGGTGGGGTCGTATCAACACTCTCGCCTAGAAGATCCACCTAGTCCTCAAGGTGGAAGTCAGGATAATGGCGTTGATATGCCTCGTCAACTCCCAAGTGGCTTCAAATGTGGAAAATCTTCCTATTGTATCCGAGCATCCTGTTTTTGAGCCGAGTGGTCAAATGTCCAAAAATATAGTGTGGCTGGACTGACCCAATAAGCTGTGATAAAGATGAGTCCTCTGGCTGCTCCAGCACCACTTCGAAGGCTCCTCCACCGATCTAGCATTACACACGACGACCTTCTTGAAAAGCTTCTTTTCAAGGATTCATTAAGAATACTTTTGTAGCCCAACATACATTGTGTATCTCAGTTGATGCAGAAACCAACCATCTTAACCAGATTCTTATAATGAACCATTAACAATATTTCCACCTTAATTTTGAACACAAGCCCACCTAGCTTTGACCCAAGCTGAGCTCTCTTGATAGCAACAAGCTATTCCGTCAGTAGAATTCCGTGGTCAGCCTTTCCATACCCTCCGAGTCCAATGTTTGCATTTGAGACATCATTCGCGCACTACCTTCTATCATCGAAGGTGAATGGCCTGAGTTTTTTTGTATGGAGTGCACTTCCACTTTTATTCCTCTGCCTCATCACATAAATAGCCAAAATGATCACTATCAATGCGAGAACAAACCTACCAGTTGCTGCTCCAATGATTTCCGATGCGCCAGATTTTGTGCTAAAAACTGTGCCTGAGCCGGATCCACATTCACCATCCTCAAAAGATCCTTATCCTCTCCGCTCTCACAAAGATGGGCCAGGTGAAGGAGAACACCCGTCTTCAAAAGCCTGGAGGGTAATCAATGTCACATTATCAGGTAAGCTGCAGGACGTGTCTATTGCTGTGAAGGTGGGTACATGGGATTTTATCCAATCAGCTCCATTCTGCTCTGAGAATGCTATAAGAAGAGTAGTGTACACCTCCCGTCCCGACGACCTACACCATTTGGCGCCACCCCCTTGTACTCGCCATAACTCTGTGCTCGCTATCCCCCAAAGGATCAATCCTGAGATAAAATTTCCTTGACATTATTATTCCTGTGTAATCTTCATCAACATAAATAGTTTCGTTCTGTGCCTCTGCAACTCCTCGGCCATCATCACATAATAATCATTGATGGTGCATCAACTCTATTTGACCATCTGAAATACTCGAGCTTCCTATAGAACGATCCACCAATACTGAGAATTTCTTGGTGTTATCCATAATCACGAATGCTTTCGATGAAATCTCTTCCATTAGGATCAGTGTAAAATGTTGTCACTTCTAACATTATTGGTAATTTGAGTGACTACTTATTTCCCAGCTGCATCATTAACAGGAATAGGGCCAACAATGAGTTCAATTTCTGCATGCTCCCTTCCCCTATATAATCTGGTGATCTGATATATCCACGGATTTATCTATTGATGCGCTTCCTCTAAAGTTTGCCCCCATATTACAGTCAAAGGTGTCTGTCCCAAATGGCGTATTGGAAATTTACCACTTGGGTGAAAGACATGCTCATGAGGCCTGCTAATCAGCACCACTACCATCATCTCCAGAATAATATATGCAGGATTGAGAGATAGTCGTATTAACCATGTTTCTACTGTTCAAGTAATGGCTCATTTTTACCTCATCGAAAATGAGCTTCAAACTCCCTTGCCCAACTTCTATTACACTTGCACTTTCATGTGTTTCATAAGTTATAGAGATGACCGGATGCCCTGAAACAGATTTTTCTACCCTTGAAATAAAATATGTACTAAGGTCTAGAGGTGGCACATACTGGGAAGATGAGCCAAAACCTTGGGTTGACCCCAGGAGAAATGCCCTAGTATGCCTTAGCGTGTACTTTTCGGATCTCTAATGAGATGTTCGATATTGGCAGAAGCTGTGAGTCAACAATCTTTCCCTTACAATCCTTGACAATCACAGATGCACTAAAGACCGATGCTCTAATTATATCCTCTCTATTCCAACCAAGTGAATTGTAGACAAGAATAACCAAGTCCTTTCCTTGGGATAACTCTGCTTCTGACAGTTGGTAGTAACAAATGTTCAAAAGAAGGCACTGCTCAAATTTCGCTGAAGGATTATAGCATTTAGAATTTGATGTTGACTTTGTCAAGCAAGCAAATGAAGATGCCACAAGCTCCTCAGTCTCCACATAACCGATAGATAATCGCTTAGCATAATCATTAGCTACATATTGCTTTTCTGTTCCAGTACTTTCGTCATAAATCAATTTCGCTGGTATACTCACATCAGCCCATTCTTTATCATCACTAGAATCTGGCAAATTGTTCTCATATGCTTCATTGTATAACTTCTTGTATTCCAGATGTTTCCATTGGCTTTTACTTGGCAATGGGATAGCATTTTCTTGGCCCAGTTTTTACTTGAAGGAGTAAGGTGCAGAATTAGCAAACAAGGGACATGTGACACTTCATCCACCAAGCACTAGTTACAGAGATATTGGGGATGCTGATGCTTCATTAGCAATATAGACCTCATTACTCTAAACATTCAAATCATCCATATCCGATGTGAAATCTGATTCATCAGATCATCAGAACTTGATCCTTCCCTCACCTCTTCATCAGCTTCAAAGTTTTCAACTCCGAGGTCATTAGGAGAATAATCATGATTTTCAGATCATCTGATGGCAACCTGAGATTAACATGTTGACCATCTTTAGACTCAAAAACCAAGGAATACTTTCTCTCACTCTTCTTTGATTGAAAGGTATGCTCCATGGTTCTCGTTAATCAAGTCAATACCAGCTACTTTACAAGCACAGCCAGGGCAGAATCCACTTTCCTCATCCGGGGGAGTGTTATCAATATGAGGATTCAAACACGTCTGGTGAAAACCTTGATCACGAATGCCATCAAACAGCATAATTTGCACTTGGCACAAAAAATATTTTCACTGCAGATTTTCCCTTCTGAATCGAATAAACTCTGGTGGCTGAAATAGATTACGAATTTCCAATTTACAATGTAACATTTTAGATTCAGCTCCTTGAAGTTCCATCTTAAGCTTAATCTTTTCCAAGCTGTCTTTTGATAAATTCAATTTTGTAACGAGTTCTTTTCCACATCATAAACACTTGCTGTGGAAATATTCTCCTATTAGCACACCATGTTATGGCATCTTCTTCTGTAATTTCATTCATAATGTTAAATGCTTCATAAAGGGTCGAAGGACGACCATACAGATCACCATAACTAAGTCCACATTTACCTGAAAACTTCCCAAAGTCATTTTGAAATGTGGCCCTTGAAATTGCCTTCAATTTTAGGCCAAATGCACTATAGTGGTATTCAGTTCATTTACTGAAAATGGAGGAAGTTCCTCCTTCGATAGTCCTACCATTTCAGAACTTAGCATTTTCCATCTTCGTCCACTCTTGCCTAAATCAGAGTAGCCGGTTGGTTCCACCCTTGTTGAGGATTCAAGGTGGTTCCTCTGTGGTCGCACCATTCTTTCTTGTGTTTGGTAAGGTTCTCGCACTTTCCTTGCTTTCTTGCACTTGAGACATGATTTTCTATGGTTTTCTTCCCTATAGGTCCGGTTGTCCTTCTGGATGTTATGCGGTAGAGCCTCCTTGCTTGACTGCTGTCAGACGGTCCTCCATTCTGTCAAGGCGTTGAAAGACCATGTCCAGCATACTGGCCATGTACTCCCTTAACTTCTTCATATCGTCCTTGACCACCTTGATCACCCACTCCAAGTGGTCCAGACAGGTGTTGACATGTCTGGGTGCCATGGCGTCCACGACTCCGGATTTCCAACAATAAATCAAATAGCAATCTACTGAACAGAAGCACAGAAATAAAAAATTGATAGTGAATGACAAACAGGGCTCCACCGGAACCCTAGTTGTTTGGCAACCGTTCAAGAGGGCTGCTGCACTCCCCTTAACCTCAAAAGACTGAAATCCCCCTTCTTTCGAAAACCCTATTTGTCTCCCCAATCACCCTGAACTTTTGCAAAGAGCCCCATGACACTCATGACTTTGACTCTCTTCCCCTCCTACCCTGAATATATTGTGTTGGGGTCATATTAGAATCATTCATTCAACCAGGTAATCTACCAACGAACTAGTCATTTTCGTCGCTGAAATAAACGCCTTCACACTTTAAATTTCAAATCCTATGACTAAGACATCAGAGTATTGAAAATTATCCTCATTTGATAGGCATGGGAGTTTGTTATCAGAAATCTAGGATAATGCTACCACGCTCTATTGCTTTACTTCTTCAGACAGATTGACTAGATTGAATCAACTGAATTCCGCTTACTTCATTACAACACCTTCATTCTAAATTTTTCTCATTTCATCTCTTCTACATTGCTTCATTTTCCTAGTTCCATAAATATTAGTGGAGAAAATTATTAGACATATATAAAACAACAGAAGTTAGGCATATCTTAGGAGTCATGCTTACCGATTATTTGCAGATTCCCTTCTAGAGAGGGGAAAAGATCATGCGTGTCTAAAGCCCTGGAGGCGATTCCCAAAACAACACAGGATATACCACAATAAAGACATTTATCTCAAGAAACAAAGGTTATTTTATAATCCAAATGTAAAGCGAAATGGAAAAAGCTCTCACTTTTATATATAATAGACTGTAAACTACACCTAGGGAAATATGCCAGATAAAATGAAGCAGAGGGTTTAGAAGCTGATTCAGTGACAATTCATTGAGCGTGAGAGGCATTAAATTTGCTTCAATTGAAATGAAATAGTTACATGAAAGCATATTATAACTTCACGAGGACAATGTACATCATCATCCATTAACCAAGCAGCGCCGTGCATAGAGAGCGAAAGAAAGAGAGAAAATTCCATTCCAGCAATAATTAAACGCACATGGAGACATTAAATTGCCACAAAAGTGAAAGAAACATTTATCTGATCTAATATTCCAAGTGCGGATCCAACATGAAGGGACGTCGGTCCTTCACTGACGCGCGTCCAAAACCCATGAACAGAAGAAAAACCTGAATATCTACCTACTTGAACACATCCGAGGTGGCAGTAGCTTAATCTCAATACCCAATCAGCAACTTGTCCTAGATAAAACCAGATACGAGGGCAATTGGAAGCGGATCAGGGCTCACCAGAACTTAAACTCGGGAAGCCGGCGGATAAAGGGCTTGAAATCCTCGGAGCCGCGGGTTGGCAAAGAGGGCCCGTCGTTAAGTACTTCCAATTCTGGGTCGACCTTGGGAGAGAGGAAGCCGATCAGCAGATTGAGTAGGTAGATGCCAAGACCGTAGGAGACGATGTAGAAACCCTGGAGGAGGTACACCCTCAGCACATACACCAAGGCCACCGCAAGCGTGCCCATCCATCTCCAGAGAGTGTGCGGCGTCGAGCGGTCGAGATAGTACTGAAACGATCTGGAGAAGTCGTTTCTCCACTTCGCCAGAGGCAACGGCGGGTCGGCGGCGTCGCCAAACCCCGATGGACCCCCCTCCATGGGCTAACGGCGTCCGCTGCTTCGCTCCAAGGGAGCGTATCAACGGCGGCGGAAGGGGGGAAGCAAGGTGCGGATCTGGGAGGCTGTTTTGGGGGTGGAGGAGGTCAATGCCGTCAGGGAACCCTCGGTATCGAAGGGAGCCCTTTATTTATTATCTTTTTCCAATCTCCACAGGAAAACGGGTATTAACGGCGTGCCCCTCGGTCCAGAAAAAGGTCTTTATCTTCCATCTCTTCCATCCTTCTCCGTGAAGACGGAGATTAAACCGTTTCCTTTCCCCTTGGGCATCACCACCCACTGGTATATTGGTCTAGTCCTCTCTCGTCCCTCCGTCGTCCCCTTGGGCGCCACCAGCTAGCTGATCATCCATTGACCCCGACGCCGTTAGTAACCTGGAAGAAAGAGCATCATCAGTTAGTTCCACGCGTCACGGCGTGCTGAGCCCCCAAAGAGGATTTCATCACAGCAGCCGATCACCGCTCGACGTCGCAGGACGGCAAATAACCGAAGCTTTTTAGAGGACGAAGCAAACATTGGTTGGTGGTTGACTACTGCTAACATTTTGGGAGCCTCGTCTGGACTCCGCTCCGATCATCGCGCGGCGAATGATGGAAGAAGTCGCCAGGGTAAATCCCTCCCTCGACCAGTCAGCCTGTCCTTCTCCATGGCCCTTCCGGCCCTTCCGGGAGATCCTTTCTTCCAGGTCCGTCGATCGACCGACCCTTTCCTTTGCGTGCGCGAGAAGAGTCAGTCTCCACGGTGTTTGTCGGGCGCAGGCGACGGGACACAGAGCCTGGGGTAACAAACGCTCCCCAGGCTATACCCGGCAGAAGTCACAGCAGACAAAAGGATTTCTGCCTGCCCTGCCCATCACAGGGTAGGGCCATCGTCTCCAGAATAGTACAAAAAAAACATTGAACGTAGACGAAACCTGCTTCAGACGGCAGCGGGCCGTCCGTCCGACACGATATCTAGTTGGCGTACGACAATCCGATACGACGATAAAATAACGGACCGTAAAAAAAAAGATGGCAGAAATGAAGGCAAATCAAATCTCCTCCATGGGCGCAGCGGCGTCTGGGTTGCCGCTCTCGTCCTGCATGTCCCCGCCGCTCTGCTCGGCGGTAGCTTCCTCCCGGGTCTCCAGGGCGTCGACCATCTCCTGCACGGCCTGCTCGCTGATTATGTGAAATGGTTCCCCTATCCCCACGATGGCCACGGTGCAGATGGAGCTAGTGAGTTTCTCCCCCTGCAGCGTCTCCTTGATGGCGAAGAGGGCGTCCTTTATCAGCTCTTCCGCAGAGTACTTGTCAAAAGCCTCGAACCTGCGTTCCAAATAGGTCTTGGCAGCCTGGGATCGGGACCCGATGGCAAACGCTTGGTACTCGAAATAGTTCCCGCTTGGGCAATTGTAGTAGAGGTGGGCGCCCAGTTCATCCAAGCCGGCAACCAAGAGGCCCACGCCATAGGGTCTCTTCCAAGACCGCTGGGTGCACACCTGCATAGAAAGAACGAATAGACAGTAAGCCGGGTAGTAGCTACGAATGAAGTTGGGTCTCATCTGATGACTTTTCGCCGATAATATATGTGGCACGGGGAGGCGAAAAATAGATAGAGGAAAAGAGATCCAAATTAGTTATACGAGCACTCCATTCGCTGCATAATCTTCTATTCCCACCGCACCTTAGCTCAAAAGCCTTCAACTTCTCTACAACAACCTATCACAGTACTAAAGTAGGACATCTGAAGACAATGATTCCAAGACTCCTGGCCTCTTTGCGCCTCACAAATTTCCTCTCACCTGATGTCATCCCGGCTAGGATTCTCTCCCCTCATGGCATTCAAAACACTCATTGGCCTCTACCCATTTTGAACCGGGGAAGAATCGGAGAAGCGAAGGGATGAGAGGAAGAGACAGTGAGCTGAGGCCTACTGTCAGTCTGCAGCCCCTTTATTTAACTTCTTCCTTCGCAGTAGCTGACAGAAGAACCTCCCATGTACTGTTTCAAGCTTGGATGTCCTTGCCTTCTGAACCAACATAGCTTACACTGGCGGCCCGTTTCACCCCTATTCCGCTGGGTCCAGAACTAAAATTTCATTTTCCCAAAAATCTTAGTCCACCTCACTGTATCGCGAATCCTCAACAGCTCTCAATGGTTTTGTCAAAGTAGAGCAGTATAATTATGACACAACTATGTTGACAGTCACGTTAGTTCTTTTCCTAAGGATAACCCTTGAGCTCGGGGCAAGACTAACATCAGAGATTTCTGTTGATATCCTATGTAGGAAGAAAATAATATGCAAATAAAAATGGAAGAAATTCAGAGCTGTGAAGCGTTATCATCATGTTCGCATAAGATGAAGAACTATTCACAGCTGTGAAGCTGTGACACTGTCCGCTATCTCATTAATTTCCTCAAAAGTAAATGTCAATTATGTTTATTCATTAATTATTGCATTATATTTGAAATTATGTTCCAATAATCACAGAATGGAGAAAGCATTCCAAGTCAGCTGTAATATTCATCACGAAATTAAAATGCTAATCATGTGAATTTAGGGGAAATGATGTTGAAAATTATGTACAGGAAATATTGAAATCTCCCCTTTCGGCCAATAAATGAGTATGGAAAGGAAGACAATATGCCTAGAAGATTATCAACTGAAACCCGTTCATTGAGACAATGTGCTCAATATTAAATTGATGTTATCACATGCATCCTTCATTTATGTCCTCAGCTAATAAGACATGTGCTGTCAATTCATAACGCCTTCAAAGACACTAATCATTAATAACGTAGTTCCAGCAACAAGAGAATAAATCAGTTAATTTTTCTCCCAAACAGAGGAGAAAAACTTAATGTAAACTTGATCATTTCTCTTCTTGAAGGTTGGTTTGGTATGATGGGATCCCTTGATGCCTGTTTAATTCAAGCACGAAAATATGTCTACTGTTTTTTGTTTCAGCTGTTTTACAGACTTGTTTATAAGAGGAAACAGATTTCCTTCATCTTTCATTATATCAAAATTCTTCATTTATTATATGAATCATGAAATATTAACTTGACAGAAGCCACTAATTTTAGTATCTTTTGTCGCAGGGCATGCAATGAGCCCAGATTCACCAGACAAATATGACATAGAGATTCTAGGACCATGTAAATTTATACTTATTTCTGATGAATTACTCCGATTTGGATGAGCTAAGAGCGTCCAGCATAGAGAGAATCGGGTATTTGCAAAAACCGTCTGTGTCAGGAAGCACTGCCACGGATTTGGATAATTCAAGGGAAGAAAGCCAAGTAAAATGTTCAAATGAACAAGTCATGTCATGACGAGGACTGCTCCATTCAGCACCAATATCATCATTTGCCATAGGAGAGCTCCAAAATTCATCCAAAACTCGGGCCGTCACAGGATGGGAGATAGCGAATGCGTCAGAACTCACCACACCAGAAGTGGTCCAGTGGAACCACTTAGAACAACCAAAGGTTCACGTTTCAAAAAAATCGAAACAATTAGCACATGCGTGATTCTCAGATTCAATTATTTAATTCAGTCCCAACATGAACCACACAAATATTCACTGAACAGGAGACCTCGCCCAGTATGCAAGTCTTAAGATGCAGCCACAACGCCTTATGCTGCCTATTAAACAATACGACGGTGCAAGGTAAAACCAGAAAAAGCCCAGCATTCCCGTGTGAGGATGAATGTTACCTCTCATCCCTACTGCAAATTCCGATAAATCGCAAAAATGTGACGCTAGGTCAGACCCTTCCAAGAGGAAAGAGATCAAATACAAAACAAGTTCAAAACCCTATCCCAATGAAGCGGCCCAAACTAGCTATACCACAAGTTCCAAGAAAATGAGTTGGAATAACAAAAAAATATCCTGACTGGCGTTCTCCACCATTAGTATAACATCATTCTGTTCCCTTTCACGTAGATGGAAGCCTCTACGATGCCAACAAATGAACAACTTTATTTACCGATCCAGTGAGTAGGAATGGACATCAAGAAGCATGCAAAGAGGAGCTGGCTTTACAGATGGCAAGATGAAAACAGAAAAACCCTAAACCTTGGACTTCCTCAGAATCCAAGGTCAACATAAACTCTCGGCACCAGTTCAGTCCCCTACATGGAACCAACGTTTCATTTTTTTGAGAAAAAGGGTGATATGACCAACCTATTTTATGAAGGCGGGAAATGGAGAGAAGGTACATAAAAAATATAGATGCTTTCATTCGAAGGCATGACAAGCTTTTACAATTACAGCAGGTGGAAAGTTAGCTATCAATACTAGACCACTGAATTCTCTCAGAAACTTTCATTGGTACATTCTCCAAGTCAATTTTTGCATCCTGAGAAGAAGACAGCTCTTTGTTTCCTGAGAGTCCAGAATGGCATTTAAAGAAAAGATGGACCATACTTAAGTTCTGCGATCAAATTCAAACGATCTAGACTTCTGGTAGAAGCATAAGCCACGATTCCAGATCCCGCCTAACATCTCCCAAATTCTTCACAAGATGTACCAAAACTATATTCCTTTGCAACCCCTCAATAAACGCACTAGGAAATATCCTATCTCTTCATCATGAAAGCACATCAATTCCAAGCGAAGTGAGGGTTACCAAGACAATAACGATGCGACACTGTATCTGCTCGGCTTTGTCGATCGGCACAGATAAAAAAATTGTGGACATAAAACCCTAACTCCAGAGGAATAAAATTTCCCACATAAATTGTGCATACCATACCCCATACGGTACTTATGGAAAATAAAAAAGAGAGGAGAAGGGGAGCGAGAAGATGAAAGAGGGGGGCGTACCTGCGCCTTGTCAGCAAGGCGGACAACGAGACGGCCGACGGGGAGCGGTGCCTCGTAGACGAAGGAGTGGTTGATGCACTCGTTCCGCAGGTAACGACTGAGCACCCGTCCATCCGCCGTCAGACCGGCGATGGCAACGCCAACGTGATCATCAATCTTGAAGACCTTGCGCTGATGGGAGGAGAGGTCGGAAGCGGCCTTGTTGACGGTGGCAAGGACGACGTGGGTCCTGGAACGCAGCCCCACGGCAGCCGAACCCTGCTTCACAGCCTCCATGGCATACTCGACCTGGAAGAGGCGCCCCGCGGGGCTCCACGTCGTGACATCCGTGTCGTACTGGTTCCGGAACATCCTCCCTCGATGCTTCCAACTCCTGCCCTTGCAGCTCCACGGGGCTTCCCTGCGTGCCCTCGGCCAAGACCTCTCTCTACTACTTGCTCTGCAAGAAGGGCAGATCGCCGTCGAGATCCGTCTTCCTTAAGAAGGGGCCCGTACCTCCCGACCGGCCCGGTTCACATTTCACATCTCATTCGGGAACCGGCCAAGGGAACCGGCCGGTCCGACAACGAGCATCGACGTTTCTGTGTGCGCCGGCCAAGGGAAAATGTTGTAGCTTTCCTTTCCGCAGGAAAAATGGCACTTCGTCGTCGGAAGAAAGTGCGGAATGACGAGATTGCAGCTTGGTGTGAAACTCTTTCGATGAGCGGCACGCATTGCAGATTGGCGTGGAACTCTTTCGGTGAATCTGTTCGAAACTCCATTCTACTGCCAGATCTCGATACTTGTAACTTCACGTTCACATCTCAGGGCCAGGGATCTCGTCCGAGAGAAACCTACCTAACACTCGAACTCGCGGAGAATTTCCCGGCCACTCACCTCGGTGATGATTCTCCGATGACGGCGGTCGGCCATTCTATTGTCGTCTTCTAACTCCCGCGATCCGTAGGGGCCTCGGAGAGAGAACGTTGGGTGCTGGTCGAATAGGAAGGAATGGAACACAACTGCTTGGTCTGACCTCCCGCGACGTCCTGTTGTTTCTGTGGATGCGGGCTTGAGCTCCTCTCCACATTTCCAAAATCTGGAAGCGGTCATCCCATTTTCTCTAGTCTCCATCGCCTCAGAAGAGAACATCGTCACTGCTTTCGGGTTAGATCTGACGCTTCTTGTGACTTGTATCATCAGGATCTGACGCTCATCTCGTTTTCGGAGTGCTTTCTCTTGTGTATTTTTTACATAAAATTTTGCAACGGAAAAAATTCATGATTTCCTTGTTCTGTGGCTCTTCTTTGAGCTGAGCCCAACTCATCGTCCACCTCTTTATAGCAAAAGTTTTCTACCTCCAGTCTTTTATGCGCGTTTTTATATAATGGCCTTAACTGTGGATGATGGGTGACGGCACAGCTCTCAACCTAATGCTTGGCATCTGACTCTTCACATGAGCACCCTCAGTGGAGCTAGCTAGTTAATGGTCGGTATATCATTTTCTATACCATGTTCCATTGTTTTTTCCAACTGATCCAAGAGGGAAATATATTTCACTTGCTTGAAATAGTAACCGATGCAAGGCAAAGAGCAAACATCTTTTATTTGAATCTTCATTATATCTGAGTACAACATCTTTATGCATTGTCAGCATTTGACTCAATAATATTTGATGTCTCAAAGAAGTTATGGAAGAGTAAAATCATCACTTGGTGATCATCATGTCAGTATTAGCTTTATATCTTCACTTTCAACCCTTAAAAGTATTCCAATGACCATGAGGACTATATAACAGTACATTTATTCTTTGTATATTTGAGAATATTAGTTGACTCAGGGAGTTGACTCATCCTACATAAGAAATCACTAAGAGGATAAAAAAAACTTAAGAGCACGTTGTTTTAATGTTGCAAACTGATCATTATGTAGCATACAGTTGGTAGAACATCTATGAATAATAGTTATTTAACAATTTTAAGCCTTAAAAAAGCTTTATGCTCATGGAATAATTATTATTGTGATACTGAAGACCAAACTAATTAATATAAAACTTTTATATACGTTGAATTGTGCATAAACACATAAAAGCTTCGACCAGTGATGTCTCTTGTGTCGTTTAAAGCAAATATTTTATCATTAATCTATAATTTGTTTTTGGCTTAAGTGCTACGTTCATTTTGGTAATTGAGGTGTCTAAGCTGTGTAAGCATTTGAAGTGATTTTACGCTTGTGATCCTGGAATTATTCGTTAATATTAAATGTATGGTGATTAGAAAATTAGAATCGTAAACTTTGTTGCATAAGAGTGAGCTTTCATTATGTGCTCGTGGTGGTAGCAGATACCAAAGGTTTGTGCTTTTAACAGCATTAGGTGAGTTATGAATCAAAAGAACTAACCTACACATATTTGCTTTATCTGCAAGAGAGTTGACTCACATGAACCGCTCTTTCTAAAGGATTTTACCAAATTGTCCGAATCAGGCGAGGCTAGTCCATGACCTTCGTAAAAAAGATTAACTCTCCCCCTTTTTGTTCAAAATCTATCTTGCTCATTGTGAGAGATGAAATGGTATTAAGTTTTAAAAAAAAAACTGATTACTTGGAGAACAATGCGGTAATACTGAAGCCAGCATGTCCAGGAGAAATTTCAATTCCAATTGATAAAAACTTTCTTCAAGTCTAGTTTCATCACATCCTTTTTTTCAGATTTTTCATGAAGAGCTGAGTTGAACAAACCAACTCAAAAACGTTCCTTAGGAGAATCATCAAAATGGAAATCTGAGTTCGATAGTTTGGAACTGGATGAAGTGATAACTACATTTGACTGGCAGGCGACTGATAAACGGAAATCTTGATTTGAAAACCCGAAGACCCCACATTTATTCTTCCTTGTCGGGCATTGCGATGGTATCCACTACCTATGCGATCGACAACTGCGACCACAAGCTCTCCTGAAGCTCGCAACCTCAGGCCGTAATGGTGAGTGATCCGTTTTCCACAGGCGCAGGGATTACTGGATTCGCTTCAGGGGACGGTAGCAGCCCTTTCTCTCTGCAAGACTGGATCGCTCCGTCGAACATATCCTCGAGGCTGTACTTGTACGAGAAACCCAGGTCCGTGAGCTTCTTCGACGAGAAGCTTACGATATCGAACACCTCCTTGTCTCCAAACCTGCACCCACCAGGCGTAGCATTGCGGTGAACAACTTCAGTTCGTGGCAGAGAGGATTGGATGCAATTGTGGAGATGCGAAGGGCGTACTCAGTGGGCACGTTGAATTCCGGGTAGCGCTTTTTGAGCATGCGGCCGAGTTCGGTGAGGGTGACGTCGTGGGAGGAGCAGATGTACCTGCCATTGGCTTCCGGGTTTTCGAACAGGAAGATGTGAGCGTTGCAAAGGTCGTCAAGGTGGACGAACTGCACCGGGTTGAGGATGGAGTAGTGAGGCTCGTTCCCTGTGAATCCGGATCAGTCCTCGCATAAGGGACCATTAATTCACACGGAAAGAAAATACGTTTGTATGCACACGGATTTTCCCGTGGATTAAATACTTGTTATAAGCGCGAGGGCAGTGAGCATGCTGGGGGGCATGGTGGGCATGATGAAGGGCCCGTTGACAAGGGTGGGGATGATGCTGATGAAGTCGATGTTATTCTTCTCGGCAAAGTCCCACGCTGCCCGCTCCGCTAGCGTCTTCGACACGAAGTACATCTGCAGGGAGGAGGAAGTATTTCTAACCGGTGATCGGGAGGCGGAAGCTGAGTGAGTGGGATGAGTAGATGGACGAGTCGAGCACCCATCCGGTCATCTTCTTGGCCCTGCAGAAGTCGACGTCGCTCCAGCAGTTCTCGTCGTAGATTGACTGGCGGGACTCTTGTATGGCGACCGTCCCCGCAGACGATGTGAAGACGACTCGGCGGACGGTTTTCGCCCTTAAGCACGATCTCAATACGTTCAGCATTCCGTCGATCGTCGGCTTAATCACCTCATTCTAGCACAAGACAACACATGTATATTTCGATCCATTTACAACGATAGATGACGCTTGGATAAATAGCATGAGCGGGTGTGAATGTGACCTCAGGGTCCTTGGATTCGAAGTCCATGGGCGTCGCGGCGTGGAAGACTCCCTCACAACCGTGGATGGGCTCGTCGAAGCTGCCCTCGTCGACGAGGTCAGCCTTCCACAGCGTCAGCCGTTTCTCGGCGTCCGGGAGGTCGAGGAGGTGCTTCACCTTCTTCATGTTGGCTGGGACAGTGGACAGAGAATCTCGTTTACCGAGGTAATCGCATAGCTTTTGCAAACACACTTCGACGCCGGATTATGCATCTAAATGAACAAGAACGACGATGATACTCACTGGGATCCCTGACTGTGGCCCTAACGGTGTAACCCTGCTGGAGGAGCCTCATGATCAGCCACGAGCCGATAAACCCTGCGGCCCCCGTCACGCACACCGTGCCCTTGTCGACCATCCTTTCAGACTTGTTTCGCCGGCTGACAGGGAGACGAGAGAAGAGACGGAGGAGGGCCCGAGGGAGAAAGAGCAAATGATACGTTCCTACAACCATGCATGTGGGAGCATGTATAGATATATATATTTCAATAGTATCTTTGCTCAGGCATGTGCGTCTCATTTTTTTGTTGTTGTTGAAGGGCCGTTGGTGCCCTCATTCCGGGTGCCACCGGCGGGCTCGCTCCGTCAGTCCACCTCGATCAGGTCCCGTGATTATCCCATCTACCAAGCACCGCGCCGGCGTGTTAGGTGATCGCACCTAACTGCCTAGGAGGATAAGGTGAGGCCTGAGCTTGGAAAGGCCCCTTGCCAGCTAAAATACCGTTTTGTCACGGAACGGCGCGCCTGATGACTCCTCCGTCAACACAAACACCTCAGTGGCTGTATTCTTCTCAACATCGGGAGACGCAACAGTATTTTCAGGCTAAGAGCTTGGAAGTATTTTCAGGCTAAGAGCTTGCGCTGATTAGTTGGCTCTCTCCCAGACAAAAAAAAATACTGTTTCCATTGTTTTTGACTCAGACAACTTGTGGTCCATTATAATTGCCCAATAAATAAGGGAGATGTTATACCGCCCCAAAAGTTATGTATGGCGCGTTAGAAACATCCTAGTCAGTAAGAGGGGCATTTTAACCCCCCCTCCCTCTCTCTCGTTGGCTTACCCTCCTCTCTTCTATAGAAGGGGGCGTTGGGGGATTGAGAGATAGGGTATCTCAAGTGTTGGTAAGAATTAGGAAGAGTTATAGAAAGTGAGAAGAGGGTGAGAGAGAAAGATTAAGGGTTTGGTGAAAGAAGAGGGCAGGGTTACACTTCTTCCATTTTGTTTTCCTTTTCTTGAAGGGGAAGACATTCCAAAGTTAAGGTAAGAGAATTAAATCCTGTAAGACTCTCTTTTCGTCTGTTCTTTTGTCAAAGAAATAGCTCTAACTCCCATATACATAGGAGGGTTTCTCTTAATCATGTAAATCTTGGTGCATCACATCTAAGTGATTTCTTTCTGAAAATATGAGCACTTGTGTGATCGAAATTCTGCTGTTAGTGCTTGTACCACTTGGTTATACTCCACAGCATTTTTCTCCTCCCTTCCCCCCCCCCCCCCTGGATTGTCATTGAATGTGGATATCTTAATGGCATGGGTTTTTCCTTCATAAGAAAGCATGGTATGATTTGGATCTCTCTTACCGTTCATTAGACAGAAATTCAACCATGTTTTCAGTGATGGGATTAGACTGGATGCAGTGGCTAGTATATAGTGTTTTTTTTTTAAGGTGATGGATGCCTAATTTGTCTTTGTGCGCCTTTGTGCGTCTCTCTCTCTCTCTCTCTCTCTCTCTCTTGAAATTTGAACGGGAGTCAACAACCAAATGTTCTTCCTCTTGAAACCATGCCTTCTCTCTCTGCTTGTCCATCTAATGGTACCACCTCTTGTTATCGGGCTTTTCTTTATCTAAGGAGAGGCTGATTGTAGTCAGCCCTCAGCGTTGTTGGTTGGTCTATCTCTACTAGGTATAGGAGACCATTCTTTGTAAAAACAGAATTGGTATTAATACACATAATGGAAATAGAACCTCAAATGTATTTCCCATTACAGCATAGATGAATCTCAAAGATAAAATATGCTAAGATTTTTTTGGTTTGAAAACATCTTCCTGAATCTACAAAGAGAGTTGGAAATATTCATTTGGTGGAAACAAAATTATAAATGGAGCCTTACAAAATGCCTAGATTTTTTTCCTTAACACATGCTAAATGTCTTCTTCTTAAAGTACAAAACAAAAACTAAAATTGAAGAAGTGAGAACCTAGTGGAGGCTCACATAAAAGATAAAGATAGGGAATCAATTCTAACTCATATTGAATTGAATTCTGAACCGACAAATTTGATCATGGACTTAAGAGAGAATAGGGGCACAAGAGAAGAACAAAGAGGAATACAAGGGAGAGAATTGAGAGGAATGACAAATACTCTAACATAATGGCTGCTTCTAGATGGTTATTCTCCTTTTACTAATACTCTTTCCCCCTTTCCTCTTATAGCCGTCACCCCACTTTTATAGATGAATCAATTAGTTGTTTTTGTTATAACATCAGTTGGGCCAACAACCCATGATCAACTTTTTTCCTCTGTGGTGATCTAGTAACATGGGTAGCCTATCAATGCTCCCCCCTAAAGCTTTCACCTCATCTGCAAGGTGAAATTTTAGAAAATGGCATTGGATGGTCTTGGAATATTTCCAATTGGTTGTGGAATCCGATAGGTTTAGCCATTGGATAAAGACCTCAAGACCTTGAGTCCTATGTTGAGTAGCAAGCACTACAGTTGATTGAGCAGTCTAATAGAGATCATTATCTAGACTCAATGGATTAAGCTTCACTAAAGAGACAATCCCAATTGCCTACTTAAGTTGGGATGTGGAACATGGGGTGAGCAATGTAAGATGGTAAGCAACTAGCCCAATACACTCCATAATCTTTTATAACCCAAAGAATTGTGTCCCCAACTTCTCATAAAATCGTCATCTGAGAGTCTTCTATTGGTACAATCAAATTTACAAAAAAAAGCATGTCAAAGACAACAAATTCAATATCCTACCACTTTTTATCTACAGAATTATTTATTCGAGCCTAAGCTTGGACCAAGTATAGCTTAAGCTGCCCTAAAGTGATATTTCGCTCATATTGATGACCCACCTCATCATCTCAAATCGAATGATTGTTGAATCTAAGAAGAGTTGGAGTATCCTACCTATAAATGATTTTGAAGGGTGTAGTGCCTGCCAATGTGCTGAAATTTGTGTTGAACTAATACTCTGCACAATGAAGTCACTTGATTGTCATGGTCAGTCTCTAATGAAGCATCTTAAGTCTCGAGGCTGTGGTTAACAACTTTCATTCATTCGTCTTACAGCATATGATAAGACCCAGCCCTCTAGAGGAATGTGCCCACAAATGAAAGAGTTCACTCTAAAAATTGATCATGAGAATACGATCAAAATTAGTAATAATAAACATTGAAATTGTATTTGAAGATACCACAATAAGTTTAAAGGTATGGGCCACTTATTGAGCAGTTAATGAATGTTTTAAACTAGAAAAGAGAGCATATTTATCGACTTGATCGACAACAACAAGAATTAATTTGAATCCCTCTTAATTGAGCATCCCTTTGACAAATCCATTGAAATATCTTCCCAAAATTTGATCATGAATGCGAAGAAGCTGAAAGAGACCTACTGAGGATAAGTATTTGAACTTATTTTTCTATAAGGTTTGACAAGCTAGAACATATCTTTTAATACAATTTTTCATGCCATTCCATCATACGTTTTGTAAGATGTATTTCTAGGTGCAAAAAAAACTGAAGTGTCCCCCCTCATCACCCACATGGCTGAATCATGAAATTCTTGTAAAATTGATGCCATACTTACCAAGTTTTTGTGAAGAACGATTTGGCCCTCATGAAATAAAATTCAATGTTACAGGCTCCAAATAGGCCATTTATTGTGACGAGTAAATGATCCACAAGGATGATGATCAATCTCAATATGAATTTTATGTTTTAAATGATATATTAAAATATAAATAAATAAAAATTATATAAAAGAAGAAAATAATCTTCTATGTTCTTTGAATATTCCAAATTATTTTACCTCTAAATCTCTGAATTTTGATGTGTTCTCACATTCAACATTCATAAATAACCCAAGAGTTGTAAAATATTCAAGATAAAAAATAAAAATAAAATAAAATAAAATGATGGGAAATAAACGTAAAATTAGGAGAAATGGGGGAGAAGAGAGAAAGTAGGACCATGAGTAGGGTTTCCCCATTGGTGGTGAAATGAGAAAATAATTTTTAGTTAAATACTTATAAACCTAAGTAAAAATTTGAAACAAATAAACCACAATGATGTAATAAAGTTAATTTTCACCAAAAACATTAAAATCGTAAGAAAAAGAACTAAAAAAATCTAATAAATACACAAACTTGTACTGGTCTGTCACGTGAGAATAGAGTATCATCATAATAAGAAAGTGGAATGGAAAAATGATTAAAAAATGATAAAAATGTACATATAATACTTAATATCATTATTTTCCTATCACCTAGATGATGGTATAAGAGAAATAAAAAATGAAACCAAATAAAAGTAGAAATGAAATATGCAAACGCCCATGTCTCTAAACTCATCCATCGCCTAAAAATAGAGTACCATAAAATTAATCTGAAATTAGTCTAAAAAGTGGTAAGAAAAAAATAAATGTAAATGTTTAATCTCATTGCCTTCCCATCACCTAGACAATAGATTAAGCGAGAATAAAAATAAAATGCAATAGAAGCACAAATCATCGTCATAAGTTGATCCACTCATCTTGGCCTGTCACTTGGAGAGAACTCAACCCTAAAACACAAATCTTTCACTTTTTATCATGTAGAAAACTTAATTCCTTTTCCTCAAAGCTTTGTTCGTATTTTCATGCAATAATATCTCAATATCATCATAAAAACCACATTTATTTCCATTCATTTCACTGGTCAAAATAGAATATAGAATTGATGTATATGTTCTCTTGCTGATGATGTGGCCTAAAATGTTGACCTCTTCCTTAGTTGACTAATACTAATATGGTTCATAAACCCTTGACATATCCTCTTGATTGTGGGGAAGAATTACTATATATTTTTTAATTATTTTGATAAATTATAAATGTTGACAAGAGGAAGAGAAAACTATAGAATTGATATCTTGAAGAAAAAGAGTACATGTGGTTATATAGAAGATGAGAAGAAAAAGGGAAAGAATGAGAAGTGGAGATAGTAGAAAAAAAATAGGGACGTGGAGAGAATAAGTCTAAAATGAGCCTTGTGGGCTCAGTGGATGTATTCTAACACTTCCCCTCAAGCTGGAACATACAAGTCAAATATGCCTAGCTTGATGTATGTCGCATCGTAAGAGATC